GCTGAACACCTGTTTTCCTTCTGGGAATCTCGAATTTAGGTATGTGCTAGCCAGAGGATGCCTATGTGACCAGCCTCCAATAAAAACCTTGGGAACTGAGTCTCTGATGAGCTTCCTTGGGAGACAATATTTCACACATGTTGTCACAACTTTGTTTTTTCTGGACTTTTGCCCCATGTGCCTTTGCTGATGTTGTTTTGTATTCTTTCACTGTGAAAGCATAGCTAGGAGTATGACGATATGCTCAGTTCTCTGCAACCTCTTACAGATCACTGAACCCTGGGCTGGATCTGTGATACCCATGTTACACAGGCTGCCCATAAATATTTCAAACCTTCAGTACTTCTGTCATTTTCAGTGATACATTAACAATCACTTCAGAAGCCGACAATTGTTCATAATGTAAAGTAGGTATAAATATGTATCACTGAAACCTAGAAAGGGACTAAATATGTTTTGCCCTTCCTTTCCAATTGCAGATATGTGTTGGGAGTTAGGATTCTTGGTGCTATAATATTGAAACCAAAAGACAGAATCATTTTATTATTCTAGAAACTAATCCTTATCTTAAATGAAGAGACAATGAGCTTAATATGTTTGTTACTGATTGATCATATGTTGTTCCATTATTCTCACTGAAAAACTTTTTAGAAATGTATTTGTATAAATCAATTAATTATTACTTTTATGTTTTATTATTCATTTTCTTAATTTTTAATAACTTTGATTTTCCTTGTATTTATTATAGTTATATTCTAATAATGGCAAGAGATCATGGTTTTCCATTTCATGGAGTGATATGAAGTTTCTCTTTAAAATACATATATTTAAGTTTAAAAAGTGAGCTCACAAAACCATAGAAAGAAAGAAGGAAAAGGAGGATAGATGGCAAGATTGTGGTAAGTGAATATGGGTGATGGTATGTGGGATTTCATTGTATTGTCCTTTATTTTCTGTACATGCTTGGAATTTTGAATAATAGAAAAAATAGTTGAGAAATTCATTTCTAGCAGTATGTCAGCTTTTTGCTCACAAAACAACTAAATTTTCCATGAAAAAACTATTTTAATGTGCTACTTTCATAGGAGATAAAGGAAAATCTCCAAACACCAACACATAAGTGTAAACACACATAAATACTATCATTGGGTGAAACCAAAATAGGGAACTGAGCAAAATGGTCTTGGGCAAATGCAAAAGTTAGAGCAGCACTGAGGGAAAACACCAATATCAGCTCTGTGATTATGCAAGGAAGTCCTGAACCGGCTATAGAATAGAGCAGCTGATTTGAGTTTTCTGCTTTAAGACAGAGACACCTGGAAGGATATGAAAGTGGTCTCATATCAGCAGTGACTTCTGGCTTCTGGAAGAAGCAATAGTCATGCCTCTCTGAAAAGGTATCCCCTGCACCCTGGTGTCAACAATGACTGTGTACATTTGAAAAAAGAGCCAAATAGAACTTTTAGAAAAGACAAAATATTTAGACCTTGAGGATTTCCATAGATTAGGATGAAACTGATATGAGCTCACAAAGATTATCCTCATGAGTGGCACAAAGAAACAAAACACAAAGAAACAAACCACCATGAGTGAGGAAGCAGAAAAACAACATTTAAATCCTCAAGAATTCCAGAAATTGGAATTATCAAATACAGACTATTTAAATAACTATAACTATGTATTAAAGGTTTAATTCATTCACAGGAGCCAGGACAGTTTCTACCAGCAAGCTATTCAAGTATTTGCCTCACTGGATTAAAAAAAAAAAAAAAAAAGGCTTTCATAGGTTATCCAAAATGATTTTTAAAGAACCAAACAGAGGGCGCCTGGGTGGCTCAGTCGGTTAAGCGACTGCCTTCGGCTCAGGTCATGATCCTGGAGTCCCAGGATCGAGTCCCGCATCGGGCTCCCTGCTCAGCAGAGAGCCTGCTTCTCTCTCTAACCCTCCTCCCTCTCATGCTCTCTGTCTCTCATTCTCTCTCTCGCAAATAAATAAAATCTTAAAAAAAAAAAAAAAGAACCAAACAGAACTTTTAGAAACTAAATACATACTTGTTGGATTAAAGACTCAAGAGGTAGTTTACATAGCAGATTAGGAACCCCTGAAGAAAGAATTAATAAGCTAGAATGATATATAAAGAAATTACTTAGGATGCCATACAAATCAAAGGATTTGAAAAACATGAAAAAAATGTTATTTGAAAACATGAAAGAGAAATTAAGCAATTCAGAGTAAGATTTTTTTTTAAAAGACTATTTGAGAGAGAGACAGAGTGTGTGTAGGCTTGTGAGTGCTGAGGGTAATTGTCCAGAGAAAAAGGGAGCTCTGAGCCACTAGCAGTCAACACATAAGTTGGGGAATGGATGTACCAGGTAGTAATGGAGATCTGGGTGGGCACCAACAGCATCCACCACAGCAGAGTCCTCGGAGCAATAATGGAAATCAGAAGGCAGGGGAATAATATCTTCAAAGTACTGAGGAAAAAAATAACTGGCAATTTAGAACTGTGTGCCCAGCCAGACTGTCTTTTAAGAATGGGGATGAAGGGGCGCCTGGGTGGCTCAGTTGGTTAAGCGACTACCTTCGGCTCAGGTCATGATCCTGGAGTCCCAGGATCGAGTCCCGCATCGGGCTCCCTGCTCTGCAGGGAGCCTGCTTCTCCCTCTGACCCTCCCCCCTCTCATGTGCTCTGTCTCTCTCATTCTCTCTGTCTCAGATAAATAAATAAAATCTTAAAAAAAAAAAAAAAAGAATGGGGATGAAGGGGCGCCTGGGTGGCTCAGATGGTTAAGCGTCTGCCTTCAGCTCGGGTCATGATCCCAGCAACCTGGGATAGAGCCCCGCATCAGGCTCCCGGCTCAGCGGGGAGCCTGCTTTTCCCTCTCCCTCTGCCTCTCTCCCTGCTCATGCTCTCTCTCTCTCTCTGTATTTCTGTGTCTGAAATGAATAAATAAAATCTTTAAAAAAAAAAGAATGGGGATGAAAATCAAAAACTAATGATGTAATGTATGGTGATTAACATAACAATAAAAATTAAAAAAAAAAAGAATGGGAATGAAAGAAAGTATTCCTGAGTAAATAAAAACTGAGTTTACAATCACAGACTTCATTAAAATGACTTCTAAAGTTTTCAGGAGGAAGGAAAATGCTCCCAGGAGGAATATCTAAAATGCCAGCAGGAATAGTGGCAATGAAACTGGTAAATATGTAGGTAAATCTAAATAAATATTGTCTAAATAGAAAAACAAGAATAGAAATAAAGTCTTGGGCACCATCTTCTCAAAAGTGATTGATGTAGAAGAAAATATTACAGTTCCTAAGAGGATGGAGATACCTGGAACACCCCAGAAGCCAAAGTGGTTGATCAAACTGTCAAATTCACGTGAACACTGTGGTAACTTCCTGGGCAACAGAGGGGGAGCAGGTCTCGGTGAGGGTGTGGGACAGAGCAGACGACAGCTAAGACGAGAAGAGGGTTGGGCACTAGGGGCTGGAGAGAGGGTGGACTACCATCTTTCTGTGTGTCCTTTGCTGTTCCTTACATTTCACTGGTAGACCATTTCACTCCCACTTACACACACACACACACACACACACAAGTAGTAGCCAGTCCATCACTACTGCCTGAACCTGACTAGAATGAGGCATGGTTAACTCAGTTTCTTTTTTTTTTAGATTTTATTTATTTATTTGAGAGACAGAGAGCATGAGAGGGAGGAGGGTCAGAGGGAGAAGCAGACCCCCTGCTGAGCAGGGAGCCCGATGCGGGACTCGATCCCGGGACTCCAGGATCATGACCTGAGCCGAAGGCAGTCGCTTAACCAACTGAGCCACCCAGGCGCCCCTGGTTAACTCAGTTTCTGGCAGGCTGGCCGGCCCTAAGTGATCTCACTTTTGCCATCTCTCTCCATACCTCCAAGGATGAGGTGGGTACAAGCTAACGAGAACAGTGTTTTGACAATAAGCAGGGCCAGGACAGTGATAGAGAGTGTAACACAGCAGCTGTCTCCACTCTGGTAGCTCTCCACACCTTTCCCTCCCAATTCATCCCACAGAACACAGTTTTTTAGGCTTTTTTCTCAGGTATTTGTCACCAGGACAGAGACCAAAACCCCTAGGGGAGTAAGAGTTCATTCAGAAAAAGAAGACGCCATCTTAAGAGTACAGCTACAGTAAAGGAAAACATTCAATTGAACAACTTGTATCAAAGCACACATGGGGGGGGTCATCAGTTACTGCGACATGACCAAACCTGTCCGGATTCACGGACCCAGGAGGGAAACAAATAGAAGGGGGAAATATTTTGGTGAAATCCTGACTAAAAACCACTATAATTGAGAACTATGTAAGACCTTAGATTGAAAGGGAGATTTAAAAAAATACCTAGTCATATTATAGTGAAATTTAAGAACATCAGTCACAAAGAGAAATTTCTGTAAGTTTCCAGAGACAAAAAGCAGATGTCTCATGATATTAAAGGAGAACAAAGTCAGAGGGCCGATACTACCCAAACTCAAGACTTACTATACAGCTATAATAGTCAAGACAGTGTGGTATTGGTAAAAGAATAGACAAGTATCAATGGAACAGAATAGGGAGCCCAGAAATAGAACCACGTAAATATAGTCAAGTGATCTTTGACACAGGAACAAAGGCAACACAAAGGAGAGAAGACAGTCTCTTCAACAATGGTGCTGGAACAACTGGACATTCATGTGGGGAAAAAAATGAATTTAGACACTGACCTTATACCATTCACAGAAATTAATTCAAAGTAGTTCACAGACCTAATGTAAGACACAGAACTATGAAACTTCTAGAATATAACATAGCAGAAAACATAGATGACTTTGGGTTTGGTGATGACTTTTTAGATACAACACCAAAGGCAAAATCCATTAAAGAGAGAATTAAAAGGCTGGATTTATTAAAATAAAAAACTTCTGCTCTGTAAAAGACACTATCAAGAGAAGGAGAAGATAAATGACAGACTGGGAGAAAATATTTTCAAAAGACACATCTAATAACAAACTGTTACCAAGATATACCAAGAACTCTTAAAACTGAACAATAAGAAAACAAATGACCCAATTAAGATATGGGCAAAAACCTTCACAGATACCTCATCAAAGAAGACATACAGATGACAAATAAGTATATAAAACGATGATCCATGGGGCACCTGGGTAGCTCAGTCGGTTAAGCGTCCAACTCTTGGTTTCAGCTCACATCATGATCTCATGGTCATGAGATCGAGCCCCTGTGTTGGGCTCCCCGCTCAGTGCAGAGTCTTGCTTTAGATTCTCTCTCCCTCTCCCTCTGCCCCTCCTGCTAATGCTTTCTCTCTCTCTCTGAAATAAATAAATCTTTAAAACAACAACAATGAGATACCACAATACACCTATTAGAATGGCCAACATTCAGAACACTGACACCACCAAATACTGGTGAGGATGCAGAGCAACAGAAACTCTCATTCTTTGCTGGTGAGGATGCAAAATGGTACAGCCACTTTTGAAGACAGTGCAACAGTTTCTTAAAAAAACTAAATATATCCTTACCATACAATCCAGCAATCCCACTCCTTGATATCTACCCAGGAGTTGAAAACCTAACTCCACCCAAAAACCTGCACACAGATGTTTATAGCAGTTTTATTCACAACTGCCAAAACTTGGAAGCAACCAAGATGTCCTTCAATAGATGAATGGATAAATAAACAGATACATCCAGACAATGGAATATTATTCAATGCTAAAAAGAAATGAGCCCTGAAAAGACATGGAGGAACCTTAAATATGTATTATTAAGTGAAAGAAGCCAATCTGAGAAGGCTATATGTTGTATGATTTGAACCATGTGACATTCTGGAAAAGTCAAAATTATGGAGATAGTGAAAAATATCAGGGGTTTCCAGGGGTTTGTGGTGGGGGAGGGTGGGATGAATAGGAGGAGCACAGAGGACCTGGGGGCATTGAAATTACTCTGGATGATATTATAATGGTGGATACATGCCATTACACATTTGTCCAAACCAAAAGACTATACAACATTGAGAGTAAACCCTAATGTAAACCATGGACTTCAGATGATTATGATGTGTCAATGTGGGTTCATCAACTGTAACGAATGGGGAATGTTGATAAAGGAGGAAGCTGTGCATGTGTAGGGGCAGGGGTACAGGAGAAATCTCTGTACTTTCAATTTTGCTGGGAACCTGAAACTTCTCTAAAAAATATAATGCAATGCAGTATAATACGGTACCATATAATACAACACAATACACAGGTCCCACCTAGAAAAACAGCAGATGTCTACAAAAGAATAAAATGATAAGAACCATTGGAGGCAAGAAGAAAATGGAATAATATTTTTCAAGTGTTTAAGGAAAAGAACTTCCTTGAAGGAAAGTGACTGAATTTCATGTTCTGTTAAATTAATATTTAAACACAGGGGTAAAATAAATCTGTGATATTATGAGGCATGTATAGCAATTAGAAGGTTTACCACACAGAGACCCATCTTGAAAATATTATTGTAGGAAGTTATTCAGCAAGAAGAGAAATGAATCCAGGAAAATGCCATGAGCTAAGGAAAATAAGAATGAGTAAAGTATGTTTGTAAAGTTTATCATTGTCTAAATAAGCAAGTATCAGAACAAACAATGTATATAATAACAATACAGAATTAAAATACTAGAGAATGTGCTAAGGTATTTTCTTGTTCAGTAGGATAGTATATGTATGATAAGAAGCATAATAAACTGATAGGAAAAAATAAAATGAGCTAGAAGCAACATCCAAAATAAAATAGATATATAATTAGTGAGAAAAAAATTAACCTAGCTAATGGAAAATAGGAAAGGAGATATAAAGAAATAATCAATGTGAAAAAAAGATGATTGAAGTGTCTAAATATAGAAAATAATTGCATTTAATGTAAATGAGTTAGCAGCACTTCTGGAATGGAAGCATAAGGATCTCAGAAAATCCACTCCTTCATAAAGGCAATGAGAACACTGGCAAAAATTGTCAAAATCAACTTTGTTTCAGAATTCTTTAAATTAACCAAAGAAAAGCTTGCAATAATCTTCAAAGTGTCTGTTCAAGAAAAACAGCTGAATCTTAATAAGAACAGTGAGCTTTGTGATGCTTTAACTTGCTCTATTCCCATCCCCCTCTCCCAGCTCCCCTTGAAAAACAACAGCTTCGCAACCACGGTTTGCTGTGAAAAGTAGCAATCAAGTTGACGCCAGTGGCAGAATGGGTTTGGAGCTCTTCCAGAAAAGTCCCATCCCCAGAGAACTGCCCTTATTTGACTTGTCTAACGTCTTCCTTGGAAAGCTCCATTCTCAAGTCTTGGCTTTATTTGACCTGACTCAGAGCTTACTCTATAAAAACAGGGCATTTGTCGAAACAATCAGTGGCAACTCTTTTAACACTATGATTGCCCGAGGTAGTGATGCAAGTTTGGGGTAATAAGAGGCTGACCAAAAAAATTTAAAAAGGAAAAACTGAGGAATGAGATGTCCTTGTTGTGTGTGTGGGAAGCTCCAAAATATTCCTGGAAATCCAGAAGGCCATGTGCATGTGTGGGGCTGTAGGCATGCACAAGAAAGACCCAAGAAGGCCCTAATATCTATCTCTGGTTGATCTTGAGCCTCTGCACAAGCAGCAGGGGAAGGCCAAGATAGTGCTGTCCACTGTGTGGCTGAGTGTTGGAGCCAACATTGACACAGAGCCCCTCAGCAAAGTCTGAGAGACTTACTCGTTCCAGGCAGTTAAGGAAACCTGTGTAATCATTAGCTAACTTTTACTCAAGCAACCAAGCAGAGACTTAATCACACACAACAAAGAATACAGATTTCACAGCATTAGTTCAGAAAAGTAACCATGTGATCCAGCAATTCTACTCCTAGGTATATACCCAAGAGAAATGAAAATATGTTCACAAAACTTGTACATGAATGTTTACAGCAGCGTTATCCATGATAGCCAAAAAGCAGAAACAACCTAAATTCCATTAACTGGGGGAAGGATAAACAAATTGTAGTATATCCACACAGTGGAATTTTTTTTTAAATTTTATTTTATTAGGTTAATCACCATACATTACATCATTAGTTTTTGATGTAGTGTTCCATGATTCATTGTTTGTGTATATCACTCAGTGCTCCATGCAATATGTGCCCTCTTTAATACCCATCACCAGGCTAACCCATCCCCCCATCCACCTCCCCTCTAGAACCCTCAGTTTGTTTCTCAGAGTCCATAGTCTCTCATGGTTCGTCTCCCCCTCCGATTTCCCCCCCTTCATTTTTCCCTTCCTACTATCTTCTTCTTCTTCTTTTTTTTAACATATAATGTATTATTTGTTTCAGAGGTACAGGTCTGTGATTCATCAGTCTTACACAATTCACAGCGCTCACCATGGCACATACCCTCCCCAATGTCTATCACCCAGCCACCCCATCCCTTCCACCCCCCACCACTCTACCAACCCTCAGTTGGTTTCCTGAGATTAAGAATTCCTCATATCTGTGAGATCATATGATACATGTCTTTCTCTGATTGACTTATTTCACTTAGCATAATACCCTCTAGTTCCATCCACGTCATTGCAAATGGCAAGATTTCGGGGTTTTTTGATGACTACATAATATTCCATTGTATATATATACCACATCTTCTTTATCCATTCATCTGTTGATGGACATCTTGGCTCTGTCCATAGTTTGGCTATTGTGGACATTGCTGCTATAAACACTGGGGTGCACATACCCCTTTGGATCACTACATTTATATCTTTGGGGTAAATACCCAGTAGCACAATTGCTGGGTCATACAGTAGCTCTATTTTCAACTTTTTGAGGAACCTCCATACCGTTTTCCAGAGTGGCTGCTCCAGCTTGCATTCCCACCAACAGTGTAGGAGGGTTCCCCTTTCTCTGTATTCTTGCCAACATCTGTCATTTCCTGACTTGTTAATTTTAGCCATTCTGACTGGTGTGAGGTGGTATCTCATTGAGGTTTTGATTTGGATTTCCCTGATGCAGAGCGACATTGAGCACTTTTTCATGTGTCTATTGGCCATTTGGATGTCTTCTTTGGAAAAATATCTGTTCATGTCTTCTGCCCATTTCTTGATTGGATTGTTTGTTCTCTGGGTGTTGAGTTTGATAAGTTCTTTACAGACTTTGGATACTAACCCTTTATCTGATATTTCATTTGCAAATATCTTCTCCCATTCTGTTGATTGTATTTTGGTTTTGTTGACTGTTTCCTTTGCTGTGCAAAAGCTTTTTATTTGATAAAGTCCCAATGGATCATTTTTGCCCTTGCTTCCCTTGCCTTTGGCAATGTTTCTAGGAAGAAGTTGCTGTGGCTGAGGTCGAAGAGGTTGCTGCCTGTGTTCTCCTCTAGGATTTTGATGGACTTCTGTCTCACATTCAGGTCTTTCAACCATTTTGAGTCTATTTTTGTGTGTGGTGTAAGGAAATGGTCCAGTTTCATTCTTCTGCATGTGGCTGTCCAATTTTCCCACCACCATTTGTTGAAGAGACTGTCTTTTTTCCATTGGACATTCTTTCCTGCTTTGTCAAAGATTAGTTGACCATAGAGTTGAGGGTCCATTTCTGGGCTCTCTATTCTGTTCCATTGATCTATGTGCCTGTTTTTGTGCCAGTACCATACTGTCTTGATGATGACAGCTTTGTAATAGAGCTTGAAGTCCAGAATTGTGATACCACCAGCTTTGCGCTTCTTTTTCAACATTCCTCCGGCTATTCGGGGTCTTTTCTTGTTCCATACAAATTTTAGGATTATTTGTTCCATTTCTTTGAAAAAAGTTGATGGTATTTTGATAGGGATTGCATTAAATGTGTAGATTGCTCTAGGTAGCATTGACATCTTCACAATATTTGTTTTTCCAATCCATGAGCATGGAACGTTTTTCCATTTCCTTGTGTCTTCCTCAATTTCTTTCATGAGTATTTTATAGTTTTCTGAGTACAGATTCTTTGCCTCTTTGGTTAGATTTATTCCTAGGTATCTTATGGTTTTGGGTGCAATTGTAAACGGGATCAACTCCTTAATTTCTCTCTTCTGTCTTGTTGGTGTATAGAAATGCAACTGATTTCTGTGCATTGATTTTATATCCTGCCACTTTACTGAATTCCCACACAGTGGAATATTAATCAGCAATAAAAAGGAATGACATACTGATCCATGCTACAACATGGCTGAATCTTGAAAACGTTATGCTAGGTGAAAGAAGCCAGTCTTTAAAAACTATATATTGAAAAAAATTTTTTTAAAAACTATATATTGTACTATTCCATTTATATGAGATACCCAGAATAGACAACTGTATAAAGACAGAGTAGATTAGTGATTCCCAGGGACTGTGTGGGTGGTGATGGGGACTGGGGAATGACTGCTAATAGGTACAAGGTTTCTTTTGGGGTGATGAAAGTATTCTAAAATTAGATAATGGGGCTGAATACACAGCTCTGTGAATGTAGTAATAGCTACTGACTTGTACATCATCATGAAATTTGAAATTTGGTAACAAAATGATAGTTAAAAAATCCCTTATACGTTCAAACTATAAAGCATGCTATCAGATAAGCCTTGGGTTGAAGAGGAAATCATTTGGGAAATTATAAAATATTTAGAATTGAATAACAATGAAAGCACAATGTGCGTCATCGCTAAAACAATACTAAGAATAAAACACAGATCTTTAGGGGCGCCTGGGTAGCTCAGTTGGTTAAGCATCTGCCTTCGACTCAGGTCATGATCCCAGGGTCCTGGGATCGAGCCCCACATCGGGCTCCCTGCTTCTCCCTCTGCCTGCTGCTCCCCCTGCTTGTGTTCTCTCTCTCCCTCTGTCAAATAAATAAATAAAATCTTAAAAAAAAAACCAAACACAGATCTTTAAATATTTTTTCATAAAACAAGAAAGAATGTTTTTCTTAATGTTTTTCATAAAACAAAAAAGAATGAAAAATGAACTAATGATTCAAATGAATAATGAGAAAAAGGACAACAGAGTAAGTACTCCCTCATGAGGAAATAATAACGATAAGGAAAGAAAAGAATGAATTTGGGGGTAGGGCAATGGAGAGCTACAAGGGGAAAAAAAAAAGGACTCAAAAACTTGTTCCTTGAAATGATGAGTAAGATACATAAACCTCTAACAAAATCTGACCAAGAAAAATTCTCAAATAAACACTAGTAAGAACAGACACAACAGAGATTTTAAAAATAAAACGACATTTGAATGACATGTCAGTAAACTTAGATGACATGTAAATTTTTTAAAAACATCAAGATACTGAAATTGGTAAAAAGGAACAGAAATTTGTAAAGACCAATGCCCATTTAAAAAATTGAAACCCTAGGGGCGCCTGGGTGGCTCAGTTGGTTAAGCGACTGCCTTCGGCTCAGGTCATGATCCTGGAGTCCCGGGATCAAGTCCCGCATCGGGCTCCCTGCTCGGCGGGGAGTCTGCTTCTCCCTCTCCCACTCCCCGCTTGTGTTCCCTCTCTCGCTGTGTCTTTCTCTGTCAAATAAATAAATAGAATCTAAAAAAAAAAAAATTGAAACCCTAATCCTACATCTTCCCCACCAAAAAAGTCCTAGCCTCACATAACTTTACAAAAGAGTTTAACCAATCTTTCAAAGGATTGATAATACCTGCCTTGCACAAGATCTCCAGAAGACAGAAAAAGAGAGAATGCCTCTCAACTCATTTTATGAAGCTATATAACCTTAATTTGAAAGCTGGATAAGGACTGTACAAGAAAAGTATAGATCCATTTCATTTATGGACATAAATCTAAAAATTCCCGGAATTCTCAACAAATTCTGCAACAGAATTCAAGCAGTTTAACCCTTTGTGTTCAGGGGTCCCCAAGACCACCCTCTGGTTCAATTACAGTTGAAAGGATACAGTTGAAAAGACATTACAGTGAAAGGATACAGACTGAAATCAGAAGAGGAAAGGGGCATAAGGCAGGATGTAGGAGAGACCAAGAGCAAGCCTCCAACTGTCCTCACCCAATGGGGTTTATAGATACTGCTTAATGCTCGCAGGAGAAATGGGTGGCAAAATGGAGAAACACTCACCCAGCATTGACGTCCAGGGCTTTTATTGGTGGTTGATCATATTGGCACAACTGACAGACCCTTGTGGGCCGACCTTCAGTCTCCAAACCCTCCGGAGGTCAAACAGATGCCACATGGCCCAAGGTTTCCACCAGCATCACATTGCTAGCATGAATTATCCGGTGTGGCCCAAAGCTTCAGGTAAACAAGATCTCTCTCAACAGGCAGGATATTCCAAGGGCTTAGGAGTTACCTACCTACCAGGAGCCAGGCAAGACACAAACTTTCATTTGAAGTGCAGGATATGGACAACTCAGACCTGCTGAGTCAATTTTTTACTGCACAGCATCTTAATGGACTAAAGTAGAAAGATCACATGATTTCTCGTTAAACCTTGAAAAGGCATCTGATACAGTTCAACATCTATTTTTTTAAAAAGAAAAAAATTTAAAGATTTATTTGATGTCTGCAAAGTCAAGATACTAACCTTCTGTCAATTTTTGCTCAAAGGTGGGCATGGGTTGTGTAAAGAATATGGTGCTGTCGCAGCGGTTTCTCAGGGTTGGTGGGAATCATGGTGGTAGCCCTGGACAGTGAGGTTTGGAGAGCACGGGCTCCCTCAAGCCTCTCTGTCTGCCCTTAGCTTGGGAAGGAGGAGGCCTGTGGGCTTTGCAGAGAGACCTGGGCCTGAACCTAAATGTTTAACCACTGGTTCTCTTAGGAAAAAAAAGTATGCTTATATCTGTATGTAAGTTTGTTATAAATTTTACGGACATAAAGGATGTGTGGTAAAAAATTTACAAATTACAGGGGCGCCTGGGTGGCTCAGTCATTAAGCGTCTGCCTTCGGCTCAGGTCATGATCCCAGAGTCCCGGGATCGAGTTCCGCATCAGGCTTCCTGCTTGGCGGGAAGCCTGCTTCTCCCGCTCCCACTCCCCATATAGCCAATTGATTCTCATAGGATGCTTTCACTGATTTTTGCCACATACTTTTCTGCAGCCCACCTATATCTGCAATTGATGAACAGGATCATTTGGACATGAATGTTGGTAATATTTTCCTTTAAGTTAAGGAGGAAGATAAAAGTGAAAAAACGAACACATATGTCAAAATTTGACTTGTTTGTCCATGACATGTGGAACTTGTTTTTGAACACTTCCTCAGTTTTTTGTGTTATTCACAATATTACTACTACAGGTACAACACATACTTTTATATTTAACCTTCACTTCAACATTTTCTCCATCACTTTCGTAAATCTAGAACAGGGGCTGGCAAATTGTGGGCTATGGCCAAATCTGGCCCTCTAGCCTATTTTTGTAAATAAAGCTTTATTGGAATACAGCCTGCCCATTCATCTATGCTTTTGCCTATGTCTGCTTTTATGCTCCAACAGCAGGGTCGACTAGTTGCAACAGACTATGCAGTCCACAAAGCTGAAAAATATTTACTATTTTGGACTTTCTAGAAAAAGATTGCCAGCCCTGGTCTAGACAATTAACATAACAATAAATCAACCCCAGATATGTAGCATTTGGATTTCTTTTTTTTTTTTTTAAAGATTTTATTTATTTATTTGAGAGAGAGAATGAGAGAGAACAGGGTCAGAGGGAGAAGCAGACTCCCTGCCAAGCAGGGAGCCGGATGCGGGACTCGATCCCGGGACTCCAGGATCATGACCTGAGCCAAAGGCAGTCGCTTAACCAACTGAGCCACCCAGGCGCCCAGCATTTGGATTTCTGTAATGTAACTAGTTCCACCGCTGTTGATTTTCAGCTACCAAGGTGACGTCACTGTGCGTGTGGAATTGGGAAGAGATTATCAGAAGCGCACTGTATATATAAAATAGATACAGCCTCAGGAGAATAGATAATGGTAAAATGTAGAGAATTATTTAGAAAGTGATGTTTTGAACACTATTACCTCTGATGTTAACTTATTGTTCATATAATTTCTTAATTGTAAGTTTATATAATTTAACTTTTAATAACGGCTGGCGCACAGAATTCCTGAGAATTTAACAACCAGTTCTCATGAACTGGTTGAGAATGCCTCAGCACACGGCTGGCCTGAACTCCACCTAGCTGTATGAGCAAGGCCGAATCACTTCACACACCTCTCTCTCTCTCTCTCTCTCTCTCTCTCTCAGACAGGGGAAGCAACAGAATGCAAGCCAAGCTAAGGGAGCTGGGCACTAGGCCATGCTTCTCAAACTTGTCTCCCAGATACTGCTAACTGCTGAGTATCTGGGACTAGCCCACTCAGTTTACAAAGTCTTTGAAGCCTCTTGTTTTGTCTTTTAAAATGTATATAGTTTACACATTTTTATAATCAAATTTTGGGGAGGGGGAAGGAGAAAAACTTATAGGAATCTTGTGTTTTGTTTGTTGCAGGATGGCTCTGGCCTAGCCCGAGCGAGGGCAGACTGCCTATTCCAGTTCTCCCTTGCCCGCACAGCAGCTTCAAACAATCTTAGTCCTTAAGACCAGGCATGTTAAAAAAGGATGGGAGTACTGTTCGTTAGAGAATCCAAAAGAAAAAAATTCAAGTGGTACCAACTGCCCATCCCTTATTTGCCACCCCCAGAGTCAGGGTGAGATGCGCCCACAGGGTCAGCAGCCTGCTCCTTGGGTAGGGTGTCACTCCCCGGGTGTTAGAGATGCTTTTTGGAGCATGGCTCAGGTGTGTGGTCGCCAGCAGAAAGCCAGGGGACTCGGCCAGGATCACACGCAGTGTCTAACCAGAGTGGCCCCTCCATGCCCCATCCCTGTCCATCGGAGCAAGACTTGCTCCTCAGCTTCCCCTCCCCTCTCATTCTTCCTTCATTCTATCTAAGGGAGGGTGGGGGCGGGTTCCCTCTCTCCCTGGTTCATCTCCCCCCTCAGAGCAATAGAGGTGGAATTGGCATTAGCAGCTGAGCTCATCTACTTGGGCTTATCTACTTGTGCAGACAAGTTAAGGACATCTGAACATTTGAGTTCAGTTTTTCAACCTTGACACTATTGACATTTTGGATTAGATAATTCTTTGTTGTGATGGGCTACCCTGTGGCCTGTAGGGTATTGAGAAGTATGGTGGCCAGGAGCACCCCAGTAACACCCCACCAATTGTAATAATAAAAAAATGACTTCAGACATTGCCAAGTACCCCCTCAGAGCAAAACAGCCTGCAGTTGAGAATCACTGTTTTAGTTAAACCAGTAATCTCTGGTTCTTACCTCATTTTGAGCCAAAACTTGCACATCACTATGACTAAAATATCGATATAACTTTTATTTGTTTCCAAGAGAAGAAATATATAGCCTAGGTGTTATCACCCACCCCCCACAGCGCACACACTTACCACCAGCAATGGGGTTTTTGCCATCTGACTTCTGACTGCTGAGCAGTCCAGTTCTGAAATTCCAACCTGAGGGCTGATTCCTGGGGCCACTCTTGGTACCAGCATGCCTTAGTGTAGGTTCCTCATATGAGGACTTTATTGGCAAGTGTGAGTCCAAGAACTTGGAGCGAGGGACAGGGGTTATAAGCAGGGAAGGAAAGAGAGCCATTGCAAGGATGCATTGTCAAATCAATCACTTCCTAAGGCATTTGTTGCTTGATCCTGCAAGAGTTAGAAAGGTATATGAACTATCTGAGGAGAGTCTTTCTGAAGGGAAAAAGAGAGAAGCATCAGTTGTTCACTCCATTACTCAAAGATGTGTCCCATGATGCATCATCCACTCCCCACCCCTGCACTTCTGGGTTGCTCATGTCCCCGTGTTGACCAGTTCCAGCAGACCCATGACCTCCAAGACACAGCCATGATGCACGTGAGAAGCCTGAGGCATGGGCTTGAGGAGAAGCTCACTTAGGTTATACTTCTGGTGCCTGAGTAACATCCATGGTGGTGAAATAAGCAGTAAGTGAGGCCAAGAGGATCTGAAATGGGGTATAAGAGGTGTTTGACATACTTGCACACCTCAGCTTGTGCATTGCGATTCTTTCCTGGTACCTATTCAACCAAAGAACCCTGAACATACTTTAAGTCTCAGCTTTCTCTTTATAAAATAAGGAGAGTCACCTCAAGCTTGTAGGATTGTTCTGAGAATTAGAGATCCTGCATGCGTAAAGCCTGATCATGATGTCAGTTCAGCAAATACACTGTATGTATGTGTGTATGCATAAAAATACATACATATATATTTATTAGTCAGATGTAAAGTCTTCCCAATTGATCACGAGGATTGGGGGTGGTGAGGCCAAAGTCACAGTTTCCACCTTGTGTGAGCCGGGAATTAGGCTTCTGCTGCTCAGACAGCCAGAACCTCTCTGCTGTGCAGTTAACCTTCAGTGAGCAACTACTTCGTGCTGTGCCGGGCTCTGGGCACCCAGAGACCAGAGACATTCCTGGTCCTTGCTCTCAGAGCCCTCCCAGGCTGGTAAAGACGGGCAGACAACAGCAATCGCGGCGCTGGAGGCAAGCCCAGGAGACATGGGAGCACAGGAGTCCTGGCGAGGTCCTAGGCCTCGGCAGGCTTTCTCTGAGGAAAAAATGGTCCCCAAAGCTGGAGGACTGTGTAGGCGTAACCAGGCCAAGACAGAAGGCAGGGCAAAACGTTTCTCACCAGATCCGCCAGTGCACCTCCGCCGTGGTTTCCTGGGTCCCTGCCGGGCTGGGGGTGGCGGCTGGTGCCGTGGGGGACAGAGGGGTGAGTGAGGCCAATGCCTACCGCTCCCCCCGCCCCCGCCCCCGCCCCCACCCGGGCAGAAGGAGGCGGGCGCGCGAGTGCCACACTTCCCGGGGGCTGCCACGTGAACAGACGTCACCCGCCCTCGATCACTCATTTACAACTCAGAAAAGATTTGACTCATCCATTCCATCACCGGTTAATTACATTTTTATGGCCAAAAAAGAATGCGAGGGGTTGAAGACTTTTTGCCTCTTGACAACCGTCCTTCGTTACGCTATTTTATATTTCAATAAGAAAAGAGGTATAAACAAACAGGAAGAAGACCCCACACGCTTCAGTATTCTCTGTGCCGCCCCCGCTCCCCAGCCCCCCAGTGTCCCCAAGTCCCCCCCCCGGCGGCGTCTGTCTCTTTAAGAACCCGAACCTCGGCCTCGATGGGGCCGGAGGAAGGGCGGGCTCTGGAGGCGGAGGCCTCTCGGTCTCCGAAGCAACGTGCCCTGGTACTGCGGTCTCTTTAAGGAGGCGGGGCTCTGCCCGGAGGAGGCGGAGAAGCCCCGCCCCCCGGATCTCCGGCTTCCGGCAACTCGGCGGGGCACGAACCTACGCGGAGCAACTGAGGCCAGAGCCTTCCCGGGACCGGCTGGACGCCAAGGGCCCCCGAGGTGAGGCGGCCGGGTCGGCTGGCCGGCCCGGGACAGAAGGGTTCCGCGATCTCCTGCGCGCCCGGGCCGCTGCGGCCCAGCTCCTCCCCCCTAAAACACTGCCTCTGCTTCTTGGGCAGCTCTTTCCCAGACTTGCTTGGGTTCAGCGTGTCCCAGGCTGCAGGGTCACCCTCACTCCAGCACCTACTAATTGCTCGGCTGTGCACTAAGCGCCTTACACTCACTGTCTCATTTAATGGCCTCCGACACCTTGTGAGTAGGTACCATTCTGAACCCGTTTTACAGATGAGAAAACTGAGGCCCCGAGAAGCCCACAGTCCCACAGCGAGGAGAAGCAGAATCGGGAATCAAACCCAGGTCTGTTGGACCCCAGAGCCTGTGCCCTTAACCACTGGCTAGGCTGAACTGCCTTTGCGCTTCACTGTCCTCATGACCACCTCTCAAACTCTAGCCTCCCCTTCCTCACCCTTACAGCTCGAGGCTGTACCTCGTCCTTGAACACTCAGAGTGAGTGAGATTGGATGGAACCTTTGGACCCCCCAGGGTTAGTTTCTTTATGATAGTTTCATAATATCTGATGCTAAATGATTATACAGGACGTATCACACCCCACTAAAAAAGGAGGCGAGGGAAATCAATACCATTTCTAACAGTGAAACAAGACTTGTTTGCATATATTTTATTCTGGTATCCTATGAAGTTTATTTTTCCTTTTTAGACCTCTGCAAATTTTCTTCTTACTAATTGGGAGAAGACCCACTGGCTGAATGGCAGCTGTAGATGACTTGCAGTTTGAAGGTACATCAGTTGGGTGCCTACCTTTTATGATCAGTATTTCCACAGTCACAGTGATGGGTTTTCATTGATAGACTGGCATTTATATTTAAGAAGATTATTTCAAACATCTTGGTAAAAAAAAAAAAAATGCTGGCCACATCCAGGTCTTTCTGTTTGTCCACACCAGCTGTTTTTTTTTTGCCAAATAGCCCTTCAGATTGGGAACATCATTAATTTAATACAGTGATTACAAAAAGCGTTTATAGAGTTACTACTTTAGTTCAACAGACATTTACTGAGCACCTACTTTGTGCTTCGAACTTACTAGATACAGGAGATAAAAAGATAAAGGAGAAGTTTTTTACTCTGCTGGAGTAGATAAAAGTGTAAAAAGGTAATGACGATGAAATGTGATCAGGTCATTCCTTCACTGAAACAGTAAGTGTCTCATGAGTGTGACTATGAACCAGGCAGTTGTTCTAGTTACTAGGGATAGAAGAGTGAGCAGGACAGTTCACTCCCTTATGTAGCTTTCAATCTAGTGGGGAGACATTAATTTGGTAAATGATCACTTCAATATGTATCCACAAACTATGAAAGTGCTGGAGGAACAATTCATCACTCATAACCTGGAGCCTGACCTAGACTAGGGATCGACAAATGCTTGTCTTGTAAATACTTGCACGGCACTTAGTATATGTCAGGCACTGTTCCGCTTTACTAATATTAGCTCATCTAATCTGTATGTTAACTTTATGAAATAGTTATCTTATTCTCCCTGTCTTACCAATGAGGAAACTAGGCACAGAAAAATTAAGTAATTTGCCTAATAGTTAGCAAGTGGTAAAGCAGGGTTTGAACCCAGGCAGCCGGGCTTTCCAGCCAGTGCTATCTGAGGAAGAGATGAGATGTTTAAAGAAAAATCCGCCTCCATCTTCCACATGCATCCAGCCTCTAACCACTTCTCATCACCTCTGCCTCTCACCATGCTCAAGGTCACCATCCCCTTTTGTGTGCATTATAGCCCTTACCTTCCTTCTGGTCTTCCTGCTTCCTCCCTTGCCCCCCTGCAGTCTGTATTTTGCAGCCAGTAGTCCTTTAAAATGAAATCAGATCATGTCATTCCTTCAGAACCTTCCAGTGGCTCCCATGTCACTAGGTATGAAAGCCAGAGCCTTTTCTGTGTTGGGAGGCCCTACAAGATCCAGCCCTCCACGCCCTCTGATCTCCTCTCCTGCTACTCTTGCCCTTTCTCTCTCTGCCCTTCCCACATGGGCCTGTCACTGTCCCTCCTAGACACCAAGTACACTCACAGCTTAGGGCTTTTGTGTCGTCTTTCTGTTTGGGAATTCTTTCTCCAGATAGCCACGTGGCTTGATCCCTCAGTCTTCAAATCTCAGTTCATTCGAGAGGCCCTCCTTGGTCATCCTTTCTGAGTACGGTGTGAGAAAGTTCAACATAGAGAACAGCGTATGCAAAGCACCCGAGGAGGGAGGAGGTTTGTTTGACTTTTTTTTCCAAGTAATTGAAGGAAGGCCAATGTGCCAGAGCACAGATGGCGGCGGGAGACTAGCACAAGGTGAGGTTAGAGACGAGGCAGGAGCCAAATCACAGAGGACATGGTAAATGGTGTTTAGGATTTTGCTCTTTAGGAGAGAATGCAGGATACTGTGGGGGTTGTAGAAGGCTTTTCCGAGGCAGATGGTAGTTCCGGTGAGAAAGTGGAGATCAGGACCCTTCAGGTGGAAGACATTGTGTCAGAAAAGGAACAGAGACCACATACAATGCAGGCTATGCCAGCATGTAGAAGCAGAGAATGTTGGTGACGGAAATAAAGAACGCACCAGGTTTGCCCTCAAGGAGCTGAGATGGACACGAATAACTCATGTGGAGCAGAACGTGTGGACAGTCATCCTATGAGAGGTACACACATGCTACGTTCCAATCAAACCATGCTACCTGCTGTTTCTCGAACAGGTCACACCTTTTTCCATCTTGCGGTTCTTGCTCATCCCATGCCTTTTGTGTGTGGTGCCATCCCCACCCCGCCTCTGGCTGTCCTTCTCATATGGCATCTTCTCTAAGAAGCCTTTCCTACTCCTGGCAAATAGATGAGTTATCATCCTCCTTTGAACATCTTTGACCTTTCTCCCTCTAAAGTGACCCTTTCCTCCTCCTTCTGGCATGCCCTTCTGCCCGCTGAATTTCTGCTTTTTAAATATGAGACTTAAGTGTATCTTCCTCTGTCTGATTCCCTCAGTTGTGACCATCTTTTTAAATGTTAGTGTCCTGTCCAGTCAATAAATGATAGCTATGACAATATTTATTATTATCTCATATCATCCTCAAAATTTCTCTGTAAGATGGGTGTTATCTACATTTTAGAAACAGAGATTCAGAAATATAGAGTCCCTTGCCCGAGGTGATGGAGTGTTAGTCTGAACTTTAACAAAGGACCATCTCACTCCAGAGCACCGTGCTGCTTGAACATTGCAGACTGAGGCTTGGCTGATTGTTACACATCAGCCACCTAATTAATTTTAGTCGCTCTGGTTCTCTACGAAAAACTGTTTACATAGCTGAAAGACAGTAGTAGCAGGCTCGGTTACCCTAGAGCCCCATCCTGCTGCCAGTTGTAAGATTCATGCTATGCTTGTAGTTTTAATTTTTTAATTTTTTAAAGATTTTCTTTATTTATTTGAGAGAGCGAGCGAGCAAGGGAGTGAGTGCATGAGCAGGGGCGAGGGGCAGAGGGAGAGGGAGAAGCAGACTCCCCGCTGAGCAGGGAGCTGGACATGGGACTTGATCCCAGGACCCCAGGATCATGACCTGAGCCTAAGGCAAATGATTATGACCTGAGCCTAAGGCAGACACTCAACCAACTGAGCCACCGAGGTGCTTGTAGTTTTGTAATAGTGCCCTGCTGGTACTCTTCCTTAATCCTTCCAAGGATCAGAGCTGCCTTGAGTTTTATTCAAGAGCAGCTAAATAAAGTTTGTTAGAATACCCAGAGACAGGAAGTCTCGATCATTGCTGGTGGATGTGAATAGTTGAGGTTCTTTTGGAAAGCAGTTTATCACTATGGCTTAAGAGCCTTATGAATGGTTTGCACCCTTTATCCTGGTGATTGCAGTGATAGGTGTTCATAGATAATAACTCAAGGGCTTTTTCTATGCAGGCACTTCTAACAGTGTTATTTTTATAACGAAAAGTTGGAAACACCCCAAACATCCAACTTACCGTCTCTCCTACTCCCTCCACCTCCCAGCTGATGGAATATTATGTGGTTGTGGAATATTATGTAGTTACGAAAATGATTATTGTAATGACTGATATGAAAAAATCATTTTTCTATAATCTCCACTCAACAGAGCAGGATACAGAATTGTTTATATAGTATCACTTCCTAGATCAGTACTTGGTACATTGTAGGCATGCAGTAAATATTTGTTGAATGAATGAATGTTCATCACTGGCATGAATCTTATGGATTCACTATATAGAAAAGGAAGCATACCAAAAATGATTAGTGTTTGCCCTTATATAGTAAGACTGTGAGTGATATTTATTCTGTGGTTTCTACTTTCACTTTTGACCCTATATTTTCCATAGTGATTACATAGGGCTTCTTGGAAAAAATAACTTCCATTAAAATTTTTTGAACTTGAATCAAAGAAGAGAGGTTTAGATTGGGTACGCGCTGTGGGCCAGCCACTCTGCTAAGGACTTTACTTGGGTAAGATTTCTAACTTTCCCCAAATTCTCTGAAGATATTATTCTCTGAAGGTAAATATTGTTCTCCCCATTGCATAGATGAGAATACCGAGGCTAACAGAGGTTGAGTTACTTACTCAGGCTCATTTCATTAGTAAGTAGCTGAACCAGGACTAAAATCCAGGTCTGACTCCAAATTGTGTTGTTTTCATAATCCTTTTTCTAAGTCAGCTTGATTTCTACATGAGTTTTTTTCCAGAGCCTTTTGCCATTTGTATCAAGTAGAATCTGTAGCAAAGCTGGGGTTGTAACAGCTTGCCTATCAGCGTTTCCAATGTGGGTAAGGTCTCCGGTTGCTTTCAGAATTTGGTGATGCAGCCACTTCAGCAGCAAACCCAGATACCACTACGATCCACATCGAGGGTCCTAGTGAGAGCCCGACACACCAACCAGGACTCCCCAGAGGCTCAGGAGGAGAAGAGGACGATGAGTTGCTAGGAAACGATGACTCTGACAAAACTGAGGTTTGAACTTGCCTTTGCAACTGGTTTTTCCTTTTAACATTTTAAAAGCTTCTTCATTCATTTATTCACTGTCTCCTGTGTGTCACATAGAGTGCCGGGCAGTGACAGCCCAAAGGTAGATCCCCTCGGGGTGGGGGCAGGGGGAGAGACAGGCAGGTGCCCAGGCCATTGTTACCCGGGAAACATGCTGGTGGAGGGGACACTGGGGCTGCAGGAGCAGAGTGAGGGCATTGTGGAAGTAGTGACCTGTAACTGAATCTTGTCACAAGGGTAGGAGGTAGCCAAGGGAAGAAGGCAGAGAAGGGTGATCTAGGCAAAGGAACTGTTCTGGCAAAGCCAAAGAGGCCAGAAGAGCATGGTACGCACAGTATGTTTCCCATCTTCACATACACAGGGAGCAAAATATAGGTGAAGACAGATGAGGCTACGCACTTGGCAAGGACCCAACCCCATGAGTAGGAATTGTATTCTGAATGCTATTAGGAGCTACTGAAAGATTTTAGATGATACGAACAGCTAAGTTTAAAGATAAAAGTACGGTGGCCTTGTGGGGTATAAATTGGAAGGAGCTGGGCTGGAGGCCAGAAGGCCAGGTAGGAGACCGAGGAGGTGGTCTAGGCTAGAAGTGATGAAGCCAGAACTAGAGTTGGACACAGGTGGTAAGGGGGCGGGCTCAGTAGGCCTTGGTGGGAAAGGGGTGAGGGAGAATATCAGGTGGCTGGTTTTGATCACAAAGATTTATTTCTTTTTTTTCTTTTTTTTAAGATTTTATTTATTTATTTGAGAGAGAGAGACTGAGAGAGAGAGCACATGAGAGGGGGGAGGGTCGGGAGGGTCAGAGGGAGAAGCAGACTCCCTGCTGAGCAGGGAGCCTGATGTGGGACTCGATCCAGGGACTCCAGGATCATGACCTGAGCCGAAGGCAGTCGCTTAACCAACTGAGCCACCCAGGCGCCCCACAAAGATTTATTTCTGTGTGTACTGTGGTGTGTTCTGGAAAAATAGTATTTCTATTAGTATTTTATCAATGCAGTCATGACTGTGATATCCTAGAGGAGCACCCAGTTTATAGCAGCGAGTCCACAGGCTTATTAAATAGTTTAGCTCTTGGGTGCCGAGTGCTCTTTGTGGAACTCCATGAAATATCAAAATAAGTACTGAGGTTTATGCTAAATTAAATACCCTTCTGTACTAGGTATTGTGGCAAGAGCTTAGGCCTAGGAGCCTAACTTTGAATCCTGGCTCAGCCAATAGTAATAGCTACGTGGTCTTGGGTAAGGTACTTGAACTTCCCTACAATTGGGTTTCCTCATCTGAAATATAAGAAAATAGTATGTCGACTTGTCATCATTATCATTACAATAGCTGATGTTCATTCCGTGTTTAATAGCTGCCGGACACCATTTAAAGTTCCTTACTTGGATCATCTTATTTAATCCTCAAAACAACTCTGTATGCCAGGAGCTATTCTTATCTTCATTTTACAAAGGGGAAAACCTGACGCACAAAGTTTAAATAACTTGCCTCGGTATACACAATTGATTAGAGTTCTCCAGAGAAATAGAACCGATATGAGGTGTATTTATAGAGAAAGAGGTTTATTTATTTATTTTAATTTTTTTTAAAGATTTTTATTTATTTATTTGAGAGAGAGGGAGAGAACATGAGAAGGGGGAGGAGCAGAGGGAGAAGCAGGCTCCCCACTGAGCAGGAAGCTCAATGCAGGGCTCGATCCCAGGACCCTGAGATCATGACCTGAGCCGAAGGCAGATGCTTAACTGACTGAGCCACCTGGCGCCCCGTATTTATTTTAATTTTTAAGAAATATTTATTTATTTTGTGTGAGTGCATGAGTGAGGGCAAGGCAGAGGGAGAGAATCTTCAAGTAGATTCCCCAACCCAGGGCTCAGTCTCACAACCCATGAGATCATGATCTGAGCTGAAACCAAGAGTTGGATGCTCAACCGACAGCCACCCTGGTGCCCTGCGAAAGAGGTTTATTTTTAATTTTTAAAAAAGGATTTATTTATTTATTTTAGAGAGAAAGAGAGAGAGGGAGGAGAGGTGGAGAGAGACAGAGAGAGAAAATCTCAAGCAGACTCCGTGCACAGCACGGAGCCTGAAGTGGGACTTGATCCCACAACCCTGAGATCATGACCTGAGCGGATATCAAGAGTTGGATGCTGAACTGACTGAGCCACCCAAGTGCCCCGAAAGAGGTTTGTTTTTAAAAATTGGTTCATGTGATTGTGGATGCTTGGTGCATCCAAAATCTGATGGAAGCAGCTGGTAGGCTGAGATTCAGGAAGGAGTTGGACTTTGAGTCCAGAGGCATTCTGTAGATCCAGGAAGAGCTGGTATTGCAGATGAAATCCAAAGGCAGTCTGCTGGAGAAGTCCCTCTTGCTCGGAGAGGTCAGCCTTTTGTTCTCTTCAGGCCTTCACCTGATTGGCTGTGGCCCACCCACATTGTGGAGGGCAATCTGCCTTACTCAGAAAGTCCACCAATTTAAATGTAAAGCTTATCCAAAAACACCCTCACAGAAACATCCAGAATAATGTCTGACCAAATACCTGGGTGCCATGTCCCAGACAAATTGACGCATAAAATTAACCATCACACTGAGCAGCATCAGGCATCAAACATTGGAGAAATATATAAGGGGGAAAAAAATCTTAATGCTGAAACATTCTATCCATTATCTTAATTTGTCTAGGAACTGGGAATATGTTACCAATAGTCTATGATAGAGACTGAATTCCTTGTCCTAACTTACGGAACATGGGTCTCTGGAGTTCAGTATCTTTTAATCCTAGAGTTCGAAAGAACCTTCAGTTCCCTCTGTTTCGGCTTCCCTCCCAAGATGTGAATGCCGTCTGTGGTATGTCAGAAAGACAGCACTTGAATACCTCCAGAAGCAGGCTGTTCATTACCATGGAAAACAGCTGCTGCCACTATTGGACAACTTTAATTATGGAAAACTTGTCCTTTCGATGAACAAATAATATCTGCCCTGTATCTTCCCTTGTCATGCAGAGCTCCTCATAGGCCATCTGTGCCTTTTGCTGTCTGAATCCTCGTGAAAAACCTGAAGTGGCAAGGGGCCTGCGTTCCGCTGTCGAATAGCTGTGCTGTTGGGATCGATGTGGCCCTCGTGTGCCTCTTCTAAATTGGAATTTTGTGGGGGTTTTTTGTTAGAGAAGTATATTTTAAGTTTTTAGTACATGAGAGTAAGTCAGTAGATCAGATTTTTGAGAATTCAGGTGGTGATAGTAGTAAGAATCTTGAGGAGGTAGGGGAGTAAAAGATACTTACACTGACTACCTCCCGTCTGTACATGTCCATGTGTATATATGCATATATATGTTATTATACCTGGTACATATTATATAGAACCGAGCCAGTCCTTCCTATAATCCTGTGAGGTGGATCTTGTTCGCTGTAGTTTTTCGAGAATGGAGTCTAATGATTTGGCAAGTCTGTCCCTGGTGGAGGACCAGGGATTGAAACCTTTTGGTGTGACTTCAGAACGGGTGCTTGTTTTCTGTCAGGCTGAGCTGGGCATGGCTGTTGCAAAGTTGCTGAATGCAGAAGAGCTCCGTCTTCCATGCATCTTGATTTTCCATTAGATCAGCTCCCAGTGTCTGCATAGCTGATAGAAGGAAATTACTTCTGTGTTCATTGTATTTTATTTTACCTCTGACAGTTACTTGCTGGACAGAAGAAAAGCTCCCCCTTCTGGACATTTGAATACTATCAAACATTCTTTGATGTAGACACTTACCAGGTTTGTAAACCAGTTTCACCTTTCCTTTCACCTGTAATGGAGACTTGTGTCTTTTATGGTTAAACAATCCCATAATGTGAAAGCTTTTGCATACTGGATGTAGACTTACAAAAGTAAAGGGTTATTGGCATTTGAAAATACTCTCATCGTAAAAGCTGTAATAATGGAGTTTCAATTTTGCAGTATTTGAATTTATTAAACTTTAAAGAAATCTTCAGTAGACTTCCTGCTGTGTTATTTTCCAGGTCTTTGACAGAATAAAGGGGTCTCTTTTGCCGATACCAGGAAAAAACTTTGTGAGACTATACATCCGCAGTAATCCAGACCTTTATGGTACGTATGCCCCGTTTTGCTTCTTTACCGTGTCCTGGTTGAATTCAGGTGAGCCCGCAGGTTGCCCGAAAAGTTGGAGAAGTGCTTTTGGCGGGGCATGCTACATTTTAGTCAGCTCTTCTGAACGTCAGTAACAACCTTTGCAAAACATTTTGGGGAAAATGCAATTCTGTGTTACAGTAATGCCGCGATGACAAATAATTAGTATGTCTTTTGAAAGTCTTCAAATGACACTACAAACTTGAGATGAATTAAGTCACTTTAAGAGGAGATTGTTGATTTTTTTTTTAAAAGATTTTATTTATTTATTTGACAGAGAGAGAGACAGCGAGAGAGGGAACACAAGCAGGGGGAGTGGGAGAGGGAGAAGCAGGCTTCCCGCAGAGCTGGGAGCCCGATGCGGGGCTCGATCCCAGGACCCTGGGACCATGACCTGAGCCGAAGGCAGCCGCTTAACCGCCTGAGCCACCCAGGTGCCCCAGGAGATTGTTGATTTTAACTTTAGAGGATTTGATGGTGGGGATAAGTGTGGGAAAGGTATTGTCACACTTACTCATTCATGTGCTGAGTCCCAGCTGTGCCCTCCGATGAGCTGGCTCCCCTTGGGACTCAGCCAGTGGCACTGGAAGTCTGTAAGAGCGATGGGTGGGGGGATGACTGTTATCCCTCCCCGCTATCTGAGATAGGTGAGAGGTTCACTCAGCGCTCCTCAGGCAAAGGGCTCCCACGGCCATGACCTCCCGTGTTTGAAGGGAGAAGAGAAGAGCCAACGGCTCTGGGTGCTTTCTGTGTGCAGGTGCTCTGCAAAAGACTGTGTACGTGGTCACCTTTAATTCTTGTAGCACCCTTTGGGGTAGGTGTCATCCCCATTTCTCAATGGGAAGCTGAAGCTCGATGAGGCTTAGGAAAATGTATGCTCAGTCCTAAATAAGTATTAGAGTAATATGTTACGTATTTTGTCCACATGTTGATTATAAGAGGAGAAGGAATTCGTGAGGATCTACCAGGTGCCAATGACTGCATACACTGGTTAGTCCTTTCAAGAACACTCTGGATTAAGTGTGATTATCCCTCTTTGCCCTGTGAGGAAATCAAGGCTGAGAGGTGTCAAAACTAAAAAAGTAGAACTAGAACTAGTTTAGTGTTCCATAAAGCCCATCTTTATTCTATTCGCCTGGTGGCTTTAAGCTACAGAACCTTCTCATCACCTGGCATGGATGTCCAATATTTGGAGCTCGAGAAAGCGGGAACGGCTGTGGGGGAGGCTGGGGAGAGGCTCCTTCCGTACAGCTCCTCTCTGGCAGCACTGGCAGCTCCAGCCAGATGTCGGTGCAGTGCCTGGAGCTCCAGGGAGCACCACGTGCAAAGCATGCCTTGGCCTATACCTCTCGTCTAAGTGTTGCCAAGGCGGTTTGTCTCCAGCTCTTTTGTTCATTCTTCTAGCCTGAGATCTTGAGAGACAGGCCGTGTGTCTAAGTGATCCATGTCATCAGCGCTTGGCACAGAGGAAGCACGCCAAGAAATTTTGAGCACCCTACTTTGTGCTACAGACTGAGGGTTCAAAGATATAGTCATGGTCTCCACCCCCAGGGAGAGAGAAACGAGAGAACGACCATCTGCCAAGCGCCTCACAAGTGCCAAGAGCTCAGCCCTGTGTTACTGTTTTACAGTTTTATTTCCCACACTCCAAGGTAGCCTTGTCTTCCAAAAGAGAAAATGGAAGTTTGGGGAGGATAGCTTGCCCATAGTCACAGAGTTAGCAATGAAAATGACACTAGCAAACAATCTCAGTGCTTACTATGTGCCCTGTTATTGGGGAAGAACCTGTATTAACTCACTTCGTCCTCATGACAACCCCAACGTTATGAGGTAGGTACTCTTATTATCCCGTTGTATGGATGAGGACACTGAGTCATGCAGAAGTCAGTATCATGCCTAAGATCATATAGCTAGTAAGTGGCTGAGCTCAGTTTTCAAATCAGCACCATGGCTCATAATCCATATTCATCATTCTGTTATGCGGCCTCTCATGGCAAAGCCAGGATTTGAACCCAAAGCCTGTTTTTTCACAACACTATTAGCTTCATGAGCTCATAGACATGGTTAAAAAAAAGGGAGGTACTATATAGGTAAAGTGTTTGATAGCAGAGAGGACTGGGCCTTGGAGGGCAGGTGGGAGGCAGTGGTCAGGAAAAAGATGACGGAAGCGCCAGTCTGCAGAATTGGAAGTCGATGAGTTTGACTGCATGTAAACTAAAATATAAAATTTCTACACCACCAAATTAACCATAAGCAAAGTAAAAAAAAAAAAAAAAGTAAATAAGCCACAGACCAGAGATAATATTTGTAATTCTCATAAGCAACAAAGGATGAAAAGCAAGAATATGTTTAGAACTCCTACCAATTATAAGAATAAAACCAATTATAAGTTCTAGGGGAAAATGAGCAATTCACAGAAAAGGAAAGCCAAATGGCCAACAAATACATGAAAAGATGCTGAGTTCCACCTGTAATCAGGGAAATAAAAACAAAACAAGATATTATATTATGCTCATCATTTTAGCTAACATGTACAAATTGGCTTATCTTCATTCAATTAATTCAGCAAATATTGAGCACTTAACTATTCTAGGCACTGGAGATAGAGCAGTGAGAAAAAATGCTTGTTTTGAGGTAGTTTAGAATCTACTGAGCGTAACAATAAACACATAAAAATAAGTCAAATATATACGCAAGTGATAAATGCCAAGGTGAAAATTTTAAAGGACAGGAAAGTTTGTGTGGGTGGGTGGATTTGAAGTTAAAAAAAAAAAATTGGGGGCGCCTGGGTGGCTCAGTTGATGATCCTGGAGTCCCGGGATCGAGTCCCACATCGGGCTCCCTGCTCAGCAAGGAGTCTGTTTCTCCCTCTGACCCTCCTTTCTCTCATGCTCTCTGTCTCTCATTCTCTCTCTCTCAAATAAACAAAATCTTAAAAAAAATTAAAAAAAAAAATTAAGAGGTGAATTTACTGTAAAGGCCTGGAGGAATTGGGAGCAATCCATGTAGATATCTAAAGGGAAGGCATCTGAAGCCGTGGGCACAGCAAGCACAAAGGCCCTGAGGCAGGAACTTGCTTGGTATGCTCAGAGGACAGCAGAGACTGGTGTAACTGAGCCAGAGGAAAGAGGGGACCTGGTAGATGAGGTCAGAGAGACATGATGCAGGGGTAAGTTATGTAGAATCATGGTCGCAGTGGACTTCAGCTTTTACTTACATGAGAAGCCATTGGAGGGTTTGAGCACAGGAGTGACATACTCTTAAGTCAGATCTTCAGAAACGTTAATACCGAGAGTTGTCAAGAACGTGTACAGCAATGGAAACTTTTGTATGTCTGGTGGGGACGTAAGTGCTATGCGAATGGGAGCCATTTGAAGATGCTCCTACCTTACCACTTAGCAGTTCCACTCCTAGATGTATGGTCTTAGAGAAACTCACGAATATAAAAGAAGACATAGAAGAATATTCACTGCAGCAGCAATGCTTATATAGCAGAGATTTGGAAGCAACCACATATTCATCATCAGGAGAAGAGAGACGTGAATTGCAGTGTGTTCATACACAGAATCTGTGGTTTTAGGAATGAATGAGATCTACAAGCATCAATGTGGATAAAATCTCAGAACAAAGATAAATGAAAGAAAGTATGTCGTAGAAGGATGTGAGTAGTATGACCCCATTAGAAAGACTTGAGAAAGTAGCATGATGGGTACACCAGTGTTTGTTTTATCATTCTTTGTACTTTGCTGTATGTTAGAAATATTTTATAATACAAAAATGCATAATGCAAACTAAATTAAGGCTCCCTCCCACCCCACCCCGTAATGAGAGTAGGAATTTGGCAGGAAAGAGGAAGAGGGAAGGCGTGTAAAGCAAACTGGAAGGCCCTGGGATGTGTGGGTGGTTGTGTGTCTCTGGAAGCCGAGCTTCCTGTGTGCGCGCAGGCACAGGACACAGGGACTGTCTGCTGTGCATCATGATGTCCCCAGCACCCGGCCCAGGGTCTAGGGGACAGTGGGTTCTTACAGGTAATGGCCAATAGGATATGATGTTCTCTGCTTTCTGGTTATAGGAACTATAATACTTTGGCCACTGGTGGTCATATGCTTGGTAGGTCTCAGCCCATTGACAACACATGGTCAGTTTTGTTCATTTGTTCAACAGAGCTTTGGGGGATTTTTTGATTGTTAAATTGTAGGAGGTGTTATGGTCTTGTTTGCTTGTTGCATCTTTTGTATGGTCGGGACTCAGAATAATACAGTGAACAAGATTTAGTCCGGTAGCAGAGAGCCTGCAGGCTAGTGATTCAGCAGCAATTTGTGGAAAGCACTATTGGTGACTCTTGGCAGCATCCCAGTCCATTGCTTGTGCTCCTGCCTTCAGGAACCAGCCTGGCTTGGAGAAGTGCTAACCCATTTCTGCCAGGCATCTCCCGCAACGCAGTAATTTTCTGAATTTTGTGATATGTCAAGGTGCCTGTAGTTATTCCCAAAAGTGTTGCAAAACATTGGTGAAATTGAAAAATTAATTTCCTAAGATTTATTAGAAATCTCTCATTTTAAAAATTCTATTGGTTCCACATAGTACTTTTTCTAGATAGGGAGAAACAAGGGTGGCATTCATGAAATCAAGTGAAATAGTGAAAGGAATTTGCAAAGCACGGTATACTCATTCACTCAGTGGGATATTTGATAACCGTTAAAAAAAGAATGAGCTGATTTTTATGAATAGCTATGGTAGAATCTCTAGGATATATTAAAGTGAAAATAGTCAAGTACAGAGCAAGATATATATAGATATATATATATGTATGTTATCATCTATACACACACCAAATATGCATTTGTTTATAGGTATATAGAAATCTCTGGCAAGATTCGCCACAAAGAGGTTATGGTGGCAAGCTCTGGGGAGGAGAAATGCATAGAGCTAGGGAACAAAGAGAGAGGGAAGTTTATTTTTCTCTGGATTCCCTTTTGTACCTTTTGAACACTGAACTATGTGCATGTATTACTTTTTCATTAGAAAAACAAAGCCTTAAACACACATTACATGTACACACACACCCATGATGAACTGGTAGATTAAATTAACTCTTCCTAAAGTGTTCTGCTCGCCCTACTCTTCCATTTAGACTGCAGAAGGACCTGCCTGATTCATTTTTCTCTGGGCATTAATTAACATTTGGCACTTAGATAAAGGAAGTAACCTTTGCTTCCTGTATCCTGATGGAAAAGATTTAACAAAATGTCCATGATTTTTTGGACGATCCTCTAATTACAGAAGCTATAAACAAATTAGTGTCTTTAGTCACCTAATTGTGGAAGGTGTTTTGGCCTTTTCATTCAGTCTCCCCTATCGTCAATGCACCTAATTGCTGAGTTGTGTGTTTGACCTTTTAAAAAAGAAAATTCCCATTAAATGAGTATTGATTGCATCTAAAATTCATTTTCCCTTGCTTACATGAATAGGTCGAGGGAGAGAAATTACTCTGTAAGTGTCCAGAAGCCAGTGCTTCATTTTCTTGACTGAATTTTCTGGTTTTCTTTGCAGGCCCCTTTTGGATATGTGCCACGCTAGTCTTTGCCATAGCAATTAGTGGGAATCTTTCCAACTTCTTAATCCATCTGGGAGAGAAGACATACCATTATGTACCCGAATTCCGAAAAGGTTGGTGAATAGCTTGACTCATTTGGAATGCTTTCAGTTTGTAACCATGAGTTCCTTTTACTGTGCCCTTGGGCCCCTGTCTCTACGTGCTGCAGCCCTGGCTTTTTGTATTTAAGGATTCAAACATACTTATCATCTCAGAGTTACCACCCATCTATATAAATCTACATAATCTTTTATTGTGGTAAAATACACATACCATAAAATTTACCATTTTAACTCTCTTAAAGTATACCATTCAGTGGCCTTGAGTACATGCACAATATTGTGAATCCACATGTCTTTTGGAAAGCTGGAAGGCAAGGCCAAATAGCAATTGGAATTTATCCAAAGAAAAATGTGCAAAGTAAGTAAAGAGCAGTGTGCATGAAAGTCTCCATTGTAGCATTATTTGTATTATCCAGATGTTGGAAACAATAGGGGCATTGTTATTTAAGCCGTGGTGACTCAACTAGCTGGGCTGGAGCCACTAATTATGAAGCACTTAGAACAATGTGGAAAACTGATAATCCAAAATTATGCCTATGCTGTTGGCAACTTGGTTACAGAGAAGTCTGCAAATGGTCAGGGTCTCGAAGGGAGAATGTAGAAAGGAGTTTGTCCTAGGGATGGGCTTGTGGATGACATTGTTTTAAAACTTCCTTTCTTGTGGCAGTATTGGATAATTATACAAATAAAGCAACAGACAACTTTTTAGGGACTTACAGATGACAGCCACCCCCCAATGAGGAAGTTTGGCTTTGTAGGAGATTGACATTGAAGTGCACAACTTCCTCCATTCTCTCCTTCCCTCCTTCCCTCCTCTCCCCCACCCCCTCTCCCCGCCCCGCTGCCTGCTTGCTGTCCTGTTTAGAGGCTGTAGATAGACCCTCTAAGAGCACAGTCTCCAGAACCAGGTCACTGGCTTCAAGTTCCAGTTCCATCACTCATTAGCTTCTGTGTGTCGGGCAAATTAGTTCATCTCTCTTGGCCTCAGATTCCTTATCAGTGAAATGGGAATAATAATACCTATATTATTGGACTCCTGTGAGAATAGAGTTGATGTGTGTAAAGAGATGGGAATAATGCCTTATACAAAAAAGAATTCCTACACAAACACGTATATGTGTGTATAGGGAGATATGCAATTACCTCTGTGTGTGTGTGTGTGTGTATGTGTCTCCATGTATCCTCCCTTTTACCTTCCAGGCCCATTTACATGGAGTCAGACCTGGATTCAGTTACAGCCCCATTTGTCAAATGACTCTGATTTGAGTTTAACTCAATAAATGTTATTCATGAGATATAGACCCTGCCTTCAAGTTGTTCAATGGTTAAGAAAGACAGGTAAAGGAATATTGTGGTAAGTGGGATGTATTAATTCCTGTATCAGAGGTATGTATAGGTGTATTGACAGAAGAGGGAATGACCCTGCCTGAGGGTCTGGAAGCTCAGGAGGGTTTTTATCTTTTCTTATCCTCCTTGGCTGGGCAGTATAAGGGAGTCATGATATGAATGTACCAGTAAGATAGTCGTTGACTCTGTCAATAAACATTTTTCCATTTTTTAAAAGATTCATTTATGAGAGAGAGAGTGGGGGGGAGGGGCAGAGGGAGAGAATTTTCAAGCGGACTCTCTGCTGAGCACAGAGCCCAACATGGGGCTCAATCCCATGACCCACGAGATCACGACCTGAGCCAAAACCAAGAGTCGGATGCCCAACCGACTGAGCCACCCAGGCGCCCCTAAACATTTTTCCATTTTATGTAAAGAGTATACATCCACAAAGTCAGATCCTGCTTCCACCACTTGTTATTTGACCTTGACCAAACCACTTAGCTTCTCTGATCCTGTTTCCTCATCTCTAAAATGAAGATGTAGATTATGTGAAATAATGTATTTACATATCAGTTAATAATAGAAAAGGCTACTTCTTGATTGAGCATTTATTATTTATCAATCAGTGTTCTATTTGTTTTAATTCATTTAATTCTAGTAATCTTATAAGGTAGTATACTATTTTATTCCCATTTTACAGATGAGGAAACTAAGGCAGGGAAGTTAAGTAATTCACTACTCAGGGTTACTTAGCTACAAGTGGCAGAGTTAGGATTAGAGTCCATGGAGTCCACATGTGGGGTCTGACTACATTGCCTGGGGTGCCGTTGTGCTTGCCAAGAGCGTTAAGTGCATCACCCTCTGATTTTGCTGTGGGAAAGGCTGGTGCCACGGGCTTAGCCACACTTACTGGTTGTCCACTCCAGAAGAGGGCAAATGAAGCCTCTGGAGCCTGGTGCTCCTGGAAGAGGAGGAAGGGACAGTAAAATGCTGAACGTTGCTGTTCTGAGGAGCCGCTACGCAGCATTTCCAGCACAGGCGCAGAATTACTTAGTGAAGAAAGCGAATGTGAGGAACATTTCGACCAATTCATCGATGAACTGAAACTCCCTACTTCAGGGATAGAAGGCCCTCTAAATAGCATGCACAGCCAGTTAATCTGTACCCAGGGCATTTTTAATAAAAATTTGCTCAAGAAATCAGCCTCAGCTCTTGTTAGCCGAGGAAAGAGGGTGTGTTCTTCTAGGGGGAGAGTTGGCTTTCGCTTGATCGAAATGCTTGGTATGTTTAAACACCTGGAGTGAGGCCCTCTGAAGTCTTTCAGTTGCATAATGCAGTTGTTTAATACTATGAGTTGTTAGTTACTAAACAAATTATAAAAGCCATAGGAGAGACCACTGGTCTTCACCACAAAGACGGTGCTGAAGATTTGTCAATTCAGGACCGTGATTGGGTGCCTACTCTGGGGCAGGTACTGTGCCAGGCGTAGTAAGACACGATCCCATGATCCAGTGAAGCAGGTGGACGTGTTAGGAAATAAGTCCAGGAAGGTATGAGAAGTGCGCTGATGGTAATTCGGACTGCCACCTTTGTCTTCTCATCCTCAGTGTCCATAGCGGCCACCATCATCTATGCCTATGCCTGGCTGGTTCCTCTCGCACTCTGGGGTTTCCTCATGTGGAGAAACAGCAAAGTTATGAACATCGTTTCCTATTCGTTTTTGGAGATCGTGTGTGTCTATGGATATTCGCTCTTCATTTATATCCCCACAGCAGTAAGTACCACACTTATTCTGAGTGACGCCCTGGGCTTCTCAGAAATTCAGCCGGCGTCATCATTTCTAGCCCAACACTGATGGGCACCTGAAAAATACCCTTTGAATTTAGAAGTTCAGCAGGAAGGGGGATAGGGAGCCAAGTGCCTTTGCTGGACCTCCAGCCCTTCGTTCTGAAAGCATTCACCTCAGTCTGCGTGCTGGGGTGTTTCTCCGGCTGAGACTGAGACGCCACGGTGGTAGGGGGCGCCCAGCTGCCAATGGGCTCAGGGGACTTTGTAAGCACAGGTGCCTGGAGTGACCAGATGCCTCCAATAAAGCCCTCCTCTCCCTCCTTTTCTCTCAGGTACTGTGGATTATCCCCCAGAAGGCTGTCCGTTGGATTCTAGTCATGATTGCGCTGGGGGTCTCAGGCTCTGTCTTGGCAATGACATTTTGGCCAGCTGTTCGTGAGGATAACAGGCGCATCGCGTTGGCCACAATCGGCACGATTGTGTTGCTTCACACGCTGCTTTCTGTGGGCTGCTTGGTATGGTCTCATTCCTGTGATCTTCCTGTGTGCTTTATTTTTATTTATTTATTTATTTATATTTTTAAAAGATTTTATTTATTTACTTGGCAAAGAGAGACACAGCGAGAGAGGGAACACAAGCAGGGGGAGTGGGAGAGGGAGAAGCAGGCTCCCCACTGAGCAGGGAGCCCGATGCGGGGCTCAATCCTGGGACCCCGGGACCCCGGGACCATGACCTGAGCCGAAGGCAGACACTTAACCAGCTGAGCCACCCAGGCGCCCCTTCCTGTGTGCTTTACATACAAATGCTGAAAGACCCCAAGCTGTTATTCACAATAATTCCTTTAAAACTGGCTGCATAAAATGAATATTGTTTTAAATAGACTGTCCTAAATGAGAAATGGTAAATTTATGAGAATTTGATGGTAATCTCTGGCTTTACCAAATTTCTGAAATTTGGTTACGATTCAGAGTGTGGCCAGAGGAAGTGGAGCTGGATGAGTGTCTATAATAGGTTGGGGTGCGGGGCTTGGTGGGGGAGTTCTGCCTTTGGATGTCTTTGCTGGTTTTCTGCGCATACCTAGAAAGAGTTTTGAAATTTATAGTTTCATAGGTGGAAAGCATGAGGATGAAGTCAAATTAGGAAAGGGGAGATATTTTTAAGGTGAGTAACGTTTAAAAGAGTTTTTGAGTTCATGTATTTGGGTGTCTTTTTAGGGAGAGCATGTCCTTTTGAGTCAGAAAGGCCCAGATCGGACACCGGCTCTTTTACTCACTGGCTGTATGAGCTTGGCCATGGTACCTAACTTCTCTGAATCTGAACGTCTTAATCTGTAACATGGGCATAGTATTTCCTGCCACATAGGGTTGTTCTGAGAATAAAATAAAATAGTACATATAAAATATTTAATGTAGAACTTGTCCCACAAATACCCATAAATTAGGTCCCTTTCCCTTGATCCTAAGGAGATATGATTTTCTATCTGTGCACATTGTACACAAATATTTCGGTCCATGGCCTTAACAAGGCCTGACACAGGTTTTTAAAGAACTCCAAGCTGAGGAATGTTAAGGTCACTGATGAAGGAAAGGACGTACCCACGGGAAGATATCCATCCATCTCACCCGTGTCCAGACTCTTGGTCAGGTTTTACAGTTGTGGGAGTAAGTATTTCTTTGGCACCATTTGATCTATAATATTTTTGTCTAGACAGCCTGGGTCATGCATAAGATCCCAATACTTGATCACTGAACGAGTCTCATAAAAAGTGCCAGGTTCTGAGACACAGAGCTGGTTTACATATACTTTCCACGTGTCTGAGCTTTAAATTCTTGAGACCTCTACAGGACTGTTGGTTTGACTCACGGCAGAGTGACACCATTAATTTCTGGCACTTGGAGCCCCTGGGCTGATCCCTTGTAATGCTGCTGCGACCCTCCTTGACCCTTCTGTCTGCTGAGGAAGAACATCCTGTCTCACTGTAGCCCTCTCACTGGTGTGTCCCCATGTCTCCCTTGAATTTTCGTCCCTATATACTTAGTTGAGGCATTGATGGAGAAAAGGAAGCAGGAAGAAGTGCTGCCTTGTTCAGTTGTGTAAAGGATCGAGAGGAGCATGGCAATCAGACTTTGGAGCAGGGAGGAGGAGGAGGGGGTGGTGGTGGTAAGAGTATTATTAAGAACCTATTTCATTTGGTGCGCATGGCAGGCTCTTTTACCTCCTATGCCTGTTCCTCCCTTTTGGGATAAATGACACTGACATTGGGACTTACCTGCCCATCTTGCTGCTCAGGAACTTGCTGGAAAAGAGCAATTAGAGGGAAGCAGAAAGAGTACTGCACTGGGCTTAGCACTGCGAGCCTAGGCGAGCGCTCTCTCTCAGAAACTTGGCTTTCTCCTCTGTCACGGAGATTAAAATTTTGTGGGCTTTTGTGAGGCTCAGTGAGATGGCTGTGAGAGCCCTTCATATACTGTGAAGGGTTCTTCAGATGTAAAGAAGTTACTAGAAGAGCCCTGTGTCATCTGAAGCTGCCAGGGCCCTTTCATGTGTGCCTCTCGCTGGCATCTTCCCGCCTCTCTCCAGAACATCTTTCCCATCATACACCTGGTTGGGAAGTTGGAGGAGACAAGGAGGCAGGAGAGAAGGCCTTGCCTGGTCCACTTCCAGGGGACTCCGGGGAGCCAGGCGCATTGGATGATGGAGCAGGGAGGGAATTGCAGGTGTAGGACCCCTTTCTTGGAGGGGAGGCACAATTTTCTCCTCCTCGAAGAAGGGAACGATTCCATGATCAGGTGTTTAGCCAGGGGCCCTCTGTGCCTGGAGTTTTGTTCTCCACACCAGAGCTGCCTCCTCTGTCATCTTCTGGAGATGTGCAGTACAAGAGGCTGAAGCAGAGATGAGGAGACGGGGTCTGGTCCCAGCTCCCTCACCCCTGCTTTGGTTATTTCCCCTCTCTGAACCCCACCTCCTCACTTAGAAAAAGGAGCTGCAGAGCATCTTTACTTTTGCAAGGATTGAATGTGCAACGTGAACAACACAAGCCGAACACATGCAAGACATTATTTTTATTGGAAGGGCAGGGAGAAGACTTGGCAGCGGAGGGGCACTGACTGACCCAGACAGCGTGGCTTCCCACTCTGCCCTGGGGAGCACAGATTGCCATTTTTGCCTCAATGTTCTGAAGCGTATGCCAGCACTCTACCTGCCGAGGGCCCCTCGGTGCTCATGGCTGTGCGCTGTTGGTAGCGGGACACTCCTGGCGGGGATGACTAAGGAAGCCCGGAAGGGTGCGTCCTTGGCTGGCGGGTAGATGTACAAGCCTGTGTTCGCGGGGGTTACTGCTGATAGTCGACCGTCCCGTGCCCTCGCTCCCTGCCAGGTGACACTCCTGGCCTGACTTCTAGAAAACCTGATGGTTCATCCTGACGCCTCCACGGTGCCTATATCTAGACGGGGCGTAGGCTAGGTGCCAAATAGCAGGCCGCTCCACAGAAGAGAAGAACATAGACTTTGGAGCCGGACACAGCTGGATTGAAACCCTAGCTCAGACACAGGGTTGTGTAGCCTTGGGAAAATCTCCATCTCTTTGAGCCTCCACTTGCTCATCTTTAAAATGGGGATAACATTGGGTGCCTGGGTGGCTCAGTTGGTTAAGCGACTGCCTTCGGCTCAGGTCATGATCCTGGAGTCCCAGGATTGAGTCCCGCATCGGGCTCCCTGCTCGGCAGGGAGTCTGCTTCTCTCTCTGAACCTCCCTCCTCTCATGCTCTCTATCTCATTCTCTCTCTCAAATAAATAAATAAATAAATAATCTTTAAAAATAAAATAAAATGGGGATAACATTGCCTATTATTAATGATCTAGTATGTGCCTGGTGCACAGTAGGCACTCCCCAAATGGTAACTGTGGTTGTTACTAAGTATTTGTGGCATTAATGAACTAACGAGTCATAGAATTATAGTTGCCCTTAGAGGCAATTTTTTCTAATCCCTTTGTTTTACACATTAGAAAACAGGCTCAGAGGGGTGGAGTGACTTGTCCAAAGTTACAGTGTGAGTTACTAGCAAAGACAAGTTTAGACCCTGGCCTCTTGGCTCATTCCATCTGATGAGGGCCTCCTCCAGGAGCCTGGAAGAAAGGCACGGCTCCTGCACCATGGGGGGCGCTTTGTGGCTCTGTGCACACAGCATCGAGATAGCTGGAGGGGCCCAACACTAGCAGCATGGCCCCTGTCCCCCACCCCCTTAAGTTAGGAACGATTCTTTCCCCACCTCAGAAAGCAGGTGCCAGAACGGGCCCTGGGAAGAAGGCTTTTAGAGTTAATAAGATTGCTCTGGGAATGTGACAAGCTAAGGGGGCTCCGCAGCTAGAAACTTGGAAATGGATTGTTGAAGAGTTCACACAGAACAGGAGTGTTGGGGAAAGCTCCAGTGTGTCGTCTTGGTGCCCCCTTCTGGCTGATAGAGAGTAGAGCTGGTGAAATGGTTCTTGATTTGGCTTTTTGTCCTTTTACCTTCCTCATGCCATGACTCCAAGGGAGAGTCACAAGTGTGCAGTGACCCCTGACTTATTAAGGTATTCCCCTTACTTTGAACAACCCAGGTATTTTCCTGGGCTAAAGTCGGATTCTCAGACTTTGAGACAGGTCGGAAGATCCTCTTTATTTTTTCTCCCTCTTCTACCTCTTCCTGATTTTTTTTTCTTTTTAAGATTTTATTTATTTATTTGACAGAGAGACAGATAGTGACAGAGATAGTGAGAGAGAGCACAAGCGGGGAGGAGAGGGAGAAGCAGGCTACCGCTGAGCAGGAAGCCCAACATGGGGCTCGATCCCAGGACCTTGGGATCATGACCTGAGCCGAAGGCAGACGCTTAATCGACTGAGCCACCCAGGCGCCCCTACCTCCTCCTGATTTTTGACAGTGAAATTGTAGATGGTGACTGGAATCACTTATCAGACCTTTCTTTTCCAAGCTGGAGAATTATGAGGTCAGGCCTGCCTGGCACTTTCTTGTAAAGGTCCTTACCAAGAGCCAGCTAGTTTAGCAGCAATCTGTTGTAGCTCAGTTTCTTTATATGGATTGTTTACATCGTGGGCCAGACCCTGAGTGAGAGGCTGGTGGCACAGGAACAGGAAGGACACAGTCTTTGCCCTGGAGGAGAGACTGGATGATGTGGCAATGAAGAGCCTGAGCCTTGGAGTCAGAAAGACCCAACTCTCCCATCCGCTAGCCATGTGCACCAGATGGAATGACAGCCTCTCTGAGCCTCCGTTTCTCATTTGTGAAATGAGGATAATAATAGCAGCCTTACGGGGTTCTTATGCAGATTAAGTCCTATGGAGGAAGTGGCCAGTAAACGGTGGCTACATTTTAAAAAGTTACTCATAGCAGAGTAAGTGAGATGGACAGAAACAGAGTCAGTTGTAGTTCAGTGGGTTGACAAGCGTGGCAGAGGGAAACGTAGGGGCCCCGGGGAGCCCAGAAATCGTATCAACTTGGAGTCTAGAACACTCGAGCAGACCATTGTGTTTTAACTCCCCTCATGGGTTTCCTCTTCCTGCAGGCATACTTTTTTGATGCGCCAGAGATGGACCACCTCCCAACAACTACAGTTGCTCCAAACCAAACAGTTGCAACAGCCAAGTAGCTAAAGAGGAAAGTAAGAGATTATATTTTTATGGTGTTTTTTGTGGTTTGGCGCAGTAAAAAATGGGCAAGTGCATCACTTCTCAAACTGCTAGCATCAAGAACCAAGAGGGCCAGACCCTTTTGTCTTCCTGTGTGATTCACTAAGGCATTTGTGCACGAGCATGTCTGTATCTATACGGCCCTCCAGCCCAAGGCCTCAGCTGTGAGATCCACATGGTCCTGGCTTGATAGATTTGGGAGAGGTGAGCTCTTAGCTTCTTCATTAGAGGAGCTCCTTCCTGCCTTTTGGCTCCGCATCCCCTCTCCTCTGCTCTCTGTCCCCTTCCCGGGAGCACAGTATGGGTTTATTCTATTTGGTTACTGTCCTGGTGGTTTTTCTAGTTTCCCTGTGACTTCTCAACCTGGCCTCAGACCCTGAGTGTGACTTCTCTTGAATTACTCATAGGGTTCTCCAAAGCCTACAAATTCTCATGCCTGGTTTGCTCTCTGGCCTCTCAGATGATTCTACTTCGTGGTTAGCTCAGTAGGTTAGTGTACAGGAAGAAGAGCCAATTCCTCCATGGCTCATTCCTTGCCTCCCTGTTCCAGATCCTCAGTGTACCAAGGCTGCCGCCATGCTGAACTTCTTGCCATTGCCAGAACACGTATGCCTTTGCACTTGCTGTTCCAGATGTCTGAAATGGTCCCTCTCTTCCAACAGTCATCATTTACCTCGTGATCCCATTATACCTTGTAATGTATATCACTGTTAATGGTGCTGGAAACACTAATTCTTCACTGTTTGTGTGTCCATCTGCATATTCATTTGTTCATTCATTGATTCATTTGTCCTCCATGGACTGGTATGCCTCTCCAGTTCGACTCAGCAACATGAGAACAGGAAATGGGTATTACCCTGCATCTTCATTGCTCACCACAAGACCTGGTGTATAGGGGGTGCTCAGTAAATGTTGGTGGAGTGAATGAATGAAGCCGTGATCTCTGCACATGATCTCCCTGTGGGCTGAGAACCTTCAGTCTGTTTTGTAATCATAGGGTGACCTTCTCTCCCAGAGCAACAGGGTGTGGTGCAAAGACCAGGGCCTTTAGAGTCAAATGGAGCTAAAATGAAATCCTGGTGCCACCACATACTAGCAGTGTTCCTGGGGCAAGGAACTTACTGTCTCTGAGCCTCAGCCAACATAACTATGAAAAAAGAATGATACAACCCGTACAATAAGACTGTAGTGAAGATTAGAGATCATGTCTATAAAAGCTCCTGGCTCATAGTTAAGGTGCTCAGTGACAGAATCAAGCTACTGCTCCTCTGAGAGTGGGTCTGTATTTTTGTTGAAATTTGGTGGTTCTCACTGACTTTACCTTGACCCTTTATTTCCTTTTTGTAAAACCAAATAGATTTTCCCTCTTAGTTGAGGAATTTGGGTTGCAGGCCTTGCAGGTTGACAAGATGTGGTTGGTCAAAGACACCTCTGGTGGTCTTGTTGGTAAGACAGTTGCTCTGGCCAATGGAATGCCTAGGGAACTATTGTAAATGCCCCAGCCCACCTTCTCCTCTTCCTCCTTTCACGTGGGGATGTGATGATGTTAGAATCAAAGGTCAGAGCCCTTGGAGACAGGATGGGCTTCCCTTCCCCTTTTACCATAAGGAAGCTGAGGCCAAGAGAAAAGAGTGCCTTGTCCAAGGCCATCCCAGAGTTTTGTGACAAACTAACATGTGTATATCACATTCTGTTCTACAAAATACTATCTAGATCACTCTCTCTTTGTCCACTGTTAGCAGCCTTGTTGACCCCATTGTATAGTAAGGAAGCTGGACTTAGGAAGTTTGAATTGACTAAGATCACCTACCTCTTAAGAGGCAGAGCTGGGACTCAAACCCAGGTATCCTGGAGCCGTTTCTTGAGGTTTTTCCACTTTACCACTTTTAAGGCTGATGTTCTTTTTACTGCTAAAATTTGCAGGCTCCCACTGCTGGCCTTTGGCCTCTTTTTTGGAGCCCTCCTTTGCTGTTCTATAGATGCTTCAGTTCAGAGAATCCATACTTATTTGCTTGTGTAATCTCTCAGGAATTGGAGGGCTCTATTAATTATCTATTGCTGCCTAACAGTATTACCTCAGACCTAACACCTTAAACAATACCCATTTATTAGTTCAGTTTCTGTGGATCCGAGTCTGGGCATAGCTTAGCTGGGTTCTCTCCTTCAGGTTCCCTTACAAGGCTGCACTCAAAGTGTTGGCCAGGGCTGGGGTCTCATCTGAAAGCTGGACTGGAAGGATCTTCCTCCAAGCTCACCAGGTGTTGGCAGGATTCACTTCCTTGTGGTCTGTTAGACTGAGGGCGCTCCTTGCTAATTGTCAGCTGGAGGCTGTCCCCAGTTCCTTGCCACATAGGATGGCTGACTTCATCAAAGCCGTAAATGGAGATAACAGACAGTCTATTAGGAAGACAGAATATAAGTGACGTAAAGTAACCGTGGAAATGATAACCTATCAGCTCTCCCGTATTCTTTTGACTAGACGCAAGTTGTAAGTCTTACCCACACTCAGGGGGAGGGCATTACTCAAAGGCATGAATACGTGGAGGCAGGGATCATTGGAGGGCATTTTTATTTTATTTTATTTTTCAGCTTGATTAAGGTTTCCTTAACAAAGAAAATTATAAGATACTTAAAGTATACATTGTGATGATTTGATAGACATATACATTGTGTGGAGGCCATTTTGCAGTCTGTCTGCCACAAGCACATACCCTAGTAATATGTGTATGTTTGTTTACATATTCTGTTGTCAGTCCATATAGTAACTATTAAAATTTAATTTTTTAATTTTTGATGAAAAATAAATATTAATAGAAGTTCTAAAATTTTTCTTCCATTACCTCAGTGGGTTGTTTTTACAACCCAGTGCCTTAGAATGAGCTTGTGGTAGCTTGTTTCCCTTATGGTTTGATTGTCTACACGCTTGTGAAGCTCCTCTTGCAGATGGATTTCACTGACTGTTAGTAGAGAAGGCCCTGGGGCAAGGTGGGTCTCTTCCTGAGATTGAGGTCCATGGGAAAGGGATTGAGTCTGATTGGACTTGAACTCCCCAGTGCTTGGCCTAATGCCTGCCTGGCACAGACAGAGCGAGTGCTCAGTTAATGTTGAGTAGTTGGAGGTGACCCTTTGTAAGATTAAGGCAAGAGGGTGCTGTGGGCTTTTATCAGAGGTGTCTTGGCTCACAGAGCCTTTATTTACTCTCTCACTCAGTGTTTACTTGAGGCTGTTCTGTGGCCCACATGGGTCAGGCATTGGGGACCTAGAAAATCAAATACAGTCTGCCTCAGGGAGCCTTGGTCCATGGGTAAAACAGCTAAACAGAATAAACAGACTGTGTTTTTAGAGAAGTGCCCTACCCAGTTTGTGAATTGATGAGCATGGTGGGAGCACAGAAGCAGTGACTCATTTGGCTTGAGGGAAGGCTTCATAGAAGGGGTCTTGTTTGAGCTGGGCCCTGAAGGTTGAGCAGAAGCAATCAATTACCTGTTTTTCTGAAGAGAGTAGTCAGCTTCCCATGGCATTTGGGAAGGTAGAAGTCATAGGTTGTTCATTTGGGACACAGTGATGTGATGTGGGCTCACATCCCTGAGAACAAGAAAATCTGAGCCCAGCTGGAGGACAGAGGTAGAGCCCACAATGGCAACAGTTGCTTGGGTCTCTCTGGGCTGAGAATACCTGACATCGACCTGGTGAGGGGCTCTTTCAGCCTGCTCCTGTGTTAGGACTCGAGTTCTTTCCTTACATTTTATTATGAAAGCTCCAGGCCAATGTCCCAGGTGCTCCAAACCTTCAGAGAGTCAGAAGCTGGTGTTTGAGAAAAGCCTGGTTCTCAGGGCCTTTGCAGACCTCCCACCCTGATTTATATAGATTTGACACCTTTGGGCTTTGCTCAGATCTATAAACTTGGGCATCAGTGTGTCCATTTGGGTGTCAAGTCTCCAAATGAGATAGTGATGAAGAGTTTCTTTGGAGCTTCCCTGGCAGAAGCATCAATCGCTTTGCCAATGAGAGGGCTGTCCAGAGCCCCAGGCTCTGCGGATTTATGAGCTGCCTGTGCCTTCTACTGTAATCTCTAGACTCCCAGCTTTCACTGAAAAAGAATGGCTTCTAATCTCACAGATAACCTTCCTCATGTAAATCTGCACATTGGAGGGCTTAGCCTGCCATGGATTACTGGGAGAACATTCACCCCTTCTCTCCCTGGAAACTCAGGATCATAGAGGAGCCTCCAATGACTTGTTTTCAGGGACTACCCCTATATAAATCATTAAGATATTATAGAGAATATCTGGCTTGCTTCTTCCGTCCTTTCCTTCCTTTTTTAAAATTGACTTACCACCTGAGGGCCAATGCCATTTCTTCTCTGAGCCAAGACCCTGGGGAAGCCTGGAAACTGTATCTTGGGAGTCTTACTTCGGCTTGTGGGATGGAGTATCTGAAAGACGGCATTCATATTGGGGCTGCCCTCCCAGGGGCGGTGACAAGTAGGTCTGTCTGGAGGAGGGTGGCCAGCAGGTAATTATATTGCAGTGTGATAGGGCTTTAATAAGAGATGAGCAAAGGGCTTTAGGAGATTCCTTTGTAATTAAAAAACCCTCCTGATTTGGTACACAGGGTTTATGTGCAATTATCCTTTCACTCACTCATGTTAAGAGTGTTCACTTTATAAGCCAAAGCTACAAACCCTTTTTACTATGTTTATACACATCAATTCTTTTATTCTGAAATCAGTTTTAACTCAATGCTGTAATCCTCTTTAACAAAGCATCCAGACTGTGACTTTCCACCATGGCTAATGCTGTTTTCCACCAGCTCCTTCTTCTTGTCCACACCATGTCTGAGATGTCCCTGCCCAGAGCATCCAGTTTTAGTTCTGTCAATTTTCTTCTTGGTTCTCTGTCTTTGAAGTCAATTGGGAGAACCTGGGTTGGAGAGTGGGTCAGCTCAGTAACTTTTTTTTTTTTAAGATTTTATTTATTTATTTGAGAGAGAGAAAGCACAAGCAGGGGGAGCAGGAGGGGCAGAGGGAGAAGCAGACTCCCCGCTGAGCACAGAGCCCGATGCAGGACTCGATCCCAGGACCCTGGGATCATGACCTGAGCCGAAGGCAGATGCTTAACCGACTAAGCCACCCAGGCACCCAACACAGTAACTTTTTATTCTTGCTTAAACTTATTTAGTGCAAAGTTTTTACACATAGGCAAAAGTAGAGTGAATAGTATAAAGAGTCTCCATATACCCATTGCTTACTTTGCACAGTTGTCAACTCATGGCCAACTTTATTTCATCCATACCTGTATGTGTGTGTCTTAGCACCTCTAAGACATCCTGTTATTTGATCCATAAATATTTAAATTCTGGATCTATAAAAGACACTTTCAAAAACATAACCGTAATACCATAGTCACATCTAAAAAACAATGTATCTCCTTAATACAGGCATACCTCGGTTTATTTGAGCTTTGCTTACTGCGCTTCACAGATACTGTGTTTTTTACAAATTGAAGGTCTGTGGTAGCCCTTTGTTGAGCCAAGTCTATCAGCACCATTTTCTCAAAAGCACTTGCTCACTTTGTGTCTCTGTGTCACATTTTGGTAATTCTTGCAATATTTTAAACTTTTTCATTGTTATTATGTTTGTTATGGTGATCTGTGATCACTGATCTTTGGTGTTACTATTGTAATTATTTTGGGGCACTGCAATTTGCACCCATATGAGATGGTAAACTTAATAAATGTTATATGTGTTCTTATCGCTCCACTGACTGACCATTCCCCTATCTCTCTCCCTCTCCTTGGGCTTCCCTATTAAAAACATCATGATATTGAAATTAGGCCAATTAATAGCTCAACAATGACCTCTGAGTGTTCAAATAAAAAGAGTCATGCATCTGTCACTTTAAACCAAAAGCTAGAAATGACTAAGCTTAGTGAGGAAGGCATGTCAAAAGCCAAGACGGACTGAAAGCTAGGCCTCTTGCACCCAACAACCAAGTTGTGAAAGCAAAGGAGGAGTTCTTGGAGGAAATTGAAAGTGCTACTCCAGTGAACGTACGAATGATAAGAAAGTCAGCCAGCCTTACTGCTGAGGTGGAGAAAGTGTGAGTGGTCTGGATAGAAGAGCAAACCAGCCACCACATCCTCTTCAGCCAAAGCCTGACCCAGAGCAAGGTCCTCGCTCTCGTCTACTCTGTGAAGGCTGAGAGAGGTGAGGAGGCTGCAGAAGGAAAGTTGGAAGCAGCAGAGGTGGGTTCATGAGGTTTAGGGAAAGAAGCCGCCTTCATAACGTGGAAGTACCAAGGTGAAGCAGCCACCTGGGTGTAGACGCTGCAGCAGGTGATCCGGAAGCTCTGGCTCAGATCACTCATGACGGTGGCTACACTAAACAACAGATTTTTAGTGTAGACGGAACAGCCTTCTATTGGAAGAAGTTGCCATGTGAGACTTCCATAGCTAGAGAGGAGAAGTCCGTGCCTGGGCTTCAAAGCCTCAAAGGACAGGCTGACTCTCTTGTGAGGGGCGAATGCAGCTCGTGACTTTAAGTTGAAGCCAGTGCTCATTTACCATTCATAAAACCCCAGGACCCTCAAGAATTACGCTAAATCTATACTTTCTGTGCTCTGTAAACGGAACAAGAAAGCCTGGATGATAACACATCTGTTTACAACATAATTTACTGAATATTTTAAGACCCCTGTTGAGACCTTACCAGAAAAAAAGATTCCTTTCAAAATGTTACTGCTCGTTGACAATACATCTGGTCACCCAAGAGCTCTGATGGAGATGAACGAGATAAATGTTTTCATGCCTGCTAACACAGCATCCGTTCTATAGCCCAGGGATCAAGGAGTCATTTCGACTTTCAAATCTGACTAGTAAACACATTTCCTAAGGCTGCAAGCGCCATAGATAGTGATTCTTCTGGTGGCTCTGGGCAAAGTAAATTGAAAACCTTCTGGAAAGGATTCGCCATTTTAGAAGAACATTCGTGATTCATGGGAAGAGGTCAAGATAGCAACATGAGCAGGAGTTTGGAAGAAGCTGATTCCAACCCTCATGGGCAACTTAGAAGGGGTTCCAGACTTTAGGGGAGGAAGTGACTGCAGATGGGGTGGAAGGAGCAAAAGATCTAGAAGTGGAGCCTGCAGGGGGTACTGTGTGGCCGCCATCTCAGGATAAAATTTGAGCGGGTGCGGAGTTGCTTCTTACGGATGAACAAAGAAGGTGGTTTCTTGAGATGGAATCTACTCCTGGTGAAGATGCCATGAAGGTGGTTGAAATGACAACAAAGGACTTGCAATATCACATAAACTTAGCTGATAAAGCAGCAGCAGGGTCTGAGAGGACTCCAATTTTGAAAGAAGTTCTGCTGTAGGTAAAATGCTATCAAACAGCACTGCATCCTACAGAGCAATTGTATGTGAAAATAATCAATCCATGTGGCAAACCTCATTGCAGCCTTATCAGAAATTGCTGCAGCCACTCCAGCCTTCAGCACCCACCACCCTGATCCATCGGCAGCCATCAACATCGAGGCAGGAACCTCCCCCAGTAAAAAGATTATGACTCACTGGAAGCTCAGATGATGCTTAACATTTTTTAGCAATAACGATTTTTTAATTAAAATATGTACATTTTGGGATGCCTGGGTGGCTCAGTCAGTTAAGCATATGCCTTCGTCTCAGGTCCTGATCCCAGGGTACTGGGATCGAGTCCCCACATCAGGCTTCCTGCTCAGTGGGGAGCCTGCTTCTCCTTCTGCCCCTCCCCCCCCATTCATGCTCTCTCACACTCTCTTTCTGACAAATAAATAAAATATATTTTTTAAAAGTATGTACATTTTTTAGACATAATGCTATTGCACACTTAGTAGACTACAGTATAGTGTGAACATAACTTTTATATGCCCTGGCAAACCAAGAAGTTCATTTGATTCACTTTATTGTGGTATCCACTTTATCGCTATGGTCTGGAATGTCTCCACCATCTCTCTGAGGCATCATATATACTTCAGTGTTTGAATTTCATCTTGGAGTTTGTTGCTGTATCTCTTAAATGTGTTTTAAATGATAGATTCCCACTCCATTCCCCCCCTTCCCTTTACCATGTATTTGCTTAAGAATTGTTTATCCTATAGCTTCTCGCTGTCTGGATTTTGCTGATTGTATTTCTATGGTGTTGTTTATCATGTTGCTCTGCCTTTGTTTTCTGTAAACTGGTGGTTGTATCTAAAGGTTTGATCAGATTCAGCATTGGTTGGTTGGTTGGTTTTGGCAAGACTACTTGATATGTGGTGTTAAATGCTTTCAGCCATAAACTCATGCTGTGTAATTATCTCTTACTTTTTGATATTAAAAGTAATTAAGCAATGCCTACATCTGTTAAATCATTAGGGTTTTCAAAATGGTGATATTTCAATTCTATCTTTGCTTCTTTGTTTATTAATTAGAATACTTCTTTCATAAAAACTTCCCTTTATCTACTATTTGGCTCTCCAGTGACATAGTTTCTGTAGAAAAGCAGCATAAATGATTCTTTTCCTTTTTTTTTCCCACCTATTTTCAAAATAGTAGTTGGTTTATTAGCATTCGACAGCAATGGCCAGTTAGTTTCAGTCCATCCCAAGTATTATGCTTACCAATACTCAAGTTGTCCCTTTGGCTAATGGGAACCTCTTCAAATTGGCCCGAGTCCTGTTGGCACAGCCCTAAGAGTCTCTGATACTGTCTTGTTATCTGTTACAACAAAATTTTCCAGGCTTTTCCAGGCTCATTTTGAACATTTCCTGTCTCAGACCCAGACTGAGTCATTTCTCGGAGTCTTGGTTCTGTTCAGTGGGGAGATAGTAATACCAGGTCACAATCTGGGTGCTAGTGGTGCTTATTGCCATTGGCTTGGTTGTTGTTTACAGGCCTTTTCACTGTTCAGAGTCAGGAAATGTGTTGTGTGCTTGATTGTTGTTTTTTTTAATGTTTATTTATTGATTTGAGAGAGAGAGAGATAGCAAGAGAGTGCACGAGTGGGGAAGCAGCAGAGGGAGAGAGGGAGAAGGAGGCTCCCCACTGAGCAGGGAGCCCGACGCGGGGCTTGATCCCAGGACCCTGGGACCATGACCTAAGCCGAAGGTAGACACTCAGCAGATGCTCAGCCGACTGAGCCACCCAGGCGCCCCATCTTGATTCATTTTTTAAAGGAGATACATTGTGAGTTCATACTCATACTTTCAATTCTTATTTAGCACCACAGAGTTTTTTCTAAATTGCTTTAATCTTATATCTGTATCTCCTTTCCCACTTGCTGAGGATCTCACTTTTCAACAATACCAGCAGTGATAGAATTGGACTATCACATTAGTACTTAATTGTTTTATCCGGGCACTCGCAACAGTCCAATAATAACAGCAACAGCACTCCCATTAATTACTGGAAACACTGATTTAAAACCTTTTAAGGCTTTTTTTTTTTTTTTTTTTAAGGTTTTTAAGTTCTGGAATTCCCTTTCCTAGCTTGTCTACTTGGAAGCCCACTCTTTATTCTTCAGGACCCACTTCAGATAGCCTGTCTTTGGGGAAGTTTAGATTACTTACTCCTCTATGCTCTCCTACAGCTCTGTATGTTCCTCTGTTAGGGCAAATCTCTTATTCACTGTGACATAGACTGAGAATTCCTAGAGAGTAGAGATTTATTGACCAGTATACCCGCAGCATCCAGCAGGCTTTGGGGAAAGCTTGATTTTGAACAAGTGACAGTTGATAGACATGTCACATGCACACATGCTCGGTGAGTTTGCCAGGTGACCTGAGCACTTTTTACTTGTTCATTTATTGAGGGCCTATCCTTGGCTACCGTTGGCTGGGTGACTTAGGTGAACAGTGGAGATAGGTTCTTACCCTCCCAGATTTTACACCCAATTTTCTATCTCAGGCATCAGACTAGAAGGCCCTGCTAAATTAAAGAGAGAATCCTAACTTGGGGAACTTTGGATTGGAACACCCCCAATCAGGCTTAGGTGCAGGGTTGCCACCACAAAGGAGGTGCAGGGCAGACCTGGGTCTCAGTGGGGCCACCCGAGGTGGGGAGCCCGAAGTGGCCAGGAATCGGGTCGTAGGTGGGGAAGAGGCGAGGGAGCTCTGGCTGATGGTGGCGTTATGGACCAAGTCTGGCATAAAGGGCAATTATCTTACTTGCCACCCTGTGGCCTAAGCCCCAGGAATTCCCCTGAGAATTACAGGCTACCTACTGAAAGTTGGCAGCAGGGCAAGGGAAATTTTCTGTCTTGAATCCCTCCTCTAGTCTTGACATTAATTTGGAACAGACAGAGAGATGAGAGAAAAAGAGCATGTTTATGAAAATAAATTCTTTAGTGCCTGCCCTGTGGGCTCGTTTGTCCCTACCTTTATTTAGCATTTCAGAAGCCCGAGCTAATGTTTACCAGAAGGCCAAGCAGGACTTCAATTTCTTCCAGTCCAGCAAATCACAGCATTCATGCTTCTCTAGCCACTTTTCACAGATACATTGTTGGCAACGTTTCCCTTTTCTAGAGCTGGGACATTGAGGCAGATACCCCTGCCTTAGCCCCACCTTCCTAGTTGTGATCCTGCCCCCATGGTAGTAGGAAGCCTGGCACATTCTCTTAGGTTGGAGGCCATTTATTAGGAAATGGCCTCTCTGCGAAATTTCTTAATCCCCGCCCTGGATATAACTATATCTCTAGCACCTTTTTCCAAATTCCCATCTATTACAAATCCCCAACTAGGTGTACCAACAGATGATTCAAATTCATTATGTCCAAAACTAAACTCATCTCCCCCACAACCAGATCCTCCTTATATTTTCCTGCTTCCGTGAATGGCACTACCATCCACACTGCCTCTGACTTCAGACTAGGTTAGATTCTGTATTACACTGTCTCACAGTACCTCACGTTTGTAATTACATAAGTAATCTGTTATGTATTGTTTACCCTGGAGTTTCCACTGCCAGATTGTGTAACTTTCTTGAAAGTTGGGATCATGGGCGCCTTATTCATCACTGAACCCGGTGCCCAACACATCTGTTGGATGAGTCCTTAATCACTATTTGTTGGATTAATTAAGAAATCTACCCAGTCACCCTAGAAACCTCATCATCAGTGTAGAATCCTCCTTCTTACCTTCCATATCTTATCTATCAGTACGACTTGTCTATTCTAGCCCTGAAATATTTCTCAGATCTGTCTTATTAGTACAGATGCCTGATGTTCCTGGTGTTCAGGATCCAATCATCTCACATTCAGACTGTGATAATAACTTGATGGGTTTCTCTCTCTTTTCTTTTCCTTCTTCCAATCCATCCTATGCGTAGCCAAAGCAGTTTTCAAACAATTATAAAACTGTGTCACTCCTCTACTTAAGAACTTTCTTTTCTTTCTTTCTTTCTCTTTTTTTGGCCTCCAATTGTCTAAAAGACAAAATCTAAACTCCCTGGATTGCCAGGATCGATCCCTAATCTGTTTTTTCTACCTCATATCCTGCCATTGTCCCCTGCATAACCTCATGTTTCAACAACCACAAACAGCTCTCCAGTTCTCAAATCTTTTTATATCCCTCCATATTTACTTTATTCCCCCTCTAGCACCTAACATAGCTGTCACAAAGAAGAGAGAGAAAGAAGCATGTGTGAAGATAGCTTTGGGATCTGGCAGAGAAAAATCACTGGGTTTCCAAAGAATTAGAGGAAAACTTTTTAAAATGTCATCTCCCCTCCAATAATAAGTCTTCCTGCAGTTGGTAAATCAGGGCTCAAGGCTGTCTGGTATTGAAGCTCTACCTCTGGACATAAATACCCTGTCCTACAGTTTAGATCCTTTCTGAATGGGCGGGGGGGGGGGCGGATCTTTTTCTTAAAAGTTACTCTTTTTGTTTTTCAGTTCTCTTTTCTGTATTTTGGAGTGGTTCTTCTGGACATGGCATCTACTGCAGGAAAGCAGAATGACCAAGCCAGCAGGAAAACTGATGGAATGGCACCACCCTCTGGCAGCTAAAGGTGCCACGCTGAAGTCTAATCACCTAATTTAACAATGATTAAATGTTGTTCAGTCCATGTGTCTTTCAGCTCTTCTTTCTCACCTGTCAGTTATTGTTGGAACTGTACGCCGATTTGGAACAAAATACAGGGGAACGTGGTAGGTGTGCCTGCCATTTGCCTCTCGTTGTCCTGTGATGCCCTTAATACGTGAAATGGATCCATCCTAACGTCTGATGACTTTCTTCTGAATCGTATACAGATGTTCCTCTGAGGTGATCCTCTTCTCTCCAAATGCTTGCCATCCTAAACTGGCGAAACTGTATGAACTTTGGTTTGGATTCATTGGGAGCCTGAACATTTGTCTGTGGTGACTTGACACTGGGCAACCGAACCTAATTGTTGCAAAATAAATACCTCATAGAATGTCTGTCTGCATTTCATGACTTTGACCTCGAGTTCCTCCTTGATGTTGTATCTTTAGCAGGCTGGAAGCTGCTGTGAATCTTGATTTATTTAATGCGATAGCTGTTGGGGTGTGGGGGTTAAAATAGACATCGGCATTTTTCCTCATGTAAGTATGGAACAGAGGGTTGAAAGAACATGCTCACTTACAAACTATTTTGACACAGAGATTTTAGAAATTTTTTTAAGGGCACTTTGAGTGCCTCTTCAACTTGGCCTGACTCCTGGCTAGAGTGCATTAAAAGGAGAAACCAGTGATGCCTCAAAGATACTTTGTTATATTTTTTATTCAAAATGCGTGCCATCTGGGAGGCTGAGCTTCTGCCAGGTCAGGATTGCTGATCCCCTACTGTTTCTGTTGTCCTCTTCAGGCTGGGAATTTCCAGTGTATTTCTGAGACAGCAAGACACATGTGGACTTAGAAGGCTGATCACACCGAAAAAGGAAGAGGCACACAAATTCAGGCTACCGTGAGCTTAAGGTCAAGTTGGCAAACCTCCCATCAAATGCAGAGTATCCTCCCCTCCGTTAATTTACTTAACAAATATAGGTTGTGCACCTACTAAGTGCTGGTCAGCATTCTAGGTGGTGGGGCTGGGGCAGTGAACAGAACAGACCAGGTCCCTGATCCCGGGGATCCTACAATCACAAAATCACTGCTGGGGGGTTGCCAGCCTCAGCCTCTCCAAGGCCGCCGTCTCCTCCTGGGACAAGTCCTTTCGCTGCTTGGTCTGAGCTCTACCCCTGGGCCTCTCAGATCTAGTCTGATCTTTCTTCCCTTTGTTGACTTCAGATGTTTGAAAACAGCTGTTCTGCGCCCCCTGAGTCTTCTTCAGCTAAGTGTTTCTTTTGTCTTCAAGGACTCTTCAGAGAACTTGGTGTCTATACCTTCCAGACACCCTCTGAGCTGGTACCCTGGTGCTCTTTCGTTAATACTTAACTACTGCTGCCCAAGGCAGTGATTCTTACACATGTGGGTCCTGTGAATGCCTGGTACAGTCTGCAACCTCCCCTTCCTAGGTCTCACCAAAAGTGGCAGGATTTTTCTCCAATAAAGAAGAGAAGGATACTATGAAATTATATATATATATATGAACCTCTGCTACAGTTTCTTACAGAGCTGCTAAGAGGCTTGCTATTTCCTGGGTGATAAGAATGTCTGACATAGCTCCCAATTTCCTGGGTAGTGGAGCATTTTTTTTTTTTTTTTTTTTCTAATGAGGTGACTCTTGGGGGCCTCTGGATGGGGCTGGTCACCAGGAAGACCAAGCCATGATTAGAAGCTTGGAACTTTTAGCCCCACTCCCCATTCTTTGGAGAGAGGTGAGGGACTGGAAATGGAGGTAATAATCAATCAGGCCTATAGGATGAAGCCTCCATAAAAATCCCAAAAGAACAGGGTTTAGAGAGCTTCCATGTTGGTAAATACATCCACCTGCCAGGAGGGGGGTGCATCCCCAACTCCAAGAGAGACAGAAGCTCCTGCACCTGGGACCCTTCTAGACCTTGCCGCATGTATCTCTCTACCTGGCTGTTCATTTATATCCTTTAAAACATCCTTTGTAATAAATCAGCAATAGTGAGTAAACTGTTTTGCTGGGTTCTGGGAACAAATTATCAAACCCAGGGAGGGGGCCTTGGGAGCCTCTAATTTGTAGCCAAGTCAGACAGAAATCATGGATAACCTGGGGACCCACTACTTGCAATTGGCGTCTGAAGCAGGGGGCAGTCTTGGGGGACTGTGCCCTTACCCTCTGGGTTTTGCTCTACCTCCAGGCAGTTAGTGTCAGAATTGCTTGGTGTGGAAGATCCACATATCTGGTCACAGAAGTGGTGTAAGTGTTAAAGTGAAGGAAAGCAATGAGTTTTTCCCAGGCACATATAAAAATCCACGTTTGAGGGGGAATTTAGTTACTACTGAGTACTTGTGTGGTGTGACTGGTAAAGTTTTCCCCCAAAAATGTTTAGCGATTCTTTAATACAGTGGTCAGGATTTAATTTTTAAGTAAGGATTTTAGATACAACCAGCATCATAAATTAGTACCATCATCTTATAAAAAGAGAGGCCATTATAATATCAAATAATCTGGAAGGACATAATGTCAGTACTAAAAACTTGAATAAATATAGCTTTCTGGAAAGCTGACTACTCTGTTCATTTTTTCTCCTGGGAGCACTGCCCACACACACCAGCCTAGGTGCACAGCCTGAGCACTTTGCCCTCTGGGGGGCGGGGGTTGTGGTCAGGGGCTTTGGCCCCACCTTACCATCACCCCAGCTTTGTTCTTAGGCAAGTCTACATTTCTAGTCCAGCTTCCTTCTTTTGGAGGCCTCCTAATGGAGCTAAGGGGTGAGGGCCTAACCATGGCCTCTCTCAGGTGCCTTTGCTGAGACCAACCTACTGGGGGTCCTTGAAGATGTCTTTTCCACTCTGACCCAGTATTCAGTACTCTTTCACCCGTAGCCCCTCCCCCCTCCCTCCTCCTAGCCTCCTGTGCTATAAAATGGCAGGAGATTTTTGTTTAGGGATCCTTTGGTGGTAAGACTGTGCCCACATCTGCACCAATGCACGTGACCCTTGCCTGGCACTGTGCCAAGGGGAAAAATGGAACATTAGGGGGGCCAGTGCTTTCTCCTATTTAGTATCTTGCTTATAGCATCACAGTAACTGATTAAAGACTTGACTGTAACTTTTCATGTTCACGACTCAGACACCTGGCAGCTCAGCTCTCTCCAGCTCAGTTCCGCTTTTGACAGGCAGGAAGAAGGGAAAGGGCAAAAGGGGTTGACCAGTTGAATTGACCTGGCTTTTAATGTGTTTTCTCCCAAACCCCATCTAATGTCTTATGCTTCTATCTTATTGGTCAGAACTATACCACATGGTCATCCCTAGCTGCAAGGGAGGCTGGGAAATGCTCTTTAGCTGGGCACACTGCCACCCTGAATGAAACCAGAATGGGTTTTAGATAGATAACTATTACATCTTGGAACCCCTGCTTTTAGAAAAGTTAATGGATGGTGGTTTTTCCATTGTCAGTTTGATTTCACTGGTTGGCATATAAAGATTTAAGGGGCGCCTGGGTGGCTCAGTCATTTAAGCATCAGATTCTTGCTCTCAGCTCAGGTCTTGATCTTATGGTCATGAGTTCAAGCCCCTCATGGGCTACACAGTGGGCATGGAGCCTACTTAAAAAAGAAAAAAAAAAAGATTTAAGAGAAAAGAGTTCTGGAAAGATGGCAGTGGCATTTTTGAATCTCTTCAACTTCCTCCATAAAAATAGAGCATCTGGGATAGCAAAACCAAAAACATGCGGACAACATCTACAACAAACTTGGGTGACAGGATATCACCACAAACCCCAAAATTCAAGCAGGTGGAAACCACTAGCCACTCAAAGACTTGCATAGTATCAGCACTTTTGTGGAAAGAAGCAAAGGAAGCAGCTGAGTGTCTGAGAAATCTAAAAAGAGAGAACCCCAGAATAACCAAGAGGTACTCCCTAGAAAGTACAATGGACCAATAGTAGAAAAGCAGCTGGATTTGGGGGCAGTTTTGTACAACCCCGTTTGCAGCTGATGAGTGCAAGGGGTCCGAAGTAAGGTCTGAAGAAGTTGGACTCTGAAAACCAGCCAAAGTATCTTTCCAGGACACCAGAATAGAAACTGCAGGGAATAGAATACAGATAGAGCAGGCCAGGGATATTTGGGGCAAAGAAAAGGGAAGTCAGATGAAAGTGGGGGAAGGGCACAGAGCCAGGAGATCTCAGAAAGCTTGAAGCCGTATTTTTGAACACTTCATGAAAACAGAAAAAGAAGCTGTAGAGTCTCGAATTTAGCAAAGCTGTCCTAACTCACCCCTCCTTCCTAAATGTGCAGGAAGACTAATTTCATATAAAAATGAGCAGCAGAAAGGACTGCAATCAAACCTCATAATGAAGTTATTATAAGAAAAATGAAAACATGGAGCAGAATAATCTCCCTAATGATATGAAAACATTCTGGAAAGACATGTCCATGAAACCAGCTGAAAACTATAACTTAAGATTTCAAAATAAACTAAAGTAAATTAAGGAAATAATACAAGCTCCTGCTCAACAGCAATGGTGTAGTTCTAATTGCGGTACCGGCGTTCCCCTCCTCTCCCCCCCCTCCACCCCGCCCCAGCAGCCCCACATCATGTGTGTGCTCTGGGGCTCTAATGTAGAGGGAGTAGCACCTTCATGATATTTGGATAATAACTCCCTTCTCCCTTTTGCTACTACAACCCTATTCTTTCTCTCCTATGGCCTTTCAGCCCTTTGAATACTTTTGTTATCAATTCCCTGTGTTCAGTTCCTCCTCGAATTAGATAACAAAGTTTGTTGTCCTGAATAGACACTTTCTGATGCAGTTACTTCCATTCATTCTTCTGTTCATTTAACAAACATTTATTGACTATCTCCTAATGTTAGAGCATTTTGGAAACAATGATAAACAACATAGACAAAGTCTCTGTCCATGGGAAACTTATGTGCTAGTTAGGATTCAGACAATAAATAAGTAGTTACACACGATGATTTCAGAATGTGATAAGTGCTCTAAAAATAAATGTGGTGCAAACAATAATTGTCTCCGTTGTGTAAATGAAGTCAGGAGGTATGGGCAGGTAGCCTAGGACTGGTATAGTTGCTCCTAGTAATCAAGTTTACTTTGAGCACAGTACTTGATTTTGCCTGGAGCGTGACACATCCGAATTCTATGCAGCTGGATGAAGGAAGGGATTAAGAAGGGGCAAAGAACGTGGCTAGCTCTTTTTTAAGGGGAGTTTCTGGGACGCTACCATGCAATAGTTTGATTACATTTTATTGGCCTGAACTCATCAGTCACCTAGCTCCACCTAGCGTCAAGGGAGACTAGGAAATGTACCACATGCCCAGTTAAAAATTGGGGAATTCTATTTCTAAGAAGTAGGGGAGAATAGATATGCTGGGCAACTAAACAAAGTAAACTGACTGCAAGTAACCGGGGTGTGTTTAAGGACACTCATTTAGAATGATTCTTTTTTTTTTTTTTTTGGTTTGAATTTTATTATTTTATTATTTTTTTAATGGAGAAGTGATACGGTCACATTCTCGTTACCTCTTACCCATATTTCAGTAACTTCCTAGTTCCAGCCTTCCAAGCTTCTTCTATAGAATGATTCTTTATCATCTTTCTCCACCACCAGATAGAAGGTTTCTTCTTGGCAGAGACTTGATCTACCTTTGTATTCCCAGTTGTTCTGCAGGGCTTCAGACATGATTGATATTAACATGTTTTTGGAAATGAATATAATCTTAAAGCAAATCAGGAAACCATTATTAGCAAACATTACAAAGCTCTATGTGTGATCTCAATTTCTTTCACTAGACTGAGTTTCTCCAGAATCAGTAAATCACTGAATCTCTCTGTCTTTCCAGAGTACTGAATGTTGACTGTGGTATGTAATTGGGCATTAAAAGGTGTTAGCAAGATGCCTCCAGGGATCTAACTGAGGGCTAATGCAATCAGAGAGGACTTCATTAAGTGGGACTTGGGTCGGTAAAAATCTTTTTCCTTACCAGCAGGAAATTAATGATAATCAGTATTTGTATAGTATTTATCATATCTTCGCAACATCACTGGATGCCATCTTTGTTTTTATCCTCATTTTCTAGATGAAGAAATCGAAGCTCAGAGAGGGTCAAGACATCCATTTAGCTAGAGGCAGAGCTGGAACTAGGAACCAGATCTAAGGAAACCAAAAGCACCTTTATAAAGATTTTGTTCCATATCGGTAAAATCAGTGAGTACCTCTGTGGAGAGGGCCACGACAGTCTTTGATTTCACTTTCAAGCAGTCGATAAAGAAAATTGGGAGAAATAAGGACCGATCATTTTGCCAGAGCTAATGTAAAATTCTATCAATGGACACTGTTAACGCTTACCGGCTTTATAAAAGACTACGATTCCCAGCATGCCACAAGGTACCTCTGGGAGGACTTCCATTCCCAGCATGCTGTACTTTGGAACTCTGAGTCCCAGAATGCAACGCTCCCTTGCTCCCAGAGCGTCGTCGAGACTACAGTTCCCAGCATGCAGTGCCGCCCCCAGTTTCTGGCGTCCCGCTGGACCCCGCTTCGGAGAGACCTTTTGGACTCCAGAGGGCGGGTCCTGAAATCCCAGTCTCCTTTGGGGGACGTGTCCGCGGGCCAGTTCTGGCGCGTTGGGCCTGTCCAGACGAAGCCTCGAAGGGATTGGTTGGGGCCTGCCCCGGGCTTCCCTCAGGCAGCGTTTGAGGCAGCCCCAACAGGGTCCTCCTGGGGCCTTTCTCCCTTTGAACTGCGGTGGCGGGCGGGCGCACTGTCTCCTGCACCCCTCAGGGCCGGGGCCGCCATCACCATGGCCACAGCTGCGAGTCGGCCCTGCGACGGCGGGTCGCGGGACATCTTGTGGCGCGTGAGTGCGGCGCGCACTATGGCGCGCCCTCGGCCCGCAGCTGGAGTCGGGCCTGGCGGGCGGGCGGGCGGGTGCTCGCGGGCGCGCTGGTTGGCGGAGGGCCGGCTTCTGTGTAGCGTGGGGAGCGCGTGGGGAGGGGGCGACCAGAGGGACCGATTGATTACAGGGATGCGGGGGGTGTCCCGAGTGGAATCTGATTGCGGGGTGGGCGGGGCGGGCTAGGGAAAGCTGGTTACTCGTGTGTGCTAGCCGGACATCCTGAGTGTAAACTTGTCATGGGGTGGGACAGGAGTCCTGAGTGGAGGCTGGTTAGAATGACAGGGATGACCTGCACGGGAACTGGGGCAGGGATGGTCAAGAGTTTTATGCAAGGGTGGTGTACCTGGTAGGTGCAAAATAAATAGCTTGTTGACTACTTGGAGTAGGAAGTGGGAAAGAATGTCTAGAATTGGAAAGAGTGTGGTGTGGCCTTAGCAGAGGCTGTATCCCAAGCTAAAAATTTTGAGTCCTTAAGTCTTGCCTGTTCTTTACCACCTATATTATCAATTACTGATGTCCTGTAGATGTACTTCAGGAAATATGACTGCAGTTTTTTTGGGTTTTTTTGTTTTGTTTTTTCTCCTTTTTTCCTTTCCCATTGCCACTGCCTTCCTTCAGACACTGACTGTAAACTTTGGCTTTGGGCAGTTGTGGTAGACTGCCTCCTAATTGTCTCTTGTGTGGGTCTTGCCTCCTCTGATCCATCTCCATCATAGGCACCTTACAAACCCAAGAGTATTTTACCTTCCAAAATGTAAATCCGATTAAAGTAAAGCACTTTCATGCTTCAGACCCCTCAGTACCTCTTCTTTACTCACTTAATCAGCAGTGTATCTTGTGTCTCTAAGTGGTAGACACTGGTGATTCACACATGAATACAATGCAGTAATTGCCCAATAACTGCCATAGCTAATAATTGCGAACACAATTATGGTATACAGATGATCCCTATAAAATGTATACACCTTTTAGATATTGACATATCAATCAATTAAACCTAAAGAGAGAAGTCTAAGTTGCTGTAAAATACAGTTGTAAAACTAAGACAATACCTCTCCTTCCTTAAAGTGTGATATTTAATGTAGCATCTGACGCTGGACTAAATGCAAGCATCAGTTCACTGATAACACAAGATTTGGTAGTTGTATGCAATGTTATTAATAGGAGTAACCATTGGGGTTTATATATAGCTGCACGGACTATGATCTGGGTGTAAATACTAGTGATTAACATCCCATATGAAAAGATAGGATTTGCATAACTGAAATAACTGAAGTAGTGTGACTTCCTGATTGAGGGATTTTGTTTGTTTAATTATAGGTTTTGGGCTGGAGGATAGTTGCAAGTATTATCTGGTCAGTGCTGCTTCTACCCATCTGTACCACAGTATTTATAATCTTCAGCAGCATTGATTTATTTCATCCTATTCGGTGGCTCTCTGGTAAGTAGTACTCAGTTTGGGGAAATCAAATTTACAGGACCCGTTTCTCAACATAAAAGTTGTGTTATGTTTCAAGCCACCCAGGTGCCCCTCAAATAATTTTTTAATCACTGCCTATATTGATAGGCATGGCAAAACATTCACCTTGAGGTAACCTTAAGGCATTCCTTTTATAGATCATCTTTTCACTATATAATTATAAGATTAGTAAACCTGTCAGAGATCTGTATTATCACATGAACAAAAAGATTATTAGAAGACCACATAAATGAAAACTTGCCTTAATTTTTGTTTATGTGTTTGTCTTTTTTGATTGCTTTTTTGACATTTTCTTTTTAAGGACCAGAACTGTTTCCTTTATCTATTTAAAAATTTGGAATAGAAAATATGACATCTTTTTAGAAAACCTGTCTGAAATTAAGACTACTTCATTTCTGTATTGTGGCTAATAAGAAAAAGGTGAGAAGAGAGAGAAGAGGAAGGAGTTAAAGACTAAGAAACATAGATGTAAACACAAAGACTGATGAGGAGGAAAAGCTTGGAGCAGACTAAATGTTTCTCAAAAATCCATGGACATGAAAATAAAATTAAATTTATTAAACTATGATCATGTTAATTAATAATAACCTCCAAATTATTGCCATGTACTGCATGCCACATACCATTCTAAGCATCTTAGTATATTGTTATCCTTCCTACAACCCTATATAATAAAGAGGTATTATCCCTGCTTTATAAATGAGGAGGCTGACGCTCAGGTTATAGAAGTCTGTGCAGAGACACACAGTCAGTCAGTAACTGAACCAGGATTTGAACATTGGTCTCTGACTTCAAAGCCTGTTTTTCCACATACCACACTGGAATTAGAGAGAAGTGTTGCCAGAGTAGGTTTTGAACTCTAAAGTTCTGCCTAAAGCTAAGAAGCACATATACTCTTGAAATTCTTTTTATTTCCCTTTCCACAACAATAATAGAATAAAGAATTATAGTCATGTTAAGTTTCTTATTGAGACGTCTCAATCACTTCTTGCATGGGACCTACGGGGCAGATAAAATTAAGCCATAAGCCAGCACGGGGATGGCAGGTATTTCTGTAACCACCTTCTCTGAGTCTGGATCACTCATTGATCTTGGCGGTCTGGTCACAAGCTTGGAATATTCAGTACTGAAATCTAGAACCATTACCAATTGTTCAGATTTGGCATTTAAGAAAAAACTTTTTGCCATTTCATGGGCCAGCGTTTTTTAATCCTAATAATACTTTCTCTCCAGATTGGATTTGATTTATGCCATTTTTCTCATCAAATGTTACTCATCTCCTTCAACTTTTGCTTCAAAGTCTTTTTAGAGAAATTGTACTCTTTCCTTACTTATTTCCAGTCACATGAATCGGTTCTTTCATTCTCTTAGTTCAGTATAATGTTGGGGTTTAATTGTGAATCCTTAACAAAAACTCTTTATTAATTTTGGTGAATAAATTATACTCTTAAAAGTTATTGATTTCATTATTAAGCTTTAGTCTCTTCAGAAAATGTATTTCCTTGCTATTAAGCTTTAGTCTCTTCAGAAAATGTATTTCCTTGCTGTTTTTATTTCTCTTATTTATGTTTTTAGGTGTAACATAAGTATATATGTTAAACTTGGCCAGATTTTTTAAATGGAATATTGCTTGTTGAACTACTCTAAAATGTGAATATATTAGTGTTTTACAAGGATATCATGATTTTTTTGTTTTTTTAATTCAGCATTTAAATGATTTATGGATTATGCTATTTTCAGAAATGTTACTCATTTAGCTATAGGAGCTAATTGCATTTGTTAAGAAGAGATCTGAAAAATATTTACATTGTAAAAAGAAGCCTTGTCGGTGTATTACTAAATGTGGTACTTCTCTGTTTCACATGAGGAAAGACATTTGCATATGGTAGTATTTTGTCTGATGTTAACATCTGGGTCCTCTAAAAGAAATTCTAGTATAATTTTAAAGGACCCAGAGCTTGGTCCAAATAACTCACACTGTAGTTCTTGAGTTGATGTCCTGTAGGACCTGTCAGCAGTGTATGAGTAAATTCTTGAAGAAAAGATAACTTTTAAAATGAAAGTTACAGTTGTGGTTCAAACCCTTTTTCTGTTGCAATATACTAATCATGACTACATGACTGAATGAACTTACTAATTCATCTCTCTTATGTTTTAGATTCTTTCAGTGATCTGTATAGTTCCTATGTAATCTTTTACCTCCTGCTGCTGTCAGTGGTAGAAGTAATAATAAGTATTTTTAATGTGGAGTTCTATGCAGGTGAGTTTTCAAATGTTAATCATCATAAAAATATGTGAATTTATATTCTTAATGGCAGGCTCAATGCATTTTGTATGTGGGTGTGTATAATAGGCTTGTTTTGTGTCAGCTTAAAATGTGTATACAGAATCATTTGCTTTGCATGTTTTAACTAAAAATTTATTTGAAGGTTAATTTCTCTCTGTTTAAAAAATATCTAGAGCTCTTAGGACAGATATTGTATGATTTCACTTATATAGGAGGTTCCTAGAGTCGTCTAATTCATAAAGACAGAAAATAGAATGGTGGTGGCCACAGGCTGGGGGGGGGAGGGGATGGGGAGCTGTTTGATGGGCACAGAGTTGCAGTTGAGGTGGTGGGAAAGTCTTGAGGTACATGGTGGTGATGGTTAGACAACAATGAGTATACTTATGCCACAGATCTATATGCTTAAAGATGGTTAAAATGGGGGAAAAAATGGTTAACATAGCAAACTTTACTTATGTGTGTTTTACCACAATAAAAAAAAATTTAGACCTTTTAATAGTTCACAGCTGCTGTTAAGGCTGTGACTCAGCAGATGTATTATAAAAATAACTCCTTTATAGGGTAGGAGATCAGGACCAGATGATTTCTGAGGTCCTTTTCAAATATAAAAGTCTATAATTCTGTAGTTTAAAAAAACAACAACTGTATGTTTTGCCTTGAGAGAATCACCTGCTAGATTCCAGAGCTTGTTCTTTTTCCCGTTTCTCTTTTTACTTTTTGTGCCTTTTCTGATTCCTGTGTCTATCCTTGTGGTACAGTCAGAAGCTTCTTCTGACACTTCTTTTTTGACTGTAACATCATTCCTCTTTTTAGCTCTTCAGTAGTTGCTTCTTAGAGTTGGTATAAAATTTCCAGTCCTACTCTGGATGTTATAACACATACCCTTTTCCTTTGCTTTCCTAATCTCTCACTCCTAGCTGTTGGATCTCTTTTTCTGTTCAAGCCATATACAGATCTCCTTGGCTTATAGCACGTGTTCTTTTATATGGTCCCATGTACCTAGGTCATCTTGATGTAGATGCCACACTAGGGCTTTCCATCCTGTCATTCTTAAAGTCTGATTAGTCACTTTGGCTCATTCCTTCAACAAGCATTCTATGTGCTGTGCATGGTGTGGGGATAAGACATAAGTATTATGGTCCCAGTTATCCCTAGAGGATCACAATTAATGAGGAGACAGAGTAAACATCAAATATATTCAATTACAATAGACTGGATAGTATGGGAATATATAGGAGCACCATTTACCCAGCATGGGAAGCTTCCTGGAGGAGGTGATGCTTAAAGGATGAATTGTATTAATTCGAGAAGGAAGATGATGATCCAGGGAAGAGGATAGCACATAAAAAGGCTTAGAGACACGAGAAGCTTTGGTATGTTCAGAACATTTTAAATCAGTTGCACACTCGGTAGGTCTCATGGGCATTTCTTGGGGGGAGGGAGAGGTGATAGCAGCCTCTTTCTCAAAGTGTAAAGCACCTAAGCCCTCTCCCTTCACACGAATTTTCCATGTCTCTACAGTCTCTTTACTTGGAATATATTAAAAGAAGAATGTGTATGTGGATAGGTCAGGAAACCCTCTACTAGCTGTTTTCAAAGGTCAACATCCCTCCTACCCACACTCGCCTACCCCAGCACACTTCCAGAAAACTTATTTTGATTATCAGAGAGGTATTAGAAATTCCTATACGAACATTTATTTTGGTATTCAGTGTTGTCATTATTTGCGTAGTTTGTGGTTTATTTTTCACAATTGGACTATATATTGACCAGTTCAAATGCTGAAGTAAAAATAACTTGTCAGAGGACAAGCACTATCTTTTAAAAATTATGATTTCTTCTTTTCTGGCACCTAAGAGAATGGCAGGGTAGACACTATTTGAACTATTCGGAAATTTTAATTAAAAAGAACTGAAAAATGTTAATCCTGCTGTCCTTAGGTTTCATCTCTCAGAATCTTTGGTTTCTCTTTTTCGTGTGCATCTTTTTATATTCAATCTTTTCAAAATCTTTTAACTGCAATTTTTTTTTTTTTTAAAGATTTTATTTATTTATTTGACAGAGAGAGACACAGCGAGAGAAGGAACACAAGCAGGGGGAGTGGGAGAGGGAGAAGCAGGCTCCCCGCAGAGCAGGGAGCCCGATGCAGGACTCGATCCCAGGACTCTGGGATCATGACCTGAGCTGAAGGCAGTTGCTTAACCGACTGAGCCACCCAGGCGCCCTTAACTTCAAATTTTTGAGAATTTTTCTGTACTTTACATTGACTCTGTGTTTCTTCCTCCCCTCTGGAATAGTCGTGCAAGTATGAGAGGGAATAATAGTTCAGGTCCTCTGACTACATTCGCTGCAGTCTAAAGCCTAAAGCCATGGTAATGTGCTTTGTTTACAGTTGTGCCTTCCATTCCCTGCTCCAGACTGGCACTGATAGGGAAGATCATTCACCCTCAGCAGCTCATGCACTCATTTGTCCACGCTGCAATGGGGATGCTGGTGGCTTGGTGTGCTGCGGTGATAACCAAGGGTCAATACAGTTTTCTTGTGGTTCCCTGCACTGGTACTGAGAGGTAATGGTAACTACATTTTTTTCTATAGAACCTTGTCTAGTTACTAAGCCAAAGGTGACCTGGATAGGTAAATAGTTTATGGGCATTCTTTGCTTTCGAGACTTTTATGGAAGTTGCTTTTATACATAATATCAAATGTTTTTGATATTTATGTTTGTTGAATTCAACAGTTTTTTTTTTAAACATTGTCTGTGCAAGGTACTGTGGTAGGTGCTGCTGGATTTATGAGAGGGATTCATGCATAGATTATAGGTCCTTGAGAGTTAAGAACAGGAGGGGAATTAAGCCATGGACACAAACGGATGTGATAGGAGAGAAATAGGAATTTATGTGACATGGGATGTAATAAGAAAGTGAGATGTGCACATAAAACCTGTGGCAGTTCAGGAAACAGGGAAGATCCCTGGCTTCTTAGAGGAGGTGGCGTTTAGGTTGGGGTTTAAGGAAGGATTGTATGGGAAGAATGAAGGAAAAACTTTAAAATAATTACAACCACCTTCTTCAGTAGAGTACTTTTATAATTTTGAAACTGATACAGTTTTTTGGTGGGGAGAGCACACGCAGGGGCAGGGGGCAGAGAGAGAATCTTAGAGAATCTTGAGCAGAATCTTAGAGAATCTTAAGCAGGCTTCACACCTGGCATGGAGCCCAATGGGGCTCAGTCTCACAACCCTGAGATCATGACCTGAGCCAAAATCAAGAGTCGATTGCTCAACTGACTGAGCCACCTCGGCGCCCCATAAACTGATAACAGTTCTTGAACACATGACATTGATAAAAATTTCAGGTTGACATTCTGACTTTAAAAATAAAAAAAGATTACAGTAGTAATCTTAAGTTCTCTATTTTTTCTTCTTTTTTTTAGATTTTATTTATTTGAGAGAGAGCACGAGTGAGGGGCAGAGGGGCAGAGGGAGAGGGAGAAGCAGACTCCTCACTGAGCAGGGAGCCCATCTCGGGCTCTGTCCTAGGACCGCAGGATCATGACCTGATGCTGAAGGCAGGCACTTAACTGACTGAACCACCCAGGCACCCCTATACTACTGAATATTTAATTTCTTTTTGTCCCCCAGTTACTATTATGTAAGGCAGGTTTTTTTTTTTCCTAATATGATCAATTTTCTTTAGTGGAAAGGGCCCCGTGAGGGATTGCTCAATTATAAGAGACAACACAGAGAGAAGCCCAAAGTGATGGCATCTCTAGCAGGTCCATAACGTTCAGTTCTAGTTCCTCTCTGTCCACATGTAAGCAGCGTTGCTTGCTATCACAGGGGACATTCTTACGTTTACCAGATTTCCAGAGGAAGAGCTAAAGAGTTAGCCTTTAGAGAGGTCAAATTCTCATGCATCAGGGAAAGGGTTTTGTTCATCTTTTGCCCTCACTGAACCTGAAGTGAACCATTTTGTTAGAATTTGGGACATTTCTTAAGTGAGTAAGTCAAAGTTTGAGCCTAAAGCAGTGATACATGTCCCTGACTGTTGAATTAATAACCTAACTTTTTCTCTCCAGTTTAAATAGCCCTGCTGCACAGACCTGCTTAAATGAGTATCACCTTTTTTTTCTACTGGCTGGAGCGTTTATGGGCTACAGCTATAGTCTCCTGTATTTTATTAACAACATGAACTATCTGCCATTTCCCATCATACAGGTAAGATAGCATTTGGGCGCTACCTTATGTCAGCATGTGGCAGATGCAAAATTGCCTGGATGTATGTATATATAACTGGCCTTATCTGATTAATTCAAGATTTGATCAGTAAAACTTAGGACTGAGATCATCAAAATGCCATTTGGAGAGGAGAGATTTGTCTTCATGAGTTTTAGCATATGTGTGAGAGCTATCACTGCCCTTCCCACTGCCACTCTGAGAACACTGCTTTGCCCCACTCTTTCCCTCCCTGCTAGGTAGTGGCAGTTGCTGTGACCTAGCAGGGCTGGGGGAGGAGGATGATGACATTCATGCAGCGTACCTCTGTGCAGCTGCCGGCTTCTTTTTGAACCTAAGAACTCATGGGCTTGAGGATGTGCAAGTAAGTATAGAATGTCAGTTACTGTCTCACATCTTTTCTAGAACGAGGCATGATGTGTATAAATAAAACAGTTTTGACTGGTTTGAGTAGGACAGTTCAGACTATCTTTCAGTTAGGTTTTTAAAGATCTAATCTGGTGGGGAGCCTTCTGTGCAACTAGAACCACCTTCTAAGGCAGGAGAGAGAAAGATCAGTTGAGATTTCTCCTGTGGCATCAAGGTTCTCCCCCAGCTGTTCCCACTCTTCCCAACTGTGTTCTTATTCGCTTCATTCCTGTGCTGTGGCAGGCTGAGGACTGGGCCTTGGAGCAAAACTATTAGAACCAGCCCCTTCCCACTAGGACCCAGTCTGGTGGGGAGGGAGTGACATGTAAACAAACATGTCATGAGAGTATGAGGGTGTGTAGGTTTGGCTTCTGGTTTCACTGAAGTTCCTACCTGCCTTTTGCCTCCATGAGAACAATCTGTTGAAAATTCACGTACTGCAAAGAGGTAGTGCTCACAGAAAAGGAGCTGGCCCTTACCTCCCTGCAAACCATGAGTGTATGAAGAAAGAGTCCCAGTTAGAAATTCTTCACATTTTGAGAAGATGAATTAAAAGCAGAGTATCAGCTTTGCCACTTTAAAATTTTACAAGGAGGAAAAACCCTGAAATTCTATACAGAAATATCCATGCTGAATCATATTTGATCCAAATATAATTAAGAATATAGAGAAGAAAAGTGTTAGAGAAAAATGAGATACCCCAAAATACCTTGCTTCCCCCTGGACCTCATTTGAAAGTGACCATTTGTTTAACATCACAGACATGCAGTAGAGTAAATGTAGGAGCAGACCAGTAATTGATAGTACTAATAAATTGTTCCTACCATGTAATGTCACATTTGTAAAATTTGACTACTAAATTATTTTGTAATTTCTATTGACAAAATTTTAGATTTATTCTTGTATCCCAGAAGTTTCTCTTCTGATGGTAATATTTAGCTTTTACTTCAGGTTTAACTTTGGCAGAAGGTTAACTTCTGACATTTGGCCATTCAGTATTTGGCCAAAATATATTTTGGGGGCCTCTCTTGTAACCGTGAGTGTATAGTATTTGGTCTGCCCGGCTGGGTGCTCTCTCCAGCCTGGGGATGCTTGGAATAGGGGTTTTGTTGGGTGGGTACAGTGGAATAAGGGAGGTCAGGATTTGGGCAGGAGCAGTTGAAATGATGAATCTTTGTGCCCAGGATCATAGTTTTTCATCTATCTCGTTTGTAACTGTGTTTGTTTCCCAGCTGTGTAGATTTACCTTCTCAGAAGATTGAAGGGGAAGGAGGACACCATACCTTAGCTTTCTTTGCTTATCCCTAAGAGCCTGGTGTGCATTGTATGATCTTCCCTTAATGCGCTTTAAGTTGCTAAGGAAAGCAGGATTATCAGGAAATTGTAAGCTTGATGTGAGATCAGGCCTATTTCTTCTTCTGAACCTCCATAAAGTGATATGATGGCAATCGCCATTTACTTTTCTTCTTTAACTGGCCAAGCTGACCAGAGAATGTTAGACCTCAAAATAAGAATTTTTTTACAAGCAATAACAACCATTATTATTAGCATCATCATCATCATCATCATCATTATTTTTGGTGCTGCCTGTCAGCTTTCTTCCTAAGAGTATAGTGGTAACATTTTGATTAAAAAATATTCAAATACTGTAGATAAAATTAAAGTTCCCTTTGGCCATTCTGGGGCCAGTCTCAATCTTTGCCTCAGAGATAATTGTGACCAGTTTAGTGTATATTCTGCTAGGCTCTTTTCTGTACATTTACATATGTAGGACCTATAACATATATCTTGTGGGGTGGAGCTTCCATTAATAGTTTTATATTGTCCTTATTATTCAGTAACTACAGTTTTCATGTAACTATGAAAAATTATATCTTTTTAAAGATCTAATTCTAACCAATTTACCATTAGCCTACTAATTTTTCTTTAAACTAGTCTATAGTTCTAAAACCAATTCCATTGTCTTTATCATATTCTTAATGACAGACTGATAGGGAAAAGCAGAACATTAGCATGGAGTAGAGGACAAAGAAGTGGATGAACATCAAGACAGGGCTTGGCAAGTTCTAGGCCAACAAGACTAAAAGTATTAAATGAGATAAGAATTATAGAGCCTGGCACATAATAAATCCTCAGTAAAGGGTTAGTTTCTAGCCAAATCACAGAAGAAACCCAATAGGGAATTGAAAAACACTTCAGCTACGGAGCAGTAAGAGGGTATATTAGCTATTCTCTGCATATCTACTGAAATGCCTACCTGTTTCCCTAGCCTCTTTGGACCCTTGTGAGTCATGGTTGAGGTGAGAGCTTCAGTAGGAATAGTATAGGAACTATACCCTTTTTATTGGGGGGTCAAGTAAGAAGGTTAGCATCCAATGGCTGCATGGAATTGTGCCATTCCATATCTCAGACTTTGAACATATCCAAATAAACCAGGATACTTGAAGCTGTGTGTTTAGTGACCAAGTATTCATATGGGCTGCTTTTTGGTAAGATGCTGTAGGAGTTCACAGACGTGGTATGAAGATAAAACTTTTACCTATGTATATAATTATTTGCTTTTCTTTAGCTTCTGAATTTTCTTAAAGAAGGATCAGTCGTAATAGAAGCACAAAAGAAGACCAGAATTTGGGAAATTCATCTTTGCTTCATTAAATTTCCTTAGGTTCTTTCCAATAATTTAAAAATATTTTTTCCATTGGCATTTTTGGGGCAGGGAGAGGAGGGGGGCTAATAATCTTTATTTCACAAGAAGTGTAGTTTTATCAGGAAAAAAGCATTTCACATTTTTTCTTAATTGATACTTCTTAGATTGTTAGAATTGAAGGTACTACTCATTTATGCACTGTTTAGCTGGGTCAGCCTTCTTATCGCACAGATAACTGGAGACATGACTTGCTCAGTGCTGCAGAGAGAAGCACTAGAACTCAGGTCTCCTGACTCAGTCTAGTGTCTTCTTCTGCCTCTAGTTTTTCTTGCAGATAGCATTTAAAAACAGTGTAGAGGCAGTGTGTACATTATATTTAAGATTGAAGTCTCTGAAACTGGCCTGCGTGGATTAAAATGTCAGATTTTCCTTTTGCTAACTGGTAAATTGGTTCAGTGTGCCTCAGTTTTCTCATTAATAAGATGAGGATAATAATGGAACCTTCTTTATAGGGTTGTGCTTAGAATAGTACATGGTACATGCTAAGCAGCCAATGAATGTTAGCTGCTGTTGTTCTGATCATCATGTTTTTTGTACTTACTCCATCTCCATAGTCCTCAGTTTAAGTATAGATCAGTATTGTTAATTTTGTCATTTCTGCTCTCATATTAACGAGATCTGTATGATGTAAATATTAAATATTTTATCATCAGAAATCATTGATTTTTTACCTCTGGAATAAACTTTGTTTTTTTATACAATGATTATGTTTTTTATATGTGGACTGTTTTAGTTATGTGTTTGCTTTAGAATGAAATAGATCCTCTTCTTGGATGTGTCATTTGATTCTGTTTTTCTTTTTTTTCATAGCAATACAAGTTCTTACGCTTCAGGAGATCTCTGCTCTTGTTAGTTAAGCATAGTTGTGTGGAATCACTGTTTCTGATTAGAAATTTCTGCATCGTGTATTATTTTCTTGGTAAGAATTTCTGCTTTTTCATACAATGTATGTGCTAGCTCATAGCTCAGAAAATGTCAGTTTCAAAGTAATTTTTTTTTTTTAAGATTTTATTTATTTATTCATGAGAGACAGAGAGAGAGACAGAGGCAGAGGGAGAAGCAGGCTCCCCGTGGAGCAGGGAGCCTGATGCGGGACTCGATCCCAGGACCCTGGGATCATGACCTGAGCCGAAGGCAGACGCTTCACCGACTGAGCCACCCAGGCGTCCCTCAAAGTCATTTTTTTTTTTTTTAAAGATTTTATTTATTTATTTGAGAGAGAATGAGAGAGAGAGAGCAGGAGAGGGGGGAGGGTCAGAGGGAGAAACAGACTCCCTGCCGAGCAGGGAGCCCGATGCGGGACTCGATCCTGGGACTCCAGGATCATGACCTGAGCCGAAGGCAGTCGCTTAACCAACTGAGCCACCCAGACACCCCCTCAAAGTCATTTTTTTTTTTTTTAAAGATTTTATTTATTTATTTATTTGAGAGAGAGAAACAGCATGAGAGAGGATAGGGTCAGAGGGAGAAGCAGGCTCCCTGCCGAGCCGGGAGCCCGATGTGGGACTCGATCCCAGGACTCCGGGGTCATGACCTGAGCCGAAGGCAGTCGCTTAACCAACTGAGCCACCCAGGCGCCCTCAAAGTCATTTTTGATTGTATTTGTATGTTCCTTAATTTTAGGTATGTGATTAGTCCAACTGATTCATTGTTTAGATTGTCATAGAGTATTTAGTTAAGGGATAATATTGTTAAAGAAAATTTGGTATATACATACAATGGGATATAATTCAACCTTAAAAAAAGAAGGAAATCCTATCACAAGCTACAACATGGATAAACCTTGAGGACATCATACTAAGTGAAATAAGCCAGTCGCAAAAAGACAAATACTGCATGATTCTTCTTACATGAGATATTATTTGAGTAGTCAAACTCTTAGAAACAGAAAGTAGAATTGTGCTTGCCAGGAGCTGTGTGGGGAGGGGAAAGGGAGAGTTGTTGCTCGGTGGGTAGAGAGTTTCAGTTTGCAAGATGAAAAAGTTCAGGAGATCTGTTGCACAAGGTGTATATGGTGTATGTACACTTAGTGGTTAAGATGGTAAATTTTGTTATGTGGTTTTTACCACAATAAAAAAAAATTCTTTTTTAAAAAAGAAGAAAATACTGTATATTACTCTATAAATAACATACTCCTTTTATAACTTTTTGTAACTTGGTATGAATATACTGGAAATATCCTGCTGCTGAGGGAACCTTATAGAATTTATTAACATGAATTTTAAACACAAAAATACTTGTACTTATTTAATATGATGAGCAGTTCAAGTTGAATGGAAAACATTAATCTCAATAGCAACACATAATAATATAAACAAAATTCAACATCCTAAAATACTGTTTTCAAACTATAGGTTTCCCCACTATCTGAAAGTAGAGAGTTCCTGTGAAACCTTTTGTAAGCCGAAATGGCACAAAGTGAAGTAGCAATTAGCTTTAATTTACAGGGAAAGAGTTTTGAACATCCCCCACCCCCAAAATAACCTCTCAGGCTTTTCTGATGCTTCAGGACACATCTTGCTAATGGATGCACAAAACAAATGGAGATAAAGCACAGGTGCTCACTGACACAGTGAAAGCTATGGAGGCTTGATGCTGAGACGCTGAGCGGATTTCCTGGGTTAGGAGCTTGGCTGCGCCCCTCTCACTGTTCAGGATGCCCTGCTTCTGTACAGTAACAGCTCTGGCGTGGGGCAAAACAAGTGCTGAATGCTGTTTTCGCTTTTGTGCCTTATTCTTAAGTGTGGATTTCTTTCAGTTGGTGCAAACAGGTGCTAGCATAGGCCTTTCATAGAAATGAAGTGACATAACACAAACTTTGGAAAAGCAGGGGTTACCTATATAACTTTCTGACCCTACTTTTTTCTATGGAATAATTTTACAGAATTGTTCTCACTGGGTATAGGCCATTCTGTTGTCCACGTCATTCACTTGTAGTTTAAATAACCCATTTTTCTACATAGCTCTTATAATTGTCATTCTAAGGTTAACACTTTATTGTTTTTTATTAACCTGCTACCATGAGCCTGGATGTTCCCTACAGTTGTACATTTGGGCTGACATAGCAGCCGCATCAACATTTCCGTGGTCAGCTGTATCTTCTGTAATCCCATTTATGTTCCATTTCAGATTTCATTTCAGGAGTTACCACTTTTCATTTCTTTGTTGCACTTTGGTCTTTTTGGCCAGTTTCCTCTTTCAGTTACTCATTTTTGTAAAATGTTATGTGGGCTTTTCAGGGAGACAAGGAGGTAGCACAATTACATGTTTTGCTGTCTGTGCCTGAACTGAATAACAGACGTCAGTGACCAGTGGCCAGCAGACTTAGAAAGAAGGGATGTGATTAGTCAGAAGTTGTGGTGTGTATCTGTTATCTACATACCGATTTGTGTACTGAAAAGCTAGAAGTACTATATTCAGTTGCTCACAGTAAATGTACCGTGGTAACTGAAATTTGAATTGTGTTGTTGGGGGACTGTTGTGATTTAACTAAACCACTGAAGTATGACTGAAATATGTACATAATCTGACCTGTGCAAAGCAAGGACTTCGTATATTTAGAAATTATTCTCTTTTCCTGCCCATTCCTTTTTTTTTTTTTTTAAGATTTATTTATTTATTTTAGAGTGGAGGTGGTAGGGGGCAGAAGGAGAGAATCTTAAGGAGACTCCCCGCTAAGCACAGAACCCCATGTAGGGCTTGATCTCACAACCCTGAGCTGAGATCATGACCTGAGCTGAAATCAAGAGTTAAAACGCCTAACTGATGGAGCCACCTAGGCGCCCCTCCTGCCCATTCCTAATCAAACAATCTAGCTTTCTGACTGAGGTCTTGGTATCTACTTGGTCATCTCATCAACCTCATATTACAAAACATGGTTAAGATTTGCTTTATATATTAACTTTTTATGTTCATAGCGTGGTATTTTTTTCTCTCAGGCCATATCCCCAAAGCTTGGATTAGCACTGCGATGGACCTTCAGATAGATGAGTAAGTGACAGATGAAAAGTCTGATTTTTCATGCTGCTAGTTTCCATCCTTTTTAGGTGTTTGCCACTTTCCCGATGTGTTGTTCAGATTTAGCCTTTAAATTTTTAAAAAATGGTATTCATTTTGGAATATACCTAGTTCACATAATTTAAAATTTCAATGCCATAAAATAGGGTATACAGTTAAAAAGAATCCTTTTGCTCCAGTCTCTAGTCACCCAGTTCCTCTCCCTGGAAGTCAGCAATGATAATTTGTTTTTTATTAGATATAGCTTTTATATTATGGAAAAGTGGATTTCTTGAGTTGCATGGACATACCTCTCGTTTGCTTTTCTCCTCAATCATCATTCTCTGCTATGTTGTAGTAGGTGAGCACAGTGCTATGGTATTATTCTAATTTTGCCTCTAAGGAAGCCAAAATTGAACAGGGTCATGGGACCAGTTGAAGGTCGTTAAGTGGCAATCGAGTGGCAGCACTAGGGTGTATTGCTCTAGTTATTCCCAATGTACTTTGCACATAGTTAAAGCTTTAATCTTTACTTGGCAAATAAATGTAAATTTCTCTATTAGTATTTGTTCTTTTAATTATTGGCTATTCTACCGTGAGATTTTTTGTGTGTCATATATGGGTTTAACTAATACCATTTTTCGGGAGTGAGGATACTGGTATTTGTGGGTGCTTAAGATATTATGGTTTCTACATTGTGGATTTCAATTTCTTTTTTGTGTGGATTTCAATTTCTAACTTTTAAAAGTTCCTAGGTAAAATGTAGTTTTGTCCTCTGCTTAATTGCTAGATACGAAACTAAATGCATGGGTCATTTATTATGTTAGCCCAAATTTTACGTTGGGTCAAATGGAAAAAGAAAAATAATAATGATATTTGATTGTAATTTAACATAGTACTTTTTTCTTTCTTTCACTTAAAATATATTTTGTTCGTATGGCAGTGCCTAATATACTGTCCTTAATATATGGTGGGCCCTCAATAAATATTTACTTAAAATCTGAAAATAACTTTCTTCTCCCCAGGAAGTGTTAAGCACTATGCTGGGCACGCCTAACATAAGGTGTTTTAAATCTCATAATAGCCATAAGAGGTAGAAAGAGATTATGCCACCATTGTATGGATGAAGAAATTGAGGTGGGTTAGGTCAAGCAGTTAACATAATCACAGCACTGATAAATGGCAGAGCCAGAGGTACTAATCCTGTTTTTAAAATTGCTAGTTGTGTGATTGTAGGACTATGATGACTTTGCCAGTTGATCTATTCAAGGCTTTGGTAAAATAGTGTTCACTTTATTTAGCTTTTTTTTTTTTTTTTTTTTAAAGATTTTATTTATTTGAGAGAGAGACAGAGAGTGCTTGTGCGGTGTGGGGAGGGGCAGAATAAGAGGGACAAGCGGATTCCCCGCTGAGCACAGAGCCCCATGGGGCTGATCCCAGGACCCCAAGATCATGACCTGAGCTGAAGTCAGATGCTCAGCAGACTGAGCTACCCAGGCTCCCCTTCTTTTAGCCTTCTAACAGTTTCTTAAATTATTTTAAAAGTAAAGATTGTGATTTTAGATAGTGCCATGTGCTCTTAACTATTGTGGAACTGTTTTTAGGGTGTACAGATAAAGCTGAAATCTGGCCCAGGAGAGGTGCTAGTCTTGTTGAATGGTTATGTATCAAACTACAGAGCAACAATAGTAAAATTTTACCCAGCCTCTAAGGGTTGGTTTATAGGCTTGACTCATTCTTCCTCCATAGTAAATGACAGTGAAGATTTGGAACACAAGAAACTGAGCACAAATTTAGGTCTGTTCTTCCTTTAGGGCTCCCTTACATAGTTTATAAGAAAGTATTAGGGAGAGAATTTTATGGGGTGTAAAAGGAAAGGAGTCTGTATCACCATTATTACTTAGAAATAAGATTTATTTGTTTTTCATTATGAGGCCCCAAGTCTGTTAAATGCTTAGATTGTATTTTCCCCATAGGATTAAACAGTAATTTCTGCTTCCGTAGGCAGTTTCACAGGCCTCTTGACACTGTGCGTGGCCTCTTGAATCTCTCATTACTCTACCATGTCTGGCTGTGTGGTGTCTTTCTTCTGATGACTTGGTATATCTCATGGATACTCTTCAAAATCTTTGCCACAGAGGTTAGTATTGAGTTTTTTGTTAATGCTTTTGTGTTTTGAAGTGCACAGATTTATTTATAGCAGAGCACTGAGTATGCTCTTGTGCCCAGAGCCATTTTGAGTAAGTTGGGTTTCGGTCTCTTTTCTGAGACTTCATTAGGGACGCATCATTTGTAACCATAATTTACTCTGTGTGTATGTGTGTGTGTGTCTGTGTCTATGTCTATAAGGAACAGTGTTAGTGTTCTTGATTTTTGGAAACTAAACTGAATGAACTGCTAGCGGAGCTTACTCTGCTTTATCTGTAGTGTCATTCTCTTCTGAAGGTTTCCATTTCTCTATTGAGCACATACTAAATGCCTGCATTTTAAATTAGCTTTATTTAAAAGCTATTTAAAAGCTATTGTTAAAACTACTATTAAGATATTTAATATAAGACAATAAAATATTTGTTCTTTGAGAGAAAGTTTTAAATTTTGTATTGAAATGATTTTAAATGAATGGGAATTCCATTGTCCTTATCATCCAGGTGTTTGTCTTAAAAAATGAGTGTTTCATATTACCATCTCTGTAGGTTTGTATCCTTCAGTGGCTTCAGAGAATATTTGTTTCTATTATTGGAAGCCAGAGATCTAATCACATTGGGAGAGTAACATCTTAGAAAGTAGTGTGTTTGGGTATATTTAATTTTAATGCAACCTATTATTAAAACATGGAAGATATTAATTTGGTTATATTGTCTCCTGTTGTAATAAATTCAATTAGTGTTAACTTACTGAATGTAATAAAGTCAAGAAAATAATTATCTTCATAGTCTTGATATTTGATTATATTTGATAGGCTCATCTGTTCCCTGTTCAGCCACCATTTTCAGAAGAGTCAGATGAATGCCTCCCGAAGGTTTTGAACAGCAGTCCTCCCCTCATCATAAAGGTATCTGAATTGTGCATTTTGTGTCTTTACACAGTCATCTCTAACTTGTCTTATGGAATGGACTTAATATTTAGTGTATTTAGATATATTTTTTGAGGGCCTAGAATATTCTAGTACCAGTATTGTAAAAAATCAACTACATGCTACATTGAATGCTGTTTACTTTTTCAGTTTTCATTCCAAGTGACTAAAATATAAGGATATAAGCTAATTTGTACAAGCCAAATTATATTTAGGATAGATATAAAAATATTTCCAAACATGAAATACCATGATATGCAACCATGTGCGTTAGCTTTTCACAAACTCCTCATGGTAGCAAAACAAAATGCTGTTTTTCATTTGTTTTTTGTTTTTGTTTTTTATCATTGAGTCAAGGTGTATTTTTACTCGTGTAATATTGTTGGTTGTTATCATCAAAGGTGGTGCTTGATAGGTGTACACATACAGTGAACTCTCTTAAAATAGAAAGAATGATAATGATCCCAAAATCAATTTTAATCAAAAGAGTTTAAAGAAGCTGTAGTAAGTTTACAAATGAAACTGAGAATAACTTGTTTTGATTTAAATTGTATTTTAAAATTTTAAAGTAGATCTACAATATGTGTGATCCTGTTAAGAGATCATAGTGCTTAAAAAAGAATTTGAAGAAAATGGAACCCAGAGTTTGGAATACACTCTAGAAAAGTTACAAACTAATAAGAAAATGAACCACTGAGGGTCTGATTATCTTTAAACATCTATTACGACTAATTTATTAGATAAACAAAAATATCAGGTACTCATTGGGATACTTAACATATCTGTATTCACTCGGTAGGTGTCAGTCACTGTTAGTTGCTTAAGGCATAATAATGAATTAGATGTGGCACAGCCTAATGGAAAAGGCAGATACACAAAATAATGAAAATTTATTGTGGCAAGTGCAGTGGGAACCAAAACACTTACTCTGCTTGGAACCAAAACAAGAAAGCTTCACAGAAGTGATGGTGTCTTGAATGATGAGTGAAGGGGTTTGCCAGGAAATAAAATGAAGATTTTCAGTAAAAAAGTACAACATACGTTGTGTGTCTGCTGTGTGCCAGGCACTGCCTTTGGATGTGGTAGCAAGTAAGACGCAGTCCCTGCCTCACAATTTAGTGGGTGGAACCAGATGAGACAAGTAAACAGGCAATTACAATAAATTATGTTAAGTGCCACGGTTGAGAGCTGTGTGAATATATGTTTGTGTGAGGGAAGCCTGGGAAGTTCCAGGAGGAAGTGATGTTTTAAGTTTCCCACCATAGATGTGGGAAAAGACACAGATCTGTAGCTGTAGCCGCCAGTGGGTGGGGCAGCCTACAGAGGGTAGAAGCAAGAAAGTTCCAGGACTCTAGAAAGTGGAAAAGTATTTACTTCATGAAAAATTTCAACTAATTTCCCTTACATATATAATGCTGAGCCCAATTCATAAATAAGCTTTTATGTAGAAGTTAAAAAAATTAAATAATGTGTATTTTTTTTTTTCCCCTTTTAGTATTTGGCCTTGCAGGACCTGATGTTGCTTTCTCAGTATTCTCCTTCACGAAGACAGGAAGTTTTTAGCCTTAGCCAACCAGGTATTGCTAAAAGTAACAGATATGGGCTTGTGTGTGCAGAAAGTGTTCCATTTAAAATTTTTGGTGAGAGAGATGTGTTTAATACAATATCACACAGCTGTGAGTCCATTAAATGAAGTATTGATTTAAATCTTATGCAAGTAAGTGTTTCCATTGCTGTGGTTAGAAGTTGTATTTCCAGAAAAGTATTTTTAAACTCTTATGTATTATCTTCTTCAGCATCCTCATTCCCTTAACCTGAAGAAATTATGAGGTAGGTTGACAGTTTAAGAGCAGAAGAGTATAGTTTAAGAATCCTCAAAGTTTTAATGCTACAAAGGGTCTTGAAAATCAGGTGGTCTAATCCCTAGATGGGGGATCTAAGTCTCAGAGAGATTAAGTGGCTTACATAAAGTTAATGTCAGAGATGGAGTAAGAAATTCTATCATTTGACTCCCAAATACAGAGCTCCCTCCTTCTGCCGTGCTACTTTGCCTCCCTTTAAAAAAGAGTAAAAGAGTACTAGATTTGATGGTGACCCCAGGATGCTCTTGGCAACTCCGAAACACTTCTCCGTTGTTACTTGTTACAAACTCCTTGTTACAACTATGCCAGTGCCCTGCCTTGTTCCTGGATGGAAAGCATCTCAGCCCAAGCACCAGTGAACAGGGAACCTAGATAGCTTTTCATCTCTGTAATCAGCTTTTCATTGTTTTGCATACTTGCCAATTCCCACATATAAAAGAAACCTTCTATAGTTAAATGTTACATGGAAATGAAATTCAGTTACATAAAATGATTGGAGCCACACTCTCCTTTTGGTATCATGAAAAATCCAGAGCTGATGCTGTGGAAAATTAACAAGTCTTTCCTATCAGAGTTAGGTTCACCAAGGGATTCTCTATAAGATAAATACTTTCACCAGATACTCCAGTAAACTGCAACAGGCTCACGTGTTCTCTGCCAGAGAACTTACGTTCTAGAGCATATTATTAAAATTCAACTCGACCATTACATAGTTCCTTAGTGGTCCTGAGTTACTAGCAGTACAAAACATTCTGGGGCCTATTGATGGAGATTTTGTTTGCTTGCCAGTTAAGTTATAGTCCTCTTGAGCTGTATGTAAATGGGGACAGTATTTAGGGAGGGATCTAAGTGAAGAGAGAAGGATTATTTGGTACCTAGGGTGGGGAAGCCAGTTTTCAGTGGACTCCTCAGCTATTCTCAGCATAGAAAGATTGATTGGTTGGTTGATTTCTACATGGCAGTTGTAGGCGATAAAGGTCTTAGAAAATGAAAAGATAATGAGAAGTAAGAGAATTTTTACAAGATTGTGGATCACAGTAGTTTAAGTTAAATAATAAAGAATGTAAATTCTCTATAAAGTGTGATTGTTATCAAATACTGTGTTATTCCTACAGATATAATAACAAATAGGAGCTATTATAAATGAAAATGTAAGGAAGCATAGTGGGGCAGACACAACAGTTTATAGGTCACTGGGGGTCATGGGTTGCATCTCATAAGACATGCTTGTATTCATTGTCTTAGTCTTTAGTCTGTTCAGTGGTGCTAAGGAAGTAACTTTGCTCTTTTTCACCCAACCCATGCTCTAGTGTTTGGCTTTATTTTAGCAGCCAATGTAAGAGGTTTTTTGTTTTGTTTTGTTTTGTTTTATGCTAAAATTGCAAGCTTTTACTCATAGACTTTTTGGAAAATTATTTTGTCCAAATATTTATTGAACTCCTGCTGTGTATTAGATGACAGGAGTATAAATAGTAGCTTAGCCAAGGAAAGTGGGCCCTGATGCAAAGTGTCATGTAACATTTTTTTTTTAAGATTTTATTTATTTGAGAAAGAGAGCCCATGAGTGGGGGGTGGGAGGAGAGGCAGAGTTCAGAGAAGCAGACCCCCTGCTGAGCAGGGAGCCCGATGCAGGGTTCCATCCCAGAACCCCAAGATCATGACCCGAGCCGAAGGCAGATGCCTAACCAACTGAGCCACCCGGGTGCCCCTGTCATGTAGGATTTCTTACTGAGTTTTCTCCTCACATTGAGAACGTGACTATAAGATTATGTAACATTTTAAAAGCTGGTATTTGGACCTCCTAGGTGGACATCCCCACAATTGGACAGCCATTTCAAGGGAGTGTTTGAATCTTTTAAACGATATGACTCAGAAACTGGTTCTCTACCAAGAAGCCGCTGCTACGAATGGGAGAATGGTGTCCTCATACTCCGTGGAACCCAAGAAATCGAATTCTCCAGGTAATTCATATATTATTGCAAGAAGGCAAAGTATGTACATTTTGTTTCCTAAGAAAGATGATGGTAGTTAATCTAAGGATATGTATATATGAGTGTGAGGGATGTATTTTTAGGGAAAATTGATCTAATACATGGAATATTGTACTGAACCAAGAAAAAGGCCTGGGTATCATTATAGATTGAAGAAATTAAGTCTGCCGTGCCGGTGGTGGCTCATCCTGTAGAAGCCTTCAGCTTCCTCAAGTGCAGAGCCAGGTGAAGCATTATAGGTCATACTGGGTGCTGTTCTCGTCGCAGTATCCCAGACAGATAGTTGCTGGACAGTGCCCAGAGGAGAGCACCTGCAGTGACTGAGCAATTTCACTGTGGGGGCATCACATTCATTGTTTTAAGAGAGCTTAATAGAATATTTGAAAGATGGAACCTGAGGGCAAGAAGTACAGTGGAGGGACCGAGGCTATTTGACCAAATTCCTTAAGTAGAAGAGGCCTAGGAATGTAAGACTAATGAAAGGTCTTAATGTCCACATGGCTTTTGGAGGCAGACCTTGAATGAAAATGAGCAAAACTGGCTGGGTGAGGACTGTGGTAAACTTGAGAGTGCGGGCTTCACCCGAAGGGGAAGCCGTGGGTTAGCTTCAGTCCATAGGTTATAAGAATTTAGAGCTGGTGTGCCGCAGCCCCCCTGCCCCCCATTAAGTGAAGCCTGAAAGCCAAAAATATTGTGGGTGAAATGTTCCACTTTTTTAAATGTTGGCAATTAATCTTGATATTTAAAAAAAATCCTATATGGGTCACAGCAAGCATCATTACTTTGGAGGGGCCATAGACCAAAAACAGAGATTACAAATGAAAAATGATTTAGGTAAGACCATGAATGTCAGATTGTAAAGGATTCTAGAGTGTTTCAGTTCTCAACATTCGGATTAGCATTTATTTTACTCAACAAATGTTTACTGAATGCTTACTATATACCAAGCAGTGTGCTAGAGGCCAGAGATTCAAAGATGAAAATACACTCTTGGAAGTGACTTCTGGTGGAAGGCACATAAATAATGACAGGACAGTGTAACTGCTAAAAGGAAGTCTGTCACAAAGGAGTCTGAATGGGTAGGATGATGGTTGATAATGGAAGGAGGCCTTGTATGTCCAGGTAGGAGTTTGCATTTTGTAGGGAGAGGGGTGCCATTAGAGGATTTTAAATAGGCTAGTTATATCACATTAGCATGTTAGATCATTTTAACCCTGGGTTGGGGGGGGGTGGTGTCATGGGTCTGACCAAATAGGAATTATTCATTACTTTAAATTGCTGTCACATCCCATTGCTCAGTCAAAATTTGTTTCTAATTTTGCAAAACTTAAAAAACCTCAGTCTTAATTTTTAAATCGATTCTTCAAATATTTCCAAAGTCTGGCACTTTAAATGTTTGATGTTTTATGGCAGTTTTATTAAGACGATAGAATAGAATACTAATGTAATTTATTTGTCTTTGTGCCTTGTACTGAAGTGGCTGGAAAAATATTCCTTTGTTTTATACAACAGAATCTATAAATTGGTGGTTATAAGATAATTGTCGAAGAAGGTATTTACGGATCATATTTGTAGATGGATCTGGGCAGATTCATCTCTGGTGTGACTTCCGTTAACTTGAAAAAATTCTGTGGAAAATGGATAAATGTGCACCCTTTATCAGTACTCTTTCACAGTACAGGTTTGTTTTAGTCAAGTAACAGCTGCGGTAGGACCTTGCGGTAACACTGGGCATATTCCAGTGCAATAATTGAAGTTGTTGTCGTTTGAAAATAAAATATAAATTGGTAGGTTCGTTCAACTCGGCTTAGATTTAGAGAAACTGACCTTGAAGGTGAAGGTATTCTCGTGGGGGCGGGGTGGGGGGGTTGGAGAAAACAAGAGAGGCTGCACCAGTCTGACGGAAGAGGATGTAGAACGCTCCACGAGTGGTCACTGAGCTGCAGTAGTAAAAGCTGGATGTTGAGAATGTGAACCCAAAGGAACCAAGCTCCTGAGCCTTGGGTAAATGCATGAAACCAAAACCTGAGATGTGTACAGTTTGTTCAGGTTGCCTCTTCAGCACTGGATCTGTTCTTTTACAGAAGAAACTACTTTTCAGACCCCGAAATCTAGCCAGCTACCTCGGTCTTCAGTGCCACCATTAGTTAAGACATCACTGTTTTCCTCCAAATTATCTACGCCTGATGTTGGAAGTCCCCTCAGAAGCCCGTTTGGCTCTAGTGTAGTGAATCGGATGGCTGGAATTTTTGATGTAAATACCTGCTATGGGTCCCCTCAAAGTTCTCAGCTAATAAGAAGAGGGCCAAGATTGTGGACTTCTGCTTCTGGTAAGGGGACTGTTTTCTAAAATTTGAAATGTCATAGTTACAGAGACTTAGATATCCTGAGTTTTCACCTTCATGGTTTTTTGTTTTCTGTTTTTTTATTTAGATCAGCAAATGACTGAATTTTCTAATCCTTCTCCATCTACCTCTGTTAGTGCTGAGGGTAAGACAGCGAGACAACCCAGTATGATTTATTCATGGATTCAGAATAAACGTGAACAGGTAGGATGATATGGTTATAGGATTTATATTCGCATGTATCATTGAGAGTATTAAGGATGCCACATGAGTAAGCCATCAGGGATAAATAAAAACTTTTTTTTTTTTGATGCTTCATGTATTAAGTTGACTCATATGAAATTGCCAGTATTTGACTGGTTTTGAGTTATGTAAATTGCAATTTCCTATGACTTCATCTAATGTGAAGCCTTTGATCTGTGAATTCTTTCATTTAAGAAATACTTACTGAGTTCTTTATATATGCAGAGTGTGGTTTTAGGCACTGGGAAAACAGCAAACAAAAGCCTCTGACCATTTGTTTACATTCCAGTGAAGGGAAATAGATGAACAAGCAAATGTATTAAACTATATCTCTTTCAATATAACAAAAATCTATTAATTGTAGGACTTATTTTGTGTACTGTTAAGGAAAAAAGTTGCCAGTTAAACCATGACATGCTATTGATTATAAGATGCATCCCAATATGTTATATTCAAAATACGAACAATATGTGTTTTAAAAGGGAAGAAATTTGATGTCTTAAGTGCTATAGAGAAAAATAGAGCAGGTAAGAGAGGTCTCATGGGTAAGGCAACACTTGATTAGAGACCTGAAGGGAACGCAGGGAACAGCAAAATGCAAAGGTCTTCAGGTGGGAGTGAACTTGGTTTGGGTGAAGGATAGCGTGGACACTGTAGGTGGTGGGGAAGTCAGAGAGGTAGCAGGCACCAAGAGCTCATCAGGCACATTAGCTATTGTGAAGACTCACATTTTCTCTGAGTGAGACAGAAAGCCATAGGATGGTTTTGTCCGTGAGAATGACATGATGTAACCTTACATTTTGAAAGTGCTGCTTTAGCTGTCGTGTTGAGATGAGATTCTCGGAGGGCAGGAGTAGGAGCAGAGAGACAGTTGTAAAGCTGTTGAGGTAATCTAAGTAAGAGATGATGGTATCTGTCACCAGAGTGGTTGTGGTGGAGACTGTAAGATGTGATCAAGGTCTGGATATATTTTGAAAGCAGGTGTAATAGGATTGGCTTATGGTCTGGTTGTGATGTAAAAGAGAGAGTCAATGTTGACTTTCAAGTTTTTGGCCTGAGAATCTTCTGAAATAATATAGTTGCAATTAGCTGATGATTCTGGAAGAGGAGATTTGATAGAGGTGAGGTAGGGAAATCCTGAGTTCGGTTTATGTCCATTTTGAGATATTTATTAGACAACCAATTGAAAATAAGGAGTAAGAACTGAGACATAGATCCAGAGTGTAGGGAAAAGTTCTGGGTTAGAAATGGGAATTTGGAAGTCATCAGCATACAGACAGTATTTAAAGCCATGAGACTCCATGAAAACTCTTCGGGATTGGATACAGAAGAAGAAAGATGCAAGAACGGGACCCTCCAGGGACTACAGGTCTGGGAGATGAGGGGGAATGGCAGAAGGGACCAAGTGACTGTGGTGTGAGAAGAGAACAGAGAGGAGGAGAAGTGAGTGGCCACATTCTGCTAATAGGTAGCCTGAGAGCTGCACTAGGAAGAACTGTTGTGCTGGGAATGTGGAGGTCGTTGAGTCCTTGATGAGCTTCTGGGTGGAGCAGCTGGGATGAATGCCGATTGGATGGGGCCAGGAGAGATTGGGGAGGAATGGGAGGCCACACGGAGAGCTGGATCTTTCAAGGAGTTTTGCTGTAAGGGGTGCAGAGAAATGGGGTAATTAATAGCTGGAGGGAGTTGAGGGGTCAAAGAAGGGTTTTATTTTTTAAGATGGGAGTTCTGACAACATCTTTGCTGATGGAATGATTGATTAATAGAGACTGTGGGCATTTTACAAACTTTGGGATCCCATTTGCCCTACATGCCATAAGTCCTGCCATATCATGAATTTTTTCAAGTCAGTTGGGGTATGTAGCTTTCAGCTTAATACTAAGAAAATTGTTTCCCATGGAAATGTCAACTAGTAGAAAACCATTTCATCTCTTAAGATTTTTTTTTTTGTAAGGGAAACACACTCTTTTGGTATTAAGAGGCTAAAGGGCAAGACAGTTGTAGAGAATTGAATAAGAAAATATCACTGGAACCACTTTGAATTCCTTTTATCATAGGGCTCTAATTTGGGGGTTAGCATGTGTACATGGAAATGCAGTTTAGGTTAGACGACCCATCTTGGTTATCTAATTTATAGTACAAAGGTATTTACTTGTGTAGTTTACGGCAAATATTGTTCTTTTTCTGTAAGATGTGAAGTGTTTCACAGCAAGAACCTGGGAATGTGTTAACATTATATTTGAATAGAATTGAGAGCTGTAAATGTGTTCATTCTTCCTTTTCTCCAACTCAGGTTAAGAATTTCTTATCAAAACGGGTGCTGATAATGTATTTTTTCAGTAAGGTAAGAATATATAGTTAAAGTGTTGGGAATGGTGGGGAGAGGAAATGAAATAAGAAATGAAGTACCAGGTTGGATTTGACTTCTAAATACTAAGTTCGATCCTAGCAAGCCAGACAGCTTTGTAGAGTGCTTCAGCAAACCTCCGTGTGAGGAAGAGCTGCCCTAGCACTCAGCTCATCTCAGTGACTTCCTAAGGCTTGACTCCAGTTGACCTCCTGAGTCTCCTGGCTGCAAGCAGCTTTGTGCTTCCTGCAAAATAATCAAATCCATGGCGGTCCTTCACGGCTCACTATCTTGCTATAATCTTTGTGGCCAGTTTGGTGTTCAGAAGAGAGATGACTGGATTAGGTTGCAGACGTTAAGCTTGTGTGGGACAAAAAGTTGTAATTCAGGCCACAAACTGAATGACTTTCCAGCTTGTGTGTCAGCTGCTTCAGCTGCCATAGGAGAGTAACTCTGAATTGCAGAAGCTAAAAAGCTTTCCTTTTTCACTCACTACAGCTGTTGTATGTTAATCCTTTGATGAGCAAAACCTTTGCCCATATGTAGGGGAAAGAATTTTTGTTTTGTTTTATTTTAATCTAACTTCTTTAGTTCTGAAGATCTTACAGTATTAGCTAATATTGTACTCCAAGTGCATTGGCATGCATCATTCATTTTTATTCTGTGGGGAGAGATCTGAGTAAGAGTAACTGATAGAACGTAGGTACACAGAACAAAGAATCGTTTCAAGAGTTTGAAACTGTTTTCTCACTTTGGTGGCAGGGAAGATCCACCCACCTAGCAATGACCTTTACCCAAAAGAATCTACCTCAGGCTCTCCATTAGAGCTTTGGGACAACTATCAGCCCCCTGAGGAAGGTGTCTTGTCTTTTCCACCAAAAGGAAGAGGGGTTGGCCGAAGTTTTACTTCAGAGGATGGGAAGAAAATTCACCCTTGTGTCTTATGCACGCCATATTCTTTCCTCTTTAAGTTCCCTCATTTAATTCTAACAGCATTCCTGTGAGATGTCTCTCTGTCCTCATTTTACAGATAAGGAAGCTTGAGGCTCAGAGGGGTCAAGTAACTAGCCTAAGGGCCCATAGCCAGTAAGTGGCAGAGCACATGCTCAACAAATCCGCTTTTTCCGTGGAAGTGAACGGCTGACTTTGATTCTAGTTTTGCAGGTGGATCTATTTTATAATAAGGAGTTGTAGACACTGTTGTTTGGGGTTGAGAAATGTAACATGCTGATGTACTTAATAGGCTTCATTGGGTACATCACAAAGTCAGCGTTTGTTTAAATGGGCCAATTGTTGCTCCTTACTCTTTGACCTTGCTATATTAAAGAAGGTTGGGTGGTATTTCTTTGGAGGGGGCTGAGAGTAGACCGTTTTAAGAGAGGTAATATGTATTTAGGCAATTCTGAGGTTTAAAAAAAAAAGCATTGTAACCATTCTCAAGTGATCTCTGTACTAATCTGAGGTCGGTTGAGTGTGTGTAACTATTTTAAATGAGAAACTGAGACACAGAGATTTAGAGATTGTGCAAGGGTCACATAGTAAGTTGGTGGCAGAATGCTTTACTGCAGTTAAATCATATTGTATAAGAATTTCAGATTTTAATTCTTGAGAGGCAGCTGTGAATTTTTTATTGTTACAGGCTACCTAGTTGATTAGATGAAATAACAGAGTTAATGCCCAGGGGAACTTACTTAAATGTTTCTGTTGTATTGTAGCACCCAGAGGCTTCTATTCAGGCTGTTTTTTCAGATGCCCAAATGCATATTTGGGCATTAGAAGGTAAGCATTCGCAGTGAACTACAACTCTGATTTTAATTATTGGTTAAATACTGAAGTATCTCCAAAAAAAAAAAATACTGAAGTATATCCATGAAAGGTCAGTTCTGGACCTTGACCTCAATCTTTGAATTTTTAGATACATCTTTATATCTTTGTTTTATATAGATCATTTTTCTTAGATATTTAAGTGTACTTTAATTTGGGCAGAAATTATCCTTGCATTTAAGCAGAGAAACTGAGTCTGGGATTCTTGCCTGTCTTTTCTACTTCAAAAAACTGCAGTTAATAGATTGTTTTCAATTGTCAACTTATATTGACATAACATTTTTAACATTTTAATGTATTTAACTTAGCTTGAATATGAATACTTAGTTGTTAAATAACTGTTTTTTTAATCTCCTAGATCCTGCCTTCTCAGTGCTTAAAATGATACTTTCTCAGAGAGCCCTTTCCTGACCCCCTATGAAAAGTATCCTCACAGCTGTCACTCTGTTCCCTTATTCTGCTTTTTCTTTCTGCCACTCATCACTACCAAACACAGTATTATTTAAAAATTTTTTTTCCTACTAGAATGCAGACTGTCATCTTATTCATGACCCCATGTAGTTGAGCACCTTTTCAGTGCCTGTTCCAATGTTTTGCCCATTTTTCTATTGTACTACCCCCTCCTCTGTTTTAAGTTCTTTATATATTCAGGATATTAATCCTTTCTCAGCAGATGTATTGCAAATAGATTTGCCTAATTTGGATTTCCGTTTAATTTGGTTTTTTCTTTTCCTCTTGAGGTCTGTCTCACTTAGTAGCAGCATCATTTACTGAAGATAGATTTGGAGTTGTCCAGACTACACTACCAGCTATTCTTAATACCTTGTTGACGCTGCAAGAGGTAGGCACTATTTGGATTTGGTAGAGGTCGTGTCTTTCCCTCCCTCCCAGGTTTTTCAGTTTATTTCTTATAGATCACATTTATTGAGTGACAAAGCATATGTTAGAAGTTAAATATGGTACTGTTCTCACCCTTGGGAAATTATAGTCTAAGAGAGACCAGGAAGAGAAACTGCTGATTCCTTTGTAAATAATAATTTTATAGAAAAAAGTTACTAAACCTCTGGTATTAATCAGATTATTTAGGATATTAGGATTCTGTTTAGTGATGTAAATTTGGATCCTTACACAACTTGTAGTTACTAAAAGTGACCTGTAGTTAAGTTATCCATGCAGATAAATGTTACCTATTGGCCAGAGGCTCAAGAAGATAGAGCTGAGCCTAGTGGATCCCTGCTCCCAGACTGGGTGCACAGTTTTAAAGTAGCAGGTCTTTTTAGTCCTAGATGTAAAGACAGAAAAATAAAACCTGTTTCTTGCCTTTGAATAGGCTGCCTTTCCTGACTTCATGTTGGGTGCCGTGTCACTGTAGCTGTAAGTCAGATGAGAGATAGGAACACTGGGTGCCAGAAGCATCTCAAGGTGGGAGCTGGGCTGCGCAGTAGGTTTTCCGGAGGAATGGTGTTGAAGTAGGTTTAAAGGAGGACAGTTGGCATATCCTTGAGCCTTAGGAAGCAGTGTAAGACTGAAAAGAAAACATGTTTCGCCGTTCCTTTCTTCAACTCTCAATTTATTTTACCTCTTAGAAAGTCTTACCCATCAAAGCCAGTGATTTTTGTTTTTCCCCCTTTGAATTCTTTCTGTGCTCACTTTCTCATGTATGTTTTTTAAGACTTGTGTGTACACGTGAATAGTTTTATTATTTGTACTCTTATCCCAGCTACCTTTCTCTAAAGAAAGAATTTCCAAAAAAAAAAAAAAAAAGAAAGAATTTCCTAGTATTTTGCACACCATCTAACAGTCGCCTTGCCTAAGCACACAGTAGGGTTCCCAGGACTTGAGCATATCTTCAACACTCATAGCATAGTTTGTTTTTCATCACCCTGGCAGTGTAGTTTACAATAAAATAATAACAGGACAGTACTTTGTAGTCTGTGGAGCGATTTCTTCTCTTGTTTTGTTTTTTTCAATTAGGAAGACTTATTTTTAAATTCTCTAAATACCAAACTTCTGTTTTGTTTTTTTTTATTTTATTGAACTTTTTAAATTCAAGTATAATTAGCATACAGTGTTATTATAAGTTTAAGGTTTACAATATAATGATCCAAGAGTTCTATACATTGCTCAGTGCTCATACAATACGTGTACTCTTAATTCCCTTCATCTATTTCATCCATCCCCCACCAACCTCCCTCTGGCAACCACCAGTTTGTTCTCCATAGTTAAGAGTCTGTTGTTCTTTTTTTTTTTTTTTAAAGATTTTATTTATTTATTTGAGAGAGAGAATGAGAGAGAGAGAGCACATGAGAGGGGAGAGGGTCAGAGGGAGAAGCAGACCCCCTGCTAAGCAAGGAACCCGATATGGGACTCGATCCCGGGACTCCAGGATCATGACCTGAGCTGAAGGCAGTCGCTTAACCAACTGAGCCACCCAGGCGCCCATCTTTTTTCTTTTTTTTTTTAAGATTTTATTTATTAGAGAAAGAGAGCACGAGCAGGGGGGAGGGGCAGAGGGAGAGGGAGAAACAGACTCCCCATGGAGCGGGGAGCCTGACACAGGGCTTGATCCCAGGACCTGAGCTGAAGGCAGATGCTTAACCAACTGAGCCACCCAGGCACCCCTTGTTTGTTTTGTTTCTTAACTCTAACCTCACTCCTGTCAGAATGGCTAAAATCAAAAACACAAGAAGTAACAAGTGTTAGCGAGAATGTGGAGAAAAAGGAACCCTCGTGCACTGTTGGTGGGAATGCAAACTGGTGCAGCCACTGTGGAAAACCATATGGAGGTTCCTCAAAACATTAAAAACAGAATTACCGTATGATCCAGTAATTCCACTACTGGGTGTTCACTCAAAGAAAATGAAAACACTAATTTGGAAAGATATATGCACCCCTATGTTTATTGTAGCATTATTTACAACAGCCAAGATATGGAAGCAACCCAAGTGTCCGTCCATAGATGAACAGATAAAAAAAGATGTGGGGACACAGACACACACGCACACACTGGAATATCACTCAGCCATAAAAAAGAATGAGATCTTGTCATTTGCAACAACATGGCTAGATCTAGAGAGTATTATGCTAAGTGAAATGTCAGTCAGAGAAAGATAAATGCTATACGATTTCACTCATACCTTTTTTTTTTTGATCGTCATAGCTATTTTGTGAAGGAAGTAGGATAGAGCTATTTAGGTCTATTTTACAGATGAGGGAGGCTTGGGAGTGTGGTGACTTACCTCAAGTCTCACACACAAGTCTCGTAGGTGGCAGAGCTGGGACTTGAGCCTGAGCTATTTGCAGGGCATTAGCAGTATAGAACTGTGGATTTGAAGGCTCAGAGACCCTTGACCAATATTCTTTTATAAGTCACAGTTCATTCTTTGTTCCTCTAGACCCCTGTGCTGCTCTACCCAACGTTTGTATAGTACTCCAAAAGAAAGGATTTTTCTTTAAATTTTTAACAACTCCATAAGGTTAGAATAAGGCCTATTGTACAGGATTGTGTCTCTCTCAAAAAGTCTGTATCTGTTGGTATGACTTACTCAGGATCATGCTCAGTAAATGGTCGAGGCAGATTTAAAAACTAGGCTTTCAGACCCCAGGCCTCTGTGAGGGCTTGGAGGGGTGTGCATTTCTTAACCTCCTTTCGTGAGATAGAATGGCAATATGTCAGAAGGACCAAAGTCTGAGAGCTAGAGTCAGTTCTACCTGTTTATAAATCCTAGCTCCTACTACTTCCTAGCTGTGCAACCTTGGAAATACGTTTATCATATTTCATTGAATCTAGGATATCATTAATTAGAAGATACATCTCCAATTCAGAAATTATAAAATGGAGGGGAAGTGTTTTATATAACCAATAAATATAGTAATCTCTAAACATCAGCATCTGTATCTGGAAAATGGAGGGAGTGATAACAGTACTTATCTCATAGGGATGTGAATTCTGAATGAGATCATCTCTGTAAAGCATTCAAGGTACCTGTCCCATATTAAGTGCCCAGCAGATGTAAGCTTGTATTACTTTGTTACTATTACCATGTTGTATGACAGTGTTCTTACAGTGTACAGGAGAAAAGGTCTTTCAAGACTTAAAAAAAGTATTGCTATCAATACTGTAAGCAAACTTGAGCACTGGGTGTTGTATGTAAGCGATGAACCACTGAATTCTACTCCAGAAACCAATATTGCACTGTATGTTAACTAACAAATTTAAATTTAAATAAAAAAATAGTGTAAGCGAGCATTCCAAGAGACACAGGTCCAGCCTCCAGTACTTTCTTAGAGACCAAGGGTAATTTATTAAATGTCTTTCAGATCAGTGTCTTCATCTTTAAAATATAGTACCTTGCAGGGTTATTATGAGGGTTAGAGAAAATCTGTAAAAAGCCTAGAGTGGTGTCAACTGCCTGGCAATTATCAGACAGTTACCATGTGCTAAGATACAGAATAAAAAAAGACAGACCTGGTTCCTAAAAGACAGGAAATTTTTAACAGATATAAAACAGATTATTGACGAATACAAATAGTTAACTACAATTGTAATAAGTACCACAATGTACAGAAATGCAGGTCAGGTATGCAATAAATAGCAGGTACTATTATTATAAAAACATCCCATTAAATGGTTGTGATGTTAGCATGGTGGCTTTGTTAGCAAATTATTTTATTATTTAAGTGAGATAACATACATAAAGCAGTTAACTCAGTTTCTGCCACATGTTAACCACAATCAGTAAATTTAGCTATCAGCATCATCATCTATTATTTTTATTACTTTGTAGCTGTGGTTCTCGCCAGGGGCGATTTTGCTCCCCAGGAGACTTTGGGCAATGCATGGAGACATTGTGACTGGCACAGAGAGAGGGTAGGGCTATTGGCATCTGTTGGGTGGAGACCTCAGATGCTGCTAAATGGCCCGTAATGTGCAGGGCAGCCGCCACAACAGAGAATCACCCAGTCAAAAATGTTAGTGGTACTGAGATTGAGAAACTCTGCTCTGTAGTCATGATTTCCATTAAGAAATTCCCTAACAAAGCTGTTATCCTTACCATTTGTTTGGGATTCTGGCTTTAGTGGAATAACCTTTATTTAACTAGGTTATAAGTAGGATCCTTGAGACCAGGGACTTTGAAGTCTCTGCACAGTGGACATTTGTTAATGACACTGATAGATAAATACTCACAGGAGAGCAACTGGGGTTTTCTCTTCATTTGGGTTTTGCGCATATACTACTGCATATAAATCCAAATGGGCCCAAAGTGCCTATTTTCATAGGATAGCTGTTCTTTAGGCTTCTATAAGGGATTTTTAACTTCTCCTGAAGAGTATATTGTTCAATGGTATACTGTACTCACCACTTACCCATTTCATTGTTTGGGATAATTCTTTTTTTTTTTTTTTTAAGATTTTATTTATTTATTTGACAGAGAGAGAGACAGCGAGAGCAGGAACACAAGCAGGGGGAGTGGGAGAGGGAGAAGCAGGCTTCCTGCCGAGCAGGGAGCGGGGCTCCATCCCAGGACCCTGGGATCATGACCTGAGCCGAAGGCAGACGCTTAACGACTGAGCCACCCAGGCGCCCTGTTTGGGATAATTCTTAACTAGATATTTGAGATCATATAATCTGAGTCTTCAGGCCAGGAACATGTGTAGTGCATAAAATGAGTGCTCAAAGATACTTGTTTAATCTCACAGCTAATTAAGTACTTCAGTTCTGACCATGGGGCACATCATTAAATATTATAAACTGGCCTTCCATAGATTTAAGTTATTCATGTACGACTTTCATAGTTTTTGCTGTAACTGTTTATTACCATATATTATTGTCATAATATTAGTCATATGCCACCTGAACTATTATTTTCTTAGTATTTTAAGTCATTCATTTTTAACTTAAATTTATTTAAAAGGAATTTTTTTTTTTTTTTAAGATTTTTTGTTTATTTGAGAGAAAGAGAGAGAGACAGAGAAACAGCATGAGAGGGGAGAGGGTCAGAGGGAGAAGCAGGCTCCCTGCTGAGCTGGGAGCCCGATGTGGGACTCGATCCCGGGACTCCAGGATCATGACCTGAGCCGAAGGCAGTCGCTTAACCAACTGAGCCACCCAGGCGCCCCTTAAAAGGAAATTTTATATCACTTTTGTAAAAGGAAAACTAGCTTGAGTTGCTACAAATAAAATATAGGTGTACAGTTCCTTATCTCAAACCCTAGGATATATCTCAAAATTCAGATCTTTTTAGATTTTAAGAATATAACATTGTATATGTATCATATATTACATAATACTCCTATTGGAATCTGAGGTAGAATCCCCTTTATCAGATACATTAATACTTTTCTCCAGTGAAATATCTGAGTATTCATATTTAGTGAAATAAAGACTGTGAATAGCCTGTGTCAGCTCAGGTCAGGCTTTACTGCCAGATGAAGTCAGGTCAGCTTTTGCCACCAACAGTTACAAAAGTTTTTGTTTTCAGGGCTTTTCTGGATTTTAGTCTTAAGGATAAGACAATTAAAATGAGAAAAGACAATAATTGAAATCTCTAGCTAGTAGATACTGTTTTTTGCTGAAGTCCCTGAACCTGAAACCTGTTTATCCTTTGTCATAAAAGGAGATTAGTGAGGATGAAAGATGTGTTGTGGACATATTAGCTCCAAACTCAAGACTTTTCCTTCCTCATTTAACTCTACATCCTTAGGGTCTGTTGTTCCTTACTTATTTTTTGCATTTCTTTTTTGAGCTGTTCCCACTATTTGTAGGAGCTGATATTTTATGACTTATTCTTAGAGGTCTTTTGAAGAACAAAGAAGAAACAGTTCAGTAAAATTCATTCTTTTGCATTTACCCTTAGGACCCTTTTAAAATCTAAGATGTATTTTGGAATCTTAGTGATTTTCCATTTCCAGTATCTTGGAACAGTTTGCTGTTTGATCATCCTAGGAATTATTTCATCATTACTCATCAGTTACTCCCAATTGTGGTAAAAAGACCAATGAGAAAATAGGAGAATGATGGAATCACGTAGTATCACGTCATCTTTCAAGAAAAGGCCTATAAGCAATTTGGACACACATTTTTATAGTCTTTTTTTTTTAATTTTTTATTGTTATGTTAATCACTTTTTTTTTAAGCTTTCATTGAGTACGGTTGCTAATTCAGAATTTTAAAATTTTTTATTCACACTGGTAATGGGAAGAAAATTGCCAGTATGTTCAATAATTATTTAGATAAATCAGAACATGAATGCAAATAGATAGCACTCTAGACAGCTCTGTCAAATCAAAATATAATGCAATGTACTTATGTAACCTTACATTTTCTAGGAGTTACATTAAAAAAATACAGGTGAGGTTAGTTTTAATGATATATTTTATTTAACTCAGTAAATCTACAATATTATAATTTTATCATGTAATCAATACAACAACTACTAATGAGATATTCTACGTATTTTTTAACACTAAGTCTTCAAGGTCTGATACGTATTTTCCACTTACAGCATATCTCAGTTGAGAGCTGCCACATTTTAAGTGCTTAGTAGCTACATGTATCTCAGTGGTCACCATATTGGGTAGCACTGCTCTAGATTTTACTGGTGATCATGTAAGAGGAATTTCAGACTGTGAATCTTCAGATGACAATATTCTAGGTATATTTTCTCAAACTCAAGAATAAATGACAGAACAATGTATTTTTAAGGAGAAAAAGGAAATATATGTGATATTCTCATCCAGTAAGTCATTCAGGAGGAAAGACTTGTCTCACAATATTTTATAGTAAGAACCTGTGAATCATCCCATTTGGTCAAAAGTACATGTGACAGTATTCTTTCATTTTCTATGATATTTTGCACCAAAATTTACTTTATATGGCTCATAAGTCGATAAGTGCTGAAGGTATACAAAGGTGTATACAAAGGTAATCGGAAGGAAGTAGATGATGTTGAAATGAAAAAACTCACTGGATTGGTCATTCGAATTTTTCTTTATAAACCTAAGAATGAAAATGTTTTCCAGTTACAGTGCAAGGAAAATGGCTAGTCTCTCTTCAACAAAATTATGAGCTGTCAAAAATTTTTTAAAATACTGCATTTTGATGGTATCATTCTTTTGTAGATTTTTTGTAAGATGACTTTAAACTATAAAAAGGGTCTATTGGACCCAGGTGGTAAATGATGATGACTATTTTTCCTTGTCTGATGAGGGTTAGTCAGAAAGTTTGCAAGAAAATTGAAAAGGGGGCGCCTGGGTGGCTCAGTTGATTAAGCGACTGCCTTCGGCTCAGGTCATGATCCTGGAGTCCCGGGATCGAGTCCCGCATCGGGCTCCCTGCTCAGCGGGGTGTCTGCTTTTCCCTCTGACCCTCCTCCCTCTCATGCTCTCTGTCTCTCATTCTCTCTCTGTCAAATAAATAAATAAAATCTTAAAAAAAAAAAAATTGAAAAGGAGGTAACTTTATCCCTTATGATTCAGTGTTATCTAATGTTGCTTAAGTTTGTCACTGAATACCACCTCCCATACCACGTAAAATTATCTCAAATATGTCCCAGTCTTAGGAAACACTCTTATAAGTTACTGTTGAAAGAATAAACAATTGGACTTGAACTTGTCATGGCAAACTGAACACACGCATTAAATCTTGTTCCTTCCCCCAAACTCTGCTAAACTATAGTAAAAAGACTTTTAAAAAGACATAAATCCATAAACAGGAGAGGAGACAACAGCAACAGAGTTTTCAGAGCTGGAGAGCAGATGGTTGAAATAACTAACTTAGCAGATCCCAGAGGCAAATCTGAAGTCAGTAGTGGGATAAGCACCAAGTACCTCTGGAACCAGGGGCGAAGGGACAGGTACCAAAATAAGGATGGGTGAGAGCTGTTTGAAAATCAGTTAGATCCTTAGATTCTCTGCTGCTGGTGCTCCTCCCTCCTTTAGGGAGGTTTATCCTTTAGAGAGGGTAGAACACCGGGGTCTCTGGGCTGGCAGAGTTGTGAGTAGATACAACAGACACAGTTGTGGGTTCTGTTTGAAAAGCATAGGGGTGTACTCGCCTGAGCACAGGCCCTCCAGAGTACTGGAAAACTCTTCTCTGGGAACTCTGACTAATCCAAGAAAAAGTTTACTGAATTGGGCACCCACCCTAAAAAAACCCCATGTGGATCACCTGTTGTGAAGCCTATTGTCCGTAATCTCTGTGTACTCAGCTTTGGGTCAGCTTTTTTAGGAGGTCCCCACCCTCAGTCATGAGCCAGGGATCACTAGATTTCTGAGCAAAGTCTCTAATGCAGAAGATAGAGACCAAAGAAGCAAAGGAAGGGAAAGAAGAAACTGTAAAAACAAAAAACCAAAACAACAAAAATCATTAAAATCCTCAGAAATAAGAGAAGATATTACATCCTTGAAACAAAAATAGGATGCTAAAATAAAAAAGATCACTCAGATAATATAAAAGAGTTCTTGAAATTAAAAACTTGATGGCAGAAATCATTTTAACTGTTTTTAGTTCTTTTGGTGGTTACATCCATAAGTATAAAGAATAGGCTTATACTATTATTTCTTGTCACTGTAGACATGATCTTGCTATAGTAGATTAATCCACTTATACATTCCTATCTTCAGTTTTCCCTTTTCTTAATGTAGTTATATCATTTAAAAATTATATCGTTTACCTTGGATCTTTAAAAGATATACTTAAATCTCTTTATCAAGTATAAATAAAGTCAGTTCTCCCCACCTATTCTTGCTCACAGATGCTTTATCATCTAGAAATGAAAAAGAAGATAAGCTAGTTTAGTAAATAACTTTATTTACGTAAAGTATAGTTTTGGTCTTTTTCTTTTTGCTGAGATTTATAATAAAAGTACTCTTAGCTGTCACACACCTTAAGCAGAGTAGGATATCTGTGTTTCACTTACCAGCTTTGCATTTTCAGACCATTGGAGTATAGCTCCTTTTTAGAGGACGGGTCTGGACTTTTCCCTGCTAACTGCTGTCGGGGCTGAGCCTCCACTGCGTTGTTTCTCGAATGGTTTTTTTTTTTTCCCCAGCAAACTGTTCTGATTGTGATCCAAAATAAATGTTGTCTAGTATGTCTGTATGATGTGTGTATCTCTATCAGTCTATTTGAAATAAAATCTCCTTAATCCTTTGGACTAATATGGCTTTCTTCGTATTCTGAACTATTTTCTTTCTTTCTTGATCTAGGCAGTCGACAAGTACTTCAAGCTTCCTCATGCTTCCAGTAAACCACCTCGGATTTCAGGAAGCCTTGTGGACACTTCTTATAAAACATTAAGATTTGCATTTAGAGCATCACTAAAAACTGCCATCTATCGAATAACTACTACATTTGGTGAACATTTGAAGTAAGTTTACCTGTTTTAATCCATGATAAGAATCCACATTCAGGAGTTCTGTTGAGAAATAGGTATGAGAATTACAAAGGCTCACATGTTGAACATGTTTTTTTGGGGCTTTTACAATTCCTACTGGGAATTAACAGCTTGGATTTAGACTTTATATTTTAAAATTGGGCCTATCATATAAGCTTTGGGGCCTTCTTTCATATAGACAACAAAGAAGATAGAAAGTTATAAAAGCAGTAAATGTAATTTCATATAGATATATATGAATTATATATATAATTTTTTTTAATTACCAAAACATCCTTATGAGAGAGAAAAGGCAAAAAATGGAGTACCTTTTCAGAAAAGCATATTAAAAATAATTCCGATATTACATCTTGGTCAGCTAACTGAGACTTGGGGTGAGCAGAGTGTTCCATAAACGAGTCTTTGGTACTTTGTGAATCATGCTGGAAAAACAGTGACAGATCATAACACCTTCGGAAACGGAACCAGAGAGAAAACCACAAATGCCAAACCTGTTTATATTTAGTTTCATTGATGTTTATTGCTTTCTTCTCATGAAACAATCTAGTTAGGCAGGATAAGGGATACAAGTTTATTAACTGTGTTTATCACAATTATAAGTGACCTTTAGAGGATATAAGAGATTGCTTTTTCTGTATGCAGAACTATCAATAAATAGTTCAGAACTTCCTCATACTGCCTACTTTTAGAAACAGCAGTATATTTCCTTTTACTTCCATAATACACAGCAGAAATAGTAGGTTTTTATGGAACACTTGGTTCTGTGTGGGAATGTAAAGAGCTGTAAGAGGTTTATTCACTTGTTTAAAAACAAAATTTTATTGAGAGCCTTCTAGATCTGTGCTCTCCAATACGATAGCTGCATATGGTGGTTTAAATTTAAATTAACTAAAAATTCAGTTTGTCAGTCACACTGGCCACATTTTAAGTCCTCAGTAACTACATATGGCTAGTGGCTGCCATATTAGCTTAGATCTAAAACATTTTTGTCATTGCAGAAAGTTTATTGGGACAGCACTGTTCTAGACAATACACTTAGCACTTTATACATGTTCTTTTCATTTCCTTTTCTCAAAGAGTTTGTGAAGTGTAGAAGTTATCATAACTCCACAGATACGGAAACTGAGGCTCAAGGAGGTTAAGAACTTGCCTAATAGCACAATCTAGTTGGTATTAGAACATGAACCTGAAATCAGGTCTTCCTTCCTATTCTTAAAATGCCACCTTTTCTCCCTGTGCACTGGACTGCCTCTAAGATGTAAGGTGCCATGGAGGATGCTCAATGGATGTGGAGCATGAAATAGTTGTACTGATGATAGAGCAAGAACAGGGAGAAAGGGGGACACAGGGAGTTTTAGATAAGAAAGGGGGATAGATAACTGATTAAAAAAAAAATTAGGAGAATGAAATTCTGCCTTAGTTTCTTTTCTCTGGGAAGAGCCATGTTTTAAACATGATGAGGTCAGCAGAGACTATTTTGTACGTCTAGGACAGAATGGTGTGGGGGAAAAAAGATGTGGAGTTAAAAAACATTTGGATTTATGTCTAGTTACATCATTAATTGTCTGTGGTTGTGGTCAAGTTACCTAATGATTTAACTTACCCATGATTATGCAGAACCAGAATTCAGACTCAAATCTTTCTGACCCCAGAGTCTCTCCACCGGTGTCTATACTCTTAACTGGTAGGCTGTGTTGTCTTCCCTAACCTCTGACCTTTTCACAAACGTCTGTTTACCTGTGTTTACCGTCCTATGGAAAAGGTGTGTCATTCGGCCTCACTAGCACCCAGAGGGAGTACACACAGTAAAGTACTTGAAATGGTTCAACTGGAGGCAGCTGAAGGTTTAAGCTGGCAGAGATGTAAGGCAGTTTGGGGTGATTCGTAGTGAAATTATTATAATACTTTTTTTGGCACTTTTAAAACGGTAACTTTCTGTAACCTGGAATTTTATCATTTAATAATAACATCTTCAACAGCCAGAAAACCAGAATCTTTCATTGTATTTAGTTTTTGCCCAAAAGTTTAAAAGGAAGTTTTCTACTAGTTTCGGTATATATTTGCCCTAATTTTGCCAAGGTGATGTATTTTAGTGGGGGCAAGAGTGGGGAGAGAACTCCGTTTCCCCATCCACGACATGACTTATGTTCAAAGGGAAAACTAAATCTAAACCACCAAGCTGTTACCTTTGAAAACGATTAGTGGAGTCTATTGTGTTTTAACCAAACATTTTAGTTTAAAGGATTTTATATTAAAGGCAATTCAAATACTCCACAGCTCAAAGATAATGTTGGAATCTGGTTTAAATAAAATAATAAAATCCAGAAAATCTACTGCCAGGCCTGGAACTCTGCACAGCAGGTTCCACAGCAGAGCAGGTTAAAATCGATGCTTTCACTTGTCAGTCTTAATTTGCTTTGGTCTTTTAGAAGGTAGAAGCATGCCGTTACTGAATGCAAGCCCTCCTCCTCATTAGACTAAGGAGGGTTTTCATCCAGCTTTCTCAGAAGTACTAAATAAGTGAAGATTTCTATTTGTTTTTAATTGTTTTGAAAAATATTGACTGTGTGCTCTGTGGTTCACTTAATATGCTTAATGTAAAATAAAGCTTATGCTTTGAATTTATGTTTCATTTAGTGCTGTGCAAGCATCTGCAGAACATCAGAAAAGACTTCAACAGTTCTTGGAGTTCAAAGAATAGCTCAGTAATATAAACTGTGTTCATTACACTGCTGATACAGCTACAGATGGGACAGTAAATGTTCAGCATTCTTGGATCAGAAGAAAATGGACTAATTAGATGCTTCCTTTGTCGTGGTGGTTGCTTTGAAAACTATACTTTAATGGGAGAAATCATGGAAAGAAATTCTCAACAGAATAACTGAAAACTGCCTTTTCTGTACCTATTGCTTTTTGTGTGTGTGGTATAATAAAATCTTTATTCAATTTTACAGAAGCCTCTATGGCGGTAAAAATGTCTGTAGCTTCTATAGCTTAATAATAATAGCTGGAAAATTTTTAGAATTTACTTTTGAGCTGAGTAGAGCCAGTTCAGAAGGTAAAATAGGTTGACTTGATTCAATCTTCCTAATTGTGCTGAGAGTTTTAACTCTCTCTACATTCAAAATCCATAAGCCTTTTAGGAGTAGTTTCTTTTTACTGAAGGATAAAGGTGGTAACAGTGCAGAAAAATTCACAGAAAAATTACTGTTTAAAGGACATATTTTGTTAATCTGGTAGGTTGTATTTTTCTTTCCAAGGACAAATTAAATTTGCATGATTGTCCAAAAAAGATCTCAATTTACAGATGCTAACTCTATGTAAAGGAATGTGGAAAAATTCAGTTCTTAAGTTTCAAGATTAAACATTCACATTTGGTTTTCGAAAGACGATTGACAACTATGAATTTGTTTTGTATCATGCTGGTAAACAATAAGTATATGGGTATTTTCCCAACTAGTTTTGCTTTCTTTTTCTGGAACAAAACATTAAGTGATTGCAGAGGTTTTCAAGTGAGAGAAGTTTTGCAACAAAAACCAGGAAACTTTCCCTTTTTGCTCTCCATTTCCTCCACCCCCACCCTTCATCTTCATTAGATCAGATTATGTGGTGAAGCCTGTTTGGCCTCACAGAGGGAGCAGCCTATGCCGTGTTAACTGCTAATAAAAATATATTAGGAAAATCTTTACAACCAGAAACAACTTAGTCATCAAATAGCAAGTGAAACCAAAATGTCGGAGGGCTTACTGTACTTGGGAGTATGTCGTATGTCCCAAAAGTGAGCGAGGTAGTTTTATTATTTATTAGATCAACTTCTTTGGAGATGAAAGACAGGAGGTCCCACTGGTAGGTGTTCACTGTTGGCATAGGGCTGAAATGCTTCCTTGTAATTCTTTTCCTATTGTTCCCTCTACTTTCCCCCAATTTCTTCTTTAAAGTCAGTACAGTATTGTGTATGAATCTTTAATGTGGTATGTATGTCTACCATTTGTCTGATTACTTGATGCATTATATCTTTATTCCTTTTGTTTGTTGCCCCTTCAACCAGCACATGCCAAATTATAAATGAATCCTGCTGTCCTTTAGAGTGTCTTTAGGAGACAATTCCCCAGTTGTCGAGTGTTTGGAGTATTTAGGCTAATTGCTACTTTTCTTTCTTTCTTTTCCTTCTTTTCTTTTCTTTCTTTTCTTTCCTCCTTTCTTCCTTTCCTCCTTTCTTCCTTTCCTCCTTTCCTCCTTCCTTCCTTCCTTTTCCTTTCCTTCTTTCCTCCTCTCTCTCTCTCTTTCTTTCTCTTCTCATCTGAAATGGGGTGCTCTCTCTTTTGAATATGAACATTGAATTTTGACTGTAGTAGTTCCTTGGAGATGACCAGAAGATTGTGGCTAGGTTGACTGAAAACTGTTGGGTTCCGTGTTTTAGAGTTACTGAGCTTTTTCTGTTCCACTCTGTGCTGCCCTTGGCTGAGGCATTTTGGGAGAAAACGACTCTTAACCTTCTGCTTCCGTTAAAGAAGAATTGTGGTATATGACCCATTGGATTCCTGAGAGTGAGGATGGGATGATCCCTTTAATATCTGACTAGGTTTAGAGTTTTGCCATTTCCCATATACTTTGGGAAAAGGTATATTTGATGAGCAATGTGAACATTTCTGAGGTGTTCATCCTTATTTTCTCTCAAGGGAATGTGCTGTGTACAAAATACAGGTCACATAATGTCCACATGGTGGAGATTTGGAAACTGCCTCCCCAAATCTGGATTGTATTTAGTAGATAAGAAAGTCAGTTCCTTTTCCCCATTGTGTGTTGATAATCTACACACCATCTGTTTGGGTAAGGTGTTGCTCAACCACCTGTTATTAAAGAGAGCTCCTTCTCCTGTGTACAAGGAAGAGGATCTTAGGAAGGCCAAGAGGAGGGAAGCATTTCCTTTAATGAAGTCACATCCTGCCTGTGAGCCCACTGATGCTATGACATTGACCTGAAAGTTAGAGCGTGTTCTTTAAAAGCTTTTCTTTGTCAGTACAAAACATGGTTCTGTCAGCTCTTGTACTGTTCGCTTGACCTTATGGAAGGTGTAAATTCACATAGCATCTTTCCCGGGGAACTGGGAAACTGTCCTACAATAAACCATGTACAGTTGAGTGGCTGTGGATAAGCAACAGTTTGTCACTTTGCTGGATTTGTTCCTTGGTAATTGTTTTGTATATCTTCCTGTAAATATGGTAATCTGTTTATATCCTTTTGTATATCACTGACACTGAATTGGATAGAAAAATAAATTGACAATTTTTCTGAACGGGACTACTAAAATACGTGTATCCTCGAGGTCAATTATTTAATTTCTGGTGTGTGTGTGTTTCTTGAGCCATTTAGTCTCAGTTGCTTATAAAACTTGGAAAGGTTTAACTTCTTGAGAAATGAGGAGCTCTTGCCCCTAACTGGACTGATTTGGTGGGTGATATGTGGTCAATGAGAACTAAGGAGACTGAATTCTGAAGGTCTCTTTCTTCCAAATCTAAACCAAGGATGCGGGTGCTGAAAGCCATCTCTTTTCTGGCTGGAATAGTGTTTCTGAGTGGATCATATTCCCCAAGGCTAACAGTTATGTCTGTCAGCTTTACTTAAATTAGTCTGAACTTCACCTCAAGGTAGTTGAGGTGCTACACGAAGGCCCTCAACTCCCTCTTTTGCTCTCCCAACCCATAGTTCTCTTTCTCTAAAACCAAATAGCTTAAAACAAAGATAGCTTTAATTCCATAGTTAACAGTCCAGCTATTCTTAGCAAGCTGCTGACCACCATTTTAAAATAAGCAAAACTGTTTTTGTGTTAAGGGGAATAAGACAAGGTGGGACAAGCACATAGCCCCTGTAGTTCTCAGTCATGGTCCTAAGCAACCTTGACATTGCTGTAGTGATTTGCACGTTGATCCAGAGCTAGCTAATCATTCAGAAACAGTCACCAAGTGGCTGTTACAGCCCAGCTATTAGAAAAATTCAACCGTGAACAAGACAGTTCTTGCCCTTGAGGAGTTTATAATCTAATGCAGTGGCATTTGAAACTTGGACCCAGAAACATGAGATTCACAGGGAGTACCTATTAGAGGTGTAGAGTCGGGGCTCCACTGCAGGGCAGACTTGGCTTCAGGAGGTCTGGACTGGTTCCCAAGAGATGTAGTTTTTTAACAAATTCTAAGCAGTGGTCTGAATCACACTGGGAGAAGGGTTTACTTTAGATCAGGAGTTAATCAAAGTTAGCATGCATCAGAACCTTTGGAAAGCTTATTAAAACAGATTGCTGGGCCCCACCTCCAGAGTTTCTGATTTAGTAGGTTTGGGGTGGGGCCCAAGAGTTGATATTTCCAGCAAGTGTCAGGTGATGCTGATGCTGCAAGTTAGGAGACCGCACTTTGAGAAGCACGGCTCAAGTGGATTTCTCTTACGTGGGGCTCTCAGAGGAGTGTCTTAAGCACATGAACTATCATTTGCTAGAAGGTAGACTTCTTCCATCTGATTCACTTACTGGAAAGCTTGAAGAATATGGTTGGACCCCATAGGTAAGATGGGAATGCTGAGAAATAGGTTTCATACACTTACCTTGAAACTGGAGCAGGTGATAGATGATGAGTTGCCCTGCCATGCCATTATGTGCTTGTGCTCGTGTTCCCTTGCCTGAATTTCTGCCTTGGTATGCTTCCCATCCTTCACAATGAGCTTAGCCTTTCCAAATACTCCCAGATAGATCCCTATGTGTTTTTTCAATGCTTTGTCATTCCCTCTTTGGACCTTAACTGATTACAAATCTGTGTCCCCTTCTAGACTATGAATTCCCTCTCCTTCCAGGATTCTAGTCACACTTTGTAATCTATCATCTATGTCTTAACTTATCTTCTCTATTTTAGTATTTTTGACTTTCTATGCTTTATTCTGGATAGTTTCTTCTGACCCATTTTTTTTTTTTTTTTTTTAGATTTATTTATTTTGAGAGAGAGCGCACAAGCAGGGGCAGAGGGAGAGGGAGAAGCAGGCTCCCCACGGATCCCAGGACCCTGAAATCATGACCTGAGCCGAAGGCAGCCGCTTAACTGACTGAGCCACCCAGGCACCCCCTGACCTATCATTTTCTTCAGTTAAGTCTAATCAGCAGTTAAATTTATCTGTGAACTCATGTAGACTATGAGCTCCACTAACAATAGTTTCCCAATAAATGAGTGAAAATTAGTGGTCCTTTCTAGGGTTCCTTGAGTTTTTATCTTTAGCAGATCTTTATAATTCTGAAATCTAGAGGGTTTTTTTATTGGTTAAGTTTGGTGACAAAATTTATTTGGCAGCAAAACCTGACCTGAATTGATGTGGGGCTATTTGTAGACTTAATTTATTTCATATAGGATGACTATGCTTATTGTCATAGTATGTTTGACTGTGAGGTGCTGTCCCAGACCCCACGAGAATGTTATGTAATATGCATCATTATTACCTTTCTAATACCTGAAAAGTTCTTTATTCTGAAACATCTGGCCTCAGGAGTTTAAGACAAGGTGTTGTAGACCCGTTTTTGTAAAATGCTGTTAATTCTTCCATTCACTCACTGCCTACCGTATACCAGACCCTGAGATAGGCACTGACTGTACAAGGTCATAGACCTTGTCCTCAAAGCATTCACCACCCTGTGTGGGAGAAGTAAATGGAGGCAACCCTTGTTGGCAAAGAACCTTACTTACACAATTGATGTGTCTTGCTATTGCTGTGGCTGATTGAGCATCTATTCTGCTCCTAGCCTATTCCAACCAATAGTTGTTGCTTGCATTTGTGCCCACCTCCTTTATGGACCCTTTCGGCACTAAATGCAGCATCTTAGGTCCTGGCGCTAGCCCGCTTCATCGCTTGCATTATTTTGCAGGAGCCATGTGGCTCCGCCTTGCCTCCAACTGCTCATAGTCTCCCTGCACACACGTATCTTACCAGATACGGTTGAGTGTGCCTTGCAAGAGATCCTGGTGGTAAAACAGTTCTGGAAGACCTATGGGATGTCCCTGGCAGAGAAACATTAGAAGGTGGCCTCTCAATCACAGGCCTTTACCTTGAAAGTCTTTTAAAGATATGTTGACTCTTGATTGACTTATCCTATTTGTCTCTCAACTTATTAGTAACAGTAGTCTACAGTCTTGAAAAAATAGAAAACGCTAGGGGTGCTGGGTGGCGCAGTTGGTTAAGCGTCTGACTCTTGGTTTTGGCTTGGGTTGTGATCTCAGCGTCGTGGGAGCACCCTGTGTCAGGGGCTTGAGATTCTTTCTCCCTCTCCCTCTGCCCCTCCTGCTCATGCTCTCTCTCTTTCTCAAATAAATACATTAATCTTAAAAAATATATGTATATAAAACACTAGTCCCTCCCTAACATTATGACCCTTAGTTGCAAGGACACAATCCCCACCTCAGTTTAGCGTAAGCATAAAAAAAGGAGTTGATCCTAAGGGCACCGGGAAAGTCTTGGTAAACACAAATATAGATTTGCTTCTGTGAAGAACCTGGAAAGTTTTCAGGATCTCTAAATGGTTCTTCTCTGCTTCTTTCTGCTTCAGTGCTTTATTCTGTCTCCCTATCTTCTGGCCTTCTTACGCTCGCTCCAGCTGCCCTCTAGCTCCTGAGTTTATGTAATGGAGACTGGCCATTTCTGAATGACAACCACATTCCTCATTGAAAGAAATTAGCCCAAATGGATCAAGTATTCAAGGGTCTAATTAGGCTTGAGGGAAAAGTTCACGCGGTGCCAACATAGCTTCTGCAAGCTTACCTTTGTTGATTAAGAGAGAAAGGAGGGTAGGGGCAGTTACCAGAGCCTCCCAAGTTAGGGGCAAAAATTTGGGCCTACAAAGGCCTACAAAGAGAGGCTGTTACAAGTCCCTTTGCTTTGGGTTGGGACCCCAAAAGGCTGCACCCTAGAGGGAAGGGTAAAGAGGAAATTGAATGAATGAATTGTAGTTGAGTTAGAATTATCATTAAATTGATTTGTGGTAATCCCTGTTTGCCAGTGTTTCTAGATTCTGGGAGAAACTATCATAAATCCTCTGTGGAGAAAAACAACATCCTAGGCTTCAATTATTTTTACAAACAAGTTTTCAAATACAGTGTCTGCACACAATTGAAAATAACCAGGCATAGGAAGAGACAACATGAATGAGAACAACAAAAGCAAGAGACAATAGAATAGACCCATAGGGGCTCCAGATTAATTAGTTAGGAGACAAATTAAATTAACTTATGTATATTGTTTTAATTTTAATTCTAGTATAGTTTGCATAAAGTGTAATGTTAGTTTCAGGTGTACAACTTAGTGATTCAACACTTCCATACAACACCTGATGCTCATCACAACAAGTGCACTCCTTGATCCCCATCACCTATTTAACCCATCCTTCTACCCACCTCTCCTCTGTTAACCAGTTTGTTCTCTATAGTTAAGAGTCTGATTCTTGGTTTCT